GATGGCCCGGGGTACGTCGGGGAACCAGAGATTTCCTTCCTAGGGCGGCGAAAACGGCGTGCGGTTTTTAGTCGATAAGAGTTCGACATAACCACCAGTGGGTGGTTATGTCGAATATCCGAAGGGAATTCCGCACAGGGAAAAAAAAAGTGTAGTAACCATGTCATTTTAAGTTTGAATTACTCTTTTATAATAAAATCTGCTCTTATCTAACGCTGTTATTTCGGAGTTATACGAGCCCTGATGCAAAATAGTTCGTCTAGTGTGAAATTTTCTCTGTGAGATTTTTTCTAACTTCATTATTTTTGTATATCTACATAAAATATTAAGCTGTTCTACTATCATATGTTGTGTTACTCATGCAATTTTTTAAATATGAACCAATAAACTATTTTAGCTTTTTAAATTTATACATATCCTGTTTTAAATTCGAAGAAGTTATAAGCAAAATAGTTCGTCCAATTGTTAATTGATGCAAAATAGTTCGTCTATCGGTGAGTTCAATAAGATTATTCCTTCTTTGTACAATTATGTTGCATAATTTAAATTTGTAAAAGTAATTCTGTGTGATTTGTCAAGTGAGACAGTATAAATTCTGAAAATTTCAGTCTTTTTCATTAGTTTTCAAATAACAATTGGTCGTGGCAAACCCGTGTGTGAAGAGCTTCGAAAGCGAATAGTTTGTGGGGTCGATGTTTGCAAATCAAGTTACAAAATATCTAAAGACTTGATACTTCCTAGGTCTACAGTCTAATCTATCTTCAGCACTATAATAAGAATAGAATGATTTCTTGTTTGAAGAAAACTGGTCGACCACACACTCACTGGACGCATCACAAGTGCAGTAGAAAACAGAATCCTAAAGAAAATTATCAAAAATAATCGTCGTGCTCGAGCTGGAGAACTCACGGTGCAATGGAAGGACATGATTCACAAAGACGTCTCAGTTGATACTTGCAAAAGAGTCCTAAAAAGAATGGGTTACGGATTTTACACCGCTAAGGAGAAACCACTGTTGACTGCTGTACAAAAGAAAAAGAGGTTGAAGTTTGCTCGTGATCATTTATTTAAATTGGACTTCCGATCAGTGGCGTAGTATCATTTGGAGTGACGAGTCCAAATTTGAAGTGACAGTCGGCGATGAAAAGAAAAAAGTGATTCGGAACAAAAATGAGGCATTTCATACTGATTGTCTCAAACGCAGTGAAGTTTCCGGCGTCTCTTATGATATGGGGCTGCATGTCTGCACAAGGTGTTGGTGGTATGCAGTTTGTAGATGGTTCTATCAACGCTGCAAGGTATCAAAACCTTTTGGAAGAGAATTAACTGCCCTCTATTTCGTCACTTCAAGTCAAGCATCAAGATCAAGCATTTTTCAACAGGATGGTGCTTCCTGCCATACTGCAAGGACAACGAAGACGTGGCTACTTGCGAAAAGCATCCCTACAATCGAATGGCTATCTAACAGCCCGGACTTGTCGCCGATCGAAACCCTATGGTGGAAAATGAAAATAGTTCTCCGTAAAAATCCATCAAGATCGAAGAGCGACTTAAAGGCTAAATTCTTGGCTGTCTGGGAATCAATTACGCTTGAGGAGTGTGCAGCGTTGGTTGCAACCATGCCTCTTCGCATTAAAGCTATCATTGAGAGCAAAGGCGGCACAACTAAGTGGTAGACAAACTATTTTGCGTGAGTGACAAGGGTAGACGAATACTTTTGCGTTATGTTTTTTAGAATATTTTTTAATTTTTTTATGAGATGTAAAGTCATGAAAGAATTTCAGTTATGTTAAAATAAACTTTAAAATGTTCCTCAAATTGTGGTTTACTTTTTATTAAACGTTCCTAATTATTTAAAAAAATATTTACTTTCAATATTTTACGCTTTGCACTACTTTCCATACTAGAAGAACTATTTTGCATCGGGGCTCGTATAGCTAATATTGAATAAAACTTCAATGGTATAAACATTTTTTATTCGTAAGCCAAGCTAGTAAAATGTATCAATGATTTTTCGATTTACTTTTATTTTCTACATTATTATTTTTAAGTATAAAACAAGGAGTTTGATGCTTGGCGTAGAGAGCAGTTTTTGCTATTTATGTGGCACAGTTTTTTGTTGTTGATATGGCGGTCAAAGGTTAAACCAAATCTTTGCATGTGTATATTTTTTTAAAATACGCGTAATATATACATGTTTAAGGATCTAGGCACATCATTAATAGTCGTTAAACGCTTTGAAATTTACGTTTCATACCACACATCTTACCAGTAAAACTTGTATTAATTTACCGGTACTTAAAACTTACTTATTGGTTTTAACTGAACCTAGTTGAGCAGAAACGATTCCATCCACCGCTGGTCAAATTAATAATGCCAATTCATAGTCCAAAAAATATACGTATTCATTGTGCGAAAAAAGATCCCGTAAGGTTATAGGACATATGCATGTCTTTTTTCTAGTTATAACATATTCTACTATATACTATAACATATTTCTAGTTATAACATTACGAAAACTAAATGCAACACACCTGAAATATAAACCAATGAGCTAATTTTTTTTAATTAAAATCACAATCATTTTCGAGCCACTTGAGCAGCCGTTTTAGCGCTCTTATTTTGTGACGTCAGATTACAAGAGTTCAATGTCAACAACAGTGTTAGATTCACAAAGTTACAGAAAGTTAAAAGAGTGAGTAATAAAAACAACTTATTATGATGGAAAAGCACAGAAATGCTTATTATAAATATTGTGTCATTCCTACATGCCAAAATAACATCAAAAGTGCACCTGACAAAGTATATTTATTTCCTTATGCCGAAAATTCAAATTCAAAATATCTTTATTTCATAAAAACATATTGTTTGAAATCGTATTTTATGTAGATCAACACACGCAATAGCAATAATCTCTGTTTTGCTGAATAGTTAGGATTTTTTTAAATAAAAAAATATGCTTAAACAAAATCTATGATATGCCTGTGCCGATCCACAACCGCCCGTTTCCAAAGGGTTGAGGCTTATGTGAAGCAAGGGCGAACAAACTCATGGCCACTATTTTGCAATTCACAGATAAATACAATGGCATCATTAAATATACCACCACAACATTGTTCCGATGTGTGCCAGTATGTCCGTTATTAACTAAAAGGTAACGAGACAATAGTAATAGGCTCGCCGACACAATTCACGTTTAATTGCGGATTTAAAAGATGGAAGATGCAGGTATAAGAAAAAAGTGGTGGAAGGCGATGAGAAGAGACAATGTATTGTTTTTGAGCTGTTTATACTGTTGTGAAGATCGTTTTCACTTGGTTACCTGCACATACTTTTTTTACAAACCTCGACGAAAACATAACCTAGTTTACGAAAAGTTCGTTAAGATATTCTCAATATCTAATACATACACATTTATTCATAACAGTTTTGCCTATGACTTAAAACATGTAACTTATTTGGAGTAAGAGGGAAGTTAGAGTCGTAGTAAGTCGAGAGTCGTCGAGTGTAAATTGATGTCACGTTTTGTTCCCCCAGTAGCGTTGCGTTTTGGGCATTTGCGAAGGAATTTAAAATATTTTGCCTAGTTTGGAGTCACGTGCATATTCCCTATTGTAACGATAAAATTATTTCTAATAATTATAATGATAAAAAAGATTATTGTTTAAAAGATTAAAAATAAATACTTTTTGATAGTTTAGCATCAAAACTGCAATTTTATTAATTTCTGGATTTGATCATTTCTGCACAACACGTCGCAAAACTTTGTCTGTTATAATAAAATCTCATAATCTTTTTTTGGACAAAACACACAATTTGAAGTAAAAGTTTAATACCACTAATTCACAATACAAATAATTCTAAACGTCTATACATATGGAGGGTCGCTTTACAAAAATAAGATATGACCACACCGTTTCGTAACATTCTGTGAGTGATAAATAAAATAAAAACATGTATTTGTTCATCATAAACATATTAAACTTTTTATAGCATTATCTTCTTGTTTGTTACAACCCGTACCATTCGTAACCGCGTCCTGGAGGCTATGAACTATACTGCGCTATTTCGGTAGCAAATTTCCACATCGGATAATTATACTATCAAGATGACTATTATATGCCAAAAAAACAATTTTCACGCCATCCATGATTGAGTACGAGCAGAAATTTTTCGATTGTGGTATTTATTCAACTTGTGCTATCGAGTTCTTAGCCTAAACAAAGCTAAATATATTCAAAATATTTCTGGCAAGTGATGTGCGTCGATCAGGGGTTTAGTTTTTTTATTCATAGTTAAAGATACCTTAGACTACCTTAATGTTAGGGTTGTAGATATTCTTTTTCTATTCAAATTAAAGCTTCGTATTACGAACACCAAAAAGAACCACCTAATTTCATCGGTGAATTCTACAAAATATAAAACTTGATATTTGGATTTTTTTGCATAGTTTTAGGTAACCTTACTAAAACAGATACGCTAAATTTTATACATATTATCATAAAAATACTACCACTCTTGTTCTAACACAAAAAAAAACAATAGGCTGCAAACAACTGTAATATTTCAATAAAAATATTCTTACTAATTAAAGTATATGGATATCACAGACAAAAATATTAAGTTATATATCAAATTAGCACGAACATTATACAGTTTTAGTGTCTTAAATAGAACCAACGTTGATTCTAGTTGCATACTTACCATTTCATCTCCCTTAATTACAGGATAGAAATACATTTTTTCCCTTGTTTTGTAAACATATCACTAGATTCATATGACGAGAAAAACAATATTGTAAACAGCTTATTTATGCTAACACTGCAACATACGTGCTACAGAGAAACGACAATGTTTGTATCGTTTGTAGTTGATTTTGAACACTAAAAGGAAAGCACAGGTTCAATCCGCTTAGCAATTTTGTAACATCGAACGAACATATTCTCTTACGTGTCGGTAAAGGACGCAGGGAGACACTATTTAGACTTTTACAATCGTACCTGGCTCCGTAAGGTGGCTCAACACTACGTCGGGGCGGCGACAACAGTTCATCGTAGACACCAGTATATCTGTCAACAAGATATCATATAACTAATATCATCACCATGTAATAGAATTCAGACGCAAATAATACTTAACACCAATTTTTTCCATTTACGGGTTGTTTATTTTTCTTCAATTTTTAGAAACCGATAGCGTAAACCGCGTACTGTACAGTACGCGGTTTACGCTATCACATACAACATACATCTTTCTTTTATCTTTTTTTAGCCATAACAATTTTTAGTTGTAATGGAAGAGTACTTTATAACTAAAAACCTATTTGTAGCTTAACGTAAACTAATTTTATTACTAACCGATGAGGTGACACGTTCCGGGGTACTGGAGAGCGCATCGCAGATCGACGGGGTGAGCGTAGAGGTTCTCGTAATTGCTCACGTAGTGGGTCCCGCGGCGGAGAACGTGCAGGGGATCGAGGCGGAGAACGAAGCGGAGAGCGAAGAGGAGATCGAAGTGGAGAGCGGCCCAACGGCGACCGGAGCGGAGACCGATATCGCAACGGCGACCGATGACGTCTACGCGGGGAAGGTGATCTGTCAACAACATTAGCAAAGTTCAGTCGCTAATAAATCAATAAATGAAATATAAAGTCTTTAATTCCATGCATTTAAAAAAAACCTTTCATAATATTAGTTTCTAAATGACATGCTTGATTGTTAAATATTAATATTATTATACGTAATTAAGTATATATTTTTATTTCATTTAGCTGTTTTAATAATCAATTTTAATAATTATTAAGAGAACGATTTAATATTTTCAATTACAATAAAATTCAATTCGGTAATCATAGAAATTTTACTTAATTAATTATGATTGAAATTGAAATAGGATATAGTACATAGATAATTATTATTGTTTTTTTTTTAATTTCACACATCTTACACACGGCTGTCTGAGTCCAAACTAGGCAGAGCCTGTAACCAGGTTGCTGACAAACATAATTATATATTTCTAAATACATACATATTATAGATAAATTACACCCAGACAGAACAAATAGTAGGGGAGCCCTAGAAGGGATTTCGGGATTTACTTGAGCTTGTCAGATTAAGATAGGAGGTATACCTTACATCCAGTTGAATACCTCCACCATACATGAGCCCTATAAATAGGCAGCCCATCAGATTAGTTAAAAAAAAATCGATGGCCAGAAATACTCGAGCGTGTAAGATTAAAGTAAGTTGAGTCAATGACATACATAATGGTATGTATTTCAAAAAATCTGACGATTTGAGCATGTCATAAAGCTGTGGCAGGATGACAAAGTTAACAAAAAAACCCCACGACCTTTACATATTTTTTTCTTTTGAAGTAAAGAATGCGTTTTTTTTTTTTAATGTCTACTTAATTTTTCGTACCTTTATTTGTCACATTTAAAAAAAAAACAAAAAACAAAATACCTCTAACCGTCAGATTTAAAATACCCTTTTTTTTTTTGGTGCGGAAATCCCTTCGGATACCACCTGTCGGTGGCATGTCGGACACGAACCGACTAAAACCGCACGCCGTCTCGGGTACTAATAGCCGGGGAACCAGGTATACCCTAGAAAGGAAGTCCCTGGTGCCCCGACATACCTCGATAGACCATAGGATTAAGGAAAAGGGAGATGTATGACGCTACAAGCCAAATGGGATTAACTATTCCAAGTGGCGTCGAAAATCAATGATGTTACCTACCGGGTATAGAAGTGTCCAAGAAGCGCTTCAAAGGGATATTAGGGAACCGATTATGATAGGGACGAGCATGTTTTAGGAGGGGCAGTGATGCACCATAGGATTAAGTGATTCAAGTGTTGACGTTAGTTCATGAACTATCTGAGAGCTGTATGAAATCTTGAGGTCAACGAGATCTAGTGTCAAGCAACAAAATACACTACGCGTTGATATTATTTTTCATAATTCCGATACTTGCAGCGCCATCTAGTGTCTAGTGTCAGGTAACAGAAGATTTTCGGTACTGGAAATTCCTCACTATCTGGAACGCTCTATAGAATCCTAGGGAATATTCTAATTATTTCGGCAGTCCTATAAAAGCAAGTCGTGCAACAAAATTAGCCCGTACGGCCATACGGGCTAATTTTGTTTTACGAGACAGAGGAGTAACATCTAAGCGATCTTCTATTGCGAAAAGTACTGATTTGTGTTAATTAGTGTTTATAAATAGTGCTAATTTTAATAATTAACCGCCTCTTTTTTTAATGTATCGAATCCCCTTATACCTAAGAAAAAATAATATTCTCCTGAGCAATTACCTAGTAAGCGACAAAGTCCTTTCGCGAGTGCGACGACGTCGTGGTGACCAAGGCGACCGGCGGATTCGTCCACGAGAAATAGAACGAGATCTGTAAAATGAAATAAATATATAAATTATACATTGCATGGCCTAAAGCACAACTTACTTAGTCTTGGTAGAAACATTGTAATCAACATTAAAGTTCTACATAGTATTAGTATACTAGCCACCTAACTCAAAAAATCGGTAATGTGGTTACAATTGTAAAAGAAAACTCAAAACACTAGGCTTTAATTTCAAAATGTTTGATGCTTACACGTAATTATAATAAACCATATAGGTTATATGGTTCCGATAAAGTTAATTTCACGTGAACGATTTCTTAAAGTAACAGAACTGTCAGTACTGGGCTGCAGAGATGCCCCGTCTAAAATCCCAGAAATCGTTGCCCTAACCAGAGGGTACTGTGTGTGGGATAGAATAACAATTTTCAATTTTATCAAGTCTCTCTTTAAAAACCTGAATATTAATTATAAATATGATTGCTGAACTTTTTTGCATCCAAAATGTAATAATCGCAAAAGGACACTGTGTCAAGTTAAAAAGAAGTTATAATGGGATATACGAGGGGAGGTCCAAAAGTTCGTGGAATGAAAGGGTTTTAAATAAAATGAAACCTTAAATCTATTTTTCCTTTTCAATATAATCACCCTTAAGCTGAATACATTTATTAGATCTATGAATTATTTTTTCTAAACCATCTAAAAATATTTTCTATCTTTTGTCTCATAATGAGGTACAATTGCCCCCTTTACCTCATTGTCGTTAGAAAATTTCCATCCCCTTAAGTATTTTTTTAAATATTGAAACAAATAAAAATAACTTAGGGCCAGATCTGGACTGTAGGGTGGGTGGACCAGTGTTTCGAAGCCAAGCTTATGCAGAGCAGCCATTGCAACTCTGCTCTTGTGAAACAGCGCGTTGTCTTGCAAGAGCAACACACCCTTGGTCAATTTTCCTCGACGTTTTTCTTTGATGGCCACCTTTAATTTCACTAGTATAGTTGCGTAGTATTCTCCGGTTATGGTCCTTCCCTTTTCTTTGTAATCAATGAGTATTATCCTCTCACAATCCCAAAAAACAGTAGCCATCAACTTTCCAGCCGACTCCGACACAATTTCTTTGGCGGTGTTGTACCCTTTTTATGCCATTGATGAACCCATGTTTCATCTCCGGTAACAATCCGCTCCAGAATCTGTGCAGGTTCGTCTCCACTTAACTCGCAACATTATTTTGACGCATCGATGCGCTGTTGTCTCTGAAGCGGCTTGAGCATTCTCGGTACCCATCTTGCACTGACTTTTATCATACCGAGGTGGTCGGTCATGTAGGATTAGCAAAATGGTGGTATCTGATACTCCAACTAATGCAGATAACTGTTTTTTCTTCAAACGGGTGTCCTCCAGTACAATTTTTTTTAACTTTTTCGACGATGTCTGATGTGGTGTCCTCAACTGGCCTTCCTGAGCGGGGGTCATCTTCAATCGACGCCCGACCATGTTTAAAAAGACCATGCCACTTGTAAATCATTGATTTACTAGGGCACTGTCTCCCATAAATGGTTTGCATTTCATTCAAAATGGTTTGAGCGTTCTTTCCTTGCTTGGTAAAGAATTTTATCACAGCACGGTGTTCAATTTTCTCCATAGTTTCAGTTTTCTTCCGGATAGACTTGTTTAGCAGGCGAATATTTGGAATATTTTGGACCTCCCCTCGTAGCTACACCTCACACTTCAATGAGCATTCATGTGGGAAGGGATAACTTTACATTGGGAACTAATTTTTAGTAAATATGACAAATTGGGTTGCCAATAGTAATTTGGCAAACAAACCAAACAACAACAAACCTAAATTTGGCAACAAACCTAATTAGCGCGTAGCTTCTAAACATAGACTAGCGGCCATTTTGCGACCCCTCCCGTAGTCCAATACACGCGTGCTTCCGTGTAAGACATTCTTTCGGACCCATCGCAGCCGTTGAATGATTTGTTAGCAGATATATAAAGGTAAAATTAATATAATATGGTGATGTGATCTTTCGAGTTCTATCTTTTAGCAAAAGTGTTGAAAATCTTTTGACTGGAGCACCTGAAATAAAACTTTACGCAAGACATGCTCGTCAAGAATTGTTTCCATCTTGACTGCACGGATGGAGTCTGGTTTAAGCGGTCACACCTCCTACTACGCTGAGTGTTGTGGGTTCGATCACCACATGGGACGACATCACTTTGTGTGATACATAAATTGTTGTTTTGAGTCTGAGTGTTCTTTGTGTTCATTTCATATATGTTTGAAAAGTCCCATAAAATCTATTTGTTACCAAAAACACCCGAATTTTTTATGCCAAAAATACTTTTTTTTTAGTTGATTTATACGTGCTTGTAATGAACGTAAAGTCTGATTAATTATCTCATTTAAAAAGTTCATTAATGTTGATTTAAACATAAGTGTTAAATTTTGTTACCTAAACTCTGTTTTTCATTTATTAAATAAAACTGTGTAATATTTTGTTTTATCTTTTTTATCGGAAACTAATTTCTATGTAACAAACTTCTCATACTACTAATACACTTGCTATGTCAATGTTAAAATTATAGAATGTGTTCTTATCTACAGATCTCTCACTAGGGTAGCTGTAAACATTTTACTTAACTACAACATTGATACAATTTAATTTTACAATTTTTTTTGAAGAGGTATTTTTTAGGTATTATAATAATGATTAGAATTATTACTAGTTGGTTGCAATGGGGCCTTTCACTTGAAACAATGTACATTATATTTTTTACATTATATATATATATATATATATATATATATATCTATATATATATATATCCAAACACACTGTGCTGCGCCCGACAGAGTCCATAATTGTTACCACTTAAATTGTTATCATCTATGTAATTAGGTTATGGAAGTAATAAAGTATTGAGTTAGCAAAAATGTTAAATGTAAATAGTGAACGCACAACTTATTACATCAAATACATCTATACTCAAGCATTATAATTTATAGGAACAAAGCACATGCACACAATTCACGAAGTCAAGAACGACAAGTAAAAACATAAAATGACATTCTGCAACAAACTGAACATATAAAATTGAAAAAGAATTGGGATTGGATAGACGAACCTAGAATAGCGGAGTCGGCTGGAACCACGACTGCGAGGCCTGGCACGGGGTGAACGGGGCGAGCGTGACGAGCGTTGCGGGCGCGGCGAGCGTGTAAGACGAGGCGAGCGGAGCGAGCGCTGCGATCGAGGAGAGCGCTGCGAACGAGGCGAGCGCTGTGAGCGTGGAGAGCGTGGTGAGCGTGGCGTGCGTGAACGAGAGCTACGCGAGCCAGACGCGGCGCGACGTCGTTCTTCCTCCCGTCGCTTCGCACGCATTTCCTTTTCGCGAATCATCCGGTTGAACGCCTCCAGGGGATCATCACCATGCCTAAGACAATAGTCATACGCACAATTAATTGTACGCTGTCAATCGGATCGATCATGCTGTAAGTTTTATTCAACGAAGGAGAAGACCATCAAGTCAAATTTTCGAATTAAATTTACATGCCTACATCAAGAACTCGATTTGATTTCAAAACTACAGCTCTTTACAATAAAAGCAACGCAACTCAAAACTATGGGTTTTAGGAAGATGAGCGGTATTTTTTAATGCAAATTAAGTCGAATGACTTTAACAACGAATTGAAGTAGCAAGCCAATTAAGAACTCTAATAAAAAATATCATGACAAGACTGTTCTATAATCTCCAATTGGATGTTAAAACAATGACATTAATTTTGTCATACCCATTCGTGGGAGAGTCTTTAATGCCAGGCGGAGGTGGTTGGTAAGGTTCCGGGCGGTAGTGGTCGTTATAAGGCAGTCTCGGCGGTCCACCAGGTCCCATAATTCTGATGAAGGAAAAACACTTAATATACACGACAAACGAAAAATTCACGATACATGGACATAATAATACATAACTGGCGTGCCAATCCAAAAGACTGTAACTCGAGTTAGTGTTTTGCCTTAACAACGCTCAATTAGTTTCTTTACGTCGGTTTAGTACCCCTGATCAACACTTTTGTTATTCTAAGGTGTATTTTAGAAGAGACAATAATCTAAAAAATACCGTATTGTATTGAAATTAGGGTTTTAACATGGAAAAAACTGTAACAAAGCTTTCAAAGTCAAAAGTCGTTTTCGAAAGTTACAGTGATTGGCACGGCAGATAAGAGCTTGTGCAAAACAATTTGTTTTGGTAAAAACTAAGTAGTAGAAGAGTGTATGTTATAATTAAAAATAATGAACAGTAAGAAAACAACAAGATAAGGCAGTAAGGTACATTTATATTTTATGATATTAACACTTAATTGGGATGGGACAAAAAATTACAATATTTGATCACTTTGTATTAAACATTAGTTATTTTTTATGTTTGGTAAAATTTGACAATACATTTAAGTCAGTGCTATGAACTGTACTGGGCAAAAGAGCCGCTTTACCTCATCAAATTATGATAATTGTATCAAATATTATGCATGTGTAAATTTATTCTGTACAAAAACTTTGTAAAATTATTCTATGGATGAAAACATAATTATAATGTCACTTTGTTGAGTAATTCACGTCCGATAGAGGTAACAGAAGTCTTGGCCAAATATAATTGAACTCCAGGAAACCAACTCAAGTGAAAAACATAACACTGGTCTAAAAAACCAAAACCTTCTAAAAGTTCTTACAAAAAGAAATAAACCAATTAAAAAACTCATTCAAATAAAAATATTTAAACACATTAAACTTATTTAAACACCACCAATATTATATAAAAAGTTATATATTTTTTTAATTACGTTATATTTTATTTTATATAATTTTATCTAGAAAAATTTATATTTCTGCTAAGAGAAATTAAATTTTTATTTTGTTTTACTATGAGAAACAAAAATATTATACCCATAAAAACATGCTCTGAAATTATATTTTTGTGTAAAGCAAGAAATAAACGGTTTTATTATTTATCAAAACTATATATTATATTAAACAAAGCACAGAGGGCAAAATAGCTTGTGTAATTCAGTAAAATAATGGAAAAAAGACAATGTCCTAAAGTGGACTATGAAAGGCTCGTAGTGATGATTGATGGAAAAATATTTGAAATGGAATTGTTAAATATTTAAAAATTGCAGTAAAACCAGTAACAACATTAAAGTAACACAATTGTCTAGTAAAATTGTTACTACAAAGAAAAATATAAATCTATCATGTTTCAAATTGTATTGTTTGAATGAGCAAGAAATAAATGTTTATTTTTATTTTATCTTATGTGTCAATTCAATCATATGTGTAGACCGTGGAATGTAAGTATCTACTGAGAGTATGATATAGGCTATTTCTAAATACATACACGAAATAAGAAAAAATATAAGAACAATAATAATAATATTTGGGATATTGTCTCAAAACGATTGCAATATAGCATTGCATTACAAAAACATTACATTTGCGCCGAAACCAGACTATCTTGCTACCCCGCTAATGTTGATTTTGACTTTAAAGGCGTAATTTAATAAAACAAAACCTGTTGAAAAATACAAGAGCATTCTACAACATTCATTTTTATAGTCGGAGTGAATACTAATCGTATCGTGAGCAAGTAAAACTAAGCCCTATTTCCTCAGTAACCAAACACCCATTTTGGCTCAGCAACCTGACGGCACTAGCTCAAGGTCAAGTTGTAGTGCTAACAGCTCTCGTGATTTAAATTCCAAATGACAGTTTATGTAATAAATGGGGTTTCACAGTATATCGGAAAAGCATAAGAAACATTGTTACAATGTTTCTTATGCTCTTCCGATATACTGTAAAACCCTGTGACGTTCCACCTATAAATATTATGTTTATTCTAATATTTAGATGTAAAATATATTTGAAAGCAAATATAAAACCAATAAATTTTGGGCAGACGCCATTATGACCAAATGTTGCAAGCTAAACTGGTTAACCACATTTTGATACGCATGTTCTAAAATGATAAAATACTTATTGCATAAATAGATAATGTAATTCTCTTGCACTGCACGCCTTGACACAGGGTTGCTAGTATTAATAAAATAAAGTTCTACAATCTAGTTTAGTTTAGTTCTACATTTGGTCCGACTAGGGAATCGAAACTAAGATCTCTATTCATAGCAGTCGCATTTTTATGCTACCACCGCATTATCAAGGCTGTAATATAATACATTTAAACGAGCAATTCTTGTATATTGTTATTCATCCAAATTTATTTTATCATCTTCAAAGTATGCTATGAAAACGGGTGCCACGAAGTAGTAATTTGAGTTTAGGAAAAAGAAAGAAGTCGGCTGGAGCCATATCTGGTGAATATGGTGGTTGCTCGCTGAGTGTTTGGTCAAAAATTCGTTCACAATGATGGCCTTGTGCGAAGGCGCATTATCGTGGTGCAAAATCCAAGAATTTTCTTTCCACAAATCTTTCCTTTTTCCCCGAATTTGCTCTCTTTAATGCCGCAAAACGCTCAAATAATATTCTTTATTTACCGTTTGACCTTCCGGCAAGAATTCTGAGTGCACAACACCGCGATAGTCAAAGAAAACAGTCAACATGACTTTGACTTTTGATCGACTTTGGTGTGGTATTTTCGGTTTCGGTTCAGTTGGAATGCGCCACTCCGAAGCTTGTTGACTAGTTTGCATGTCAAACTCGTAAACCCACGTCTCGTCATCAGTAACAATGCGTTTCATGAATTTTGGGTCGGAATTGGCTCGTTCTAGCATGTCCTCAGCGACTCTCATGCGATTGAGTATTTGGAGAAAATTCAGGTCTTTTGGGACTAGCCGAGCGGTAACATGTTTCATACCCAAATGATTAGGTAAAATGGTACGGATCGACTCGTGAGATACAGAAAGTTCGGCGGCTATCTCTCTCAAAGTTGAATGAGGATTTCCGGTCGCTATTTCCTTCACTTTTGCGATGTTAGTTTCAGTTGCAGACGTTGATGGCCTACCAAAGCGAGGCAAATCTTCCATCACATCTCGACCACTTTTGAACGCTTTGTACCACTCATAAGCACGTGTTTTTGATAAAGTCGATTCAGTGTAAGCCTTCTGTAACATTTTCAGGGACCCCGAACACGAAATTCCGTTGGCAATGCAAAATTTAAGATCTCTCTTTGTTCGATGTTTTTGTCCATTTTGAAATTCGCAATACACACTGGATATGATATAACTTAAAACAGCACTGTATTTAATTTAAATAACAGATGCAACTCAAACTCCGCCAAAACAGTACGGAAAACAGTTGTGCCAATCTAACAACAAAAAAATCAAAAATTTGAATTGAACCATAAACAAATCATCCATTCCCGATACTTTTTTGACTGAATTAATTTGAGTTAATCAGAATCAGTGAGAATTGTAATTAACTGCAGATTATTGCAATAATTGTTTAATAAAGTATCTCAAATAAATTTTATTTTGCTTGTATAACTCATACGAATGTTTTGGAAACAAAGGAACAACTTGATCAAGCACTTTACTTACTCATAACGCCGCGTGGATGGTGGACCTCGTTGCATGAAGGGTGGAGGACCTCGACCGTATAGCACCTGAAACCATTTGAAGACCATTACAGACATTTCATTATTTTAACTTTACGTTTTTAATTTAAAGCCAAAGAGAACGGAAACGTGATGTTAAGGTATTACACACACATATACAGCCTTGGCCAAAAGTATTAGGCACCCCAGTAAAATGCACAATTCATGTTTACTGATTGAACAATGAATAAATGCTTATCTTAGATGGCATGCCGGGGTCACAAATAACTTCCTAGAAAAGCAAGCAGCTATCTGTTATGGTCATAAAACACCTGGTGACTGAAAACAAAGGATTTGTTTATATGCCTTCTTATTGGTCAATGTTTGGTCACTTGTGTTCAGGACTCTTACGAGTAAACAAGCTTTTATTTCTAACATTGTGATTAAATTGACGCGTAATTTATTTAAAAATGCCGAAAAGAAGTTAAATTAGTTTGGAAAACCGAGTAAAAATACAACTTTTTCATGAACAAGGGAAGTCGCAAACAGAAATTGCTAAGTTAGTGAAATGTTCGCGTTGCGCTGTGCAATCTTCTGAGGAAGATTGGGCCAATGTGGTATGGTCTGACGAATGTAACTTTAAGGTAAGTACATTTTACTGCTTTTGTTATTAATAATCATGGTCAGTTATTTATTTAACTAAAATAATAAAAGTTAAGGCAGTTTAAAAGTGTTTTTTTTCTTTTTTCAACAGATATTTGGAACGCCAGGTGTGACCTTCGGCAGGGCAGCATAATGATCTGGGGCTGCATGGCTACTGATGGGGTTGGCGAAATGTTTGTTTGCGAAGGTCGTATGAACAGTGAAAAGTACATAAAAGCGCTTAAAACTGCGCTTATGCCTTCGCTGACGAGTATTTTAGTCGATACCAACTTAGAGGGAGTTATATTCCAGCAAGACAATGCACCTTGTCATAAGTCAGCGACTACGATGCGTTGGTTTACCGAAAACAACATTGACTTGTTTGATTGACCAGCGCAGTCACCAGATTTGAACCCAATTGAACATCTTTGGAGCATTTTGAAGCGCAAGATTAAAGAGCATAGTATCACATCGAAAACGGCATTAAAAATGCGTTAGTACAAGAATGGCATGCCATTACAAGGGAGGATTGTACTAAGCTTGTACGCAACATGCCAGCTAGAATTAGTGCAGTAATTAAATCCAAATGTGGACCGACTAGATTTCAAGTTTTTTTCATTCTTTTTTGTGTAATTTAATGGTAATAAATCAATTCAAAAAGTATAAGTTGTTTTTTTTTCCTTTATTTTAAGTAAAATGTAGGGTGCCTAATACTTTTGGCCAAGGCTGTATATGTATATATTTACTTGTGAAGTCATAGGGTCTCTTCTCTCGTCAATGGTTGGAGTACTGGCTCTCTGTTCATCGATTCTCGGTAACTGCAAGGGTGTGAATAAAATTTTTGTATTCTTAATAAAATTTAGACAAATAAATTGATCTTGTTATATATAACTTATTTGGGTTTACCATTTTAGCTACGACAATAATTATAGATATTTTACTTACATTCATGGGCATGTTCGGCGGAGTCTCTATTCCAGGAGGTTTTAGTCCAAGGGGGGGCCTGGAGCCTGGAACAATTTGATTTTCAATATTTAACATATACTGCAGTATTATTTTACAAAAATAATTATTAAACAGCGATGGCACCCATAACCGAACTGAGCTAAGCATGAATATGAATAGGTGTATGTCTTATCGATAAAGGAAGCACTATTTTAAATTTACACAAGAATATACAACAACGGCAATCGAATACGAGTCAGACGAAAACAAAAGTTTAATACGTTGAAAAAAATATATGTGTTAAGGACAGTACTCAATATGTACTAAGATAGAAATAAGACTTTATGTGACGATGAAAAGGTGGCGAAGGTCATTGCCTAAGTTAAACGAAAAGTTGGTCTGAATGAATGAATTTATACCGTCTATTAAATATTTTTAATTTTAAATAATTTTTATTCCAAATACTTCTAGATTGGTTAAACCCCGTATTTGGGTATTAGAGAAATGAATAGTTTTCTTATAAACTGCACCTAACATAGCCTGATTACTCGGTTTATTTTACGCAAAGGGTTTTCTTTCAAAATAAAACTTCAGTAGGACTCAGAATTAGTTAACAGGAATGTAAATGTATACACATTATACATGATGCTGTATAAGTAGATTAGAACTTATAAAGACTGGACATTTGGTTTAGACAAAATAGCATGCAAACGAGGAGCAGGCGTGCTAAATGCGTTTACGATGTTAGTGATGTACCGTAGCGCGAGTGTCGATGTCGATCGACATCGTGTGATTGCTGCAGAGGCGCGGGCGCGCGATGAGCGGCCGGCAACGTTAGCGTTATGTTGTCGTCTGCCGACCCATCTGATTCGTCGCCGCCACGTGGGTACACCGCGCGCTCCCCTCCACTCAGCCTTCTGCCCCCACTCGGGCCATCCTTTTCTTTAATATTAATCGCTCGTTAACTTTGCTTTTTCATGATATATCAAAACATGTAGGACTAATTTACATTGTGTAAGCAGCATGGTTTAACAAATTTTAAAATGTAAGGTCTTTACTCGATTACTTTATTTGATAATAAGTTAAACGCATAGGCACTCTCACATTTTTGCGCGGCCCTTTGCTTGCTTAAAAGTAATTCCTGAATTTCTTTTTTATATAGATAATTATCTAAATGCACGTTTCGATCATGTTGCAATTGCCATGTTCAAAGACTGACTTTGATCACGCAAAATCAAAGGTATGTAATAGCTGCACGTTATGGATTTCATTCTCATATATGTACATAATTACATATCATAGACAGCGACAGTTTAAAAGTTACTACTCTTGTCCCAGATAAAAGTTTCAGACCGGATCATTTTTTCTTTCTTAACCACATGTAGGTATGCAAAATTTCATGATGATCAGATGAGTAGCTAAAGCTTAGCAAAAGCGTAACAAATAAACAAACTCTAAATCAAATTTATTAGTTAGGATTACAATGAACTAAGCTTGATTTGATCCACATCGCGTGGTGTGATTTTTTTTTAATAAATGATAAAATACAAGAAATTAAACTATATTGGTAGATAAATAAAAATCTTTTTCGTTTTTTAACTGCTTTTAATTCCACACAAAAACTTTAGAATTCAAATGTTTATCGGTATACACGGTGATTTTGAAAGCGTTTTGGAAAAGAAAGTTTTGAGTTATTTATCAGTAACAGAAGCTATATATAACGTTAATTTAATAAAATATATATTTTTTTATAATCAAAGTCGATATTCATATCAATTACAGAGAAAAGGTGAGAACCAGTAGTAGGGCTTTTCAATCGCAAGTAGGTAAATACTACGAATAGAAATACTATACTCACGCGCAAGGTCAAGGACGTTTAAATTATTATTCGCCGGAGTGTAGTGCGTGCATACCTGGACAATGAGTTTAGTGATCGGTGGATAGGTCGAGGAGGGCCAGTGCCTTGGCCACGCAGAAGCCCGGACTTAACGCCCCTGGATTTTTTCTTATGGTCGGAAATAAAAATACTTGTTTATACACGGGAATATGAAAGCCGTGATAATTTACGCATTGCGATAGTGGACGCTTTTGATAAAGTGAAAAGTGATAGAGACACAATAAGAAAATTAAAAAACAATTGCATTAAACGTGGACGTTTGTGTATTGAATGCAGCCAGCGGACTCCATTTTGAGCAGTTGCTTCGATACAGAGAAGTGTAAATAGGTATGTAAGTTAATTATTCTGTTGATAGCTCCGATTTTTTAAATACGCTTGAAATATTTATACCTACAGTCCGTTGATAAATTGATTTGTTGTGAAAAGGACAATCGTGGTTAATAATCGAAAAGAAGTTTAAATAAAATAGGTATTTCCGACGGTCCTAAGCCCGTGTAAAGTATGAAGGACAAATTGGAGTCTATCTACGTAAGTACTCGCTAGCTCCTATAGGTATACTTTTATCAGCTGCTGTTAGCGTCAGCGGTGCGCAGCGGCCGCCGAAACACCCACGGACGTGTTTCATTCATATAAGATAATGAATGAAGGATCAGTCCATTACTACTTTCCAAGTCGATCGAGTAAAAATGAATATTAAAACTGAAACTTTTTTTTAGACAACATTACAATTGATTTAATCATTTTTATTGGTACTATAGATGATTCCAAATTAAAATGTTTCGTTTCCAAAACGCCTAAAAAATCACCGTGTATATTTACATCACATCCACAAGATAAAGTATATTGTTTTTATCAATGCATGTGATAAATGTTGTTATTTGCATCCTGCAAACCTGAGTCAAACTCTTTCGAATCTTTTGTAAACTCCACAGCAACTTCATAAAGAGTTACTTACATTAAAGTTTTCTATTGTTCTGATAAATTCTTTATGATTATATCCTGATATAGCTCCCAGTTTGTGTTCTTGTTGTGGATTCTATTTGCAGGTTCACCGCATGCAACTGATGTGTTTGCATTCGGTATAACTGGAGTGTGGTCAGGACAGGTCTACGTATGTACTAGTAATACATAAATAATTTATAATAACGAGGCGATAAATACAAGGCTACAAGGGAATAGAGCGCACGGCGGTGGCAACGCAAAACGTGGTGCCCAAATTGTTTTGAATTTCGATTAATTTATATCTAGTAAATAAATAAAAAATGTAAAATAATAAATCCACACGTTGCCGATCCGTTAATGACCGGTCTTATTTATCATTTAAAGTTCATAATTTTTTAAACAAATATGTTTTATTTTTGTCTATAAAGGTGTGATCCGCTCAACTTTGTTTGCGTCTCCCAAAAGGCATAAATATTCTCTGTTTTTTCAACATTTTGTATTAATGCACGGCTCCAGTTGGTCATAGCGTATATAACTATATAGCCCATAGCCTTCTCAATGAAGGGGCTATCCAACACTAAATGATTTTTTGAATTCGAATCAGTTGTTCCAGACATTAGCGCGTTCAACCAAACAAACAAACTCTTCAGCCTTATAATATTAGTACGAGTATGTATATAAATTTATAAGCACGTTCTGCGCCTGCCGCGCCCACAATCGCGGATTTTTTGTAGATCTTTTTAAGATATACAATGCCGTAGTACATTTTTTTGATCTATGGTAAAGAAAATTATAAAGCAATGTGTTAACTATACAAAAACTGTAAAAAAAGAAAAGAAGAAGAAGTACACGTTCTACAAAAAAATTATTAGGCAAAATTTCGGCAATTTTTATTAAAAATGACCAAAATCTTAAAAATGGTTAAGGTTGGGATATGGTATTTCTTAGTGAAATCTATCCGAAAAGATGGCAACTACAACCCCTTAAAGTATCTAGGTCGACTTGACCGGTAACCCAGTAAATATGAGGATGAATACCATTTTATAGTATGACTGTATTATTTGTAGATTAAAAAAGTATTGTGTTTTAAAATGTACATATATGTACATATTGATTATTTTTTAATTACATGTACATAACGTGGTATATATTTACATAGTATAAATTATCATAATTGTTATCTTTACATATTACATGGAAATGTTACATACGAATTAGAGGTTTCTAAAAGTATATTATCTATTTTATACTATCATAATACACAGACAAGGGTAGCTAACATTTCAGAGGAAGGAGCAATAACAATATTATTTCACAATAAGAGTTGGAATCTATACTAATAGTTTGTTTGTTTGTTTAAACGCTCTAATCTAAGGAACTACTGGTCAGATTAGAAAAAATCTTGCAATGTTAGATAGCCCATTTACCGAGGAAGGCTATAGCTATATATCATCACGCTAAGACCAATAGGAGCGGAGCACCAATGAAGAATGTGGCAAAAACGGGGAAAAATTATTCCTTTTAAAAGACGCAGACAAACTTGCGCGAGTCAGCTAGTTTGTTACAAGTTAACTTGTAATTTGACAATACTGTACTGGGAACGCGTGGTGACGGTTCAAGAATATGGAGTGTCACCACCACTATTCATCCCGTGGGTGTCGTAAGAGCCGACTAAGGGAATAAACTACGCAGGACAATGACACTGCAAAAAGAAGAAAAACTTGAAACAAACCCTATGCCAACCCATCTGGCCAGTGTTGTATAGTAGGCCTAAACCTCCTTTTAAGGAGAGGCTTATATTCAGCAGTGGCCTATTAGAGGCTGTTGATGATGATGATGATGATAGGGTGGTTTATATCAAATGAATACAATACCGAACGGTACGATTGCAATTCATCGATAATTTTGCTACTATGCCCAAAGTTTATTTTATAGTTTCTCAGCCTATATAAACCACAGCTTTGTACTACGAAAATGAATGTTAGTTAAGTTGACATAATTGTAATATATTGTTCACACTCAAATTATTATTGATCTTACTTAAAACTTTCATCTTATACTAAAAATATTTTTCAATTTCATGCTTGTTAAAATATATTTTTACCTTGTTAATATTTCGTCACATCCAAAAACCGTTTAATTGCACACAAAATTACACAATTTTGTAAACGAACCTGCATTATTTGAATCTGAAAGCACAGGGCCGTTGTTAGCTGGCGGGCCTTGTGCAATTGGAGGTTCTGAAAAAAAAACAATAGTAGTAGATAAGTGCTGACGTCTTATAAACAATCATAAGAAGATATTATAAGGAGTAATGCATCATAATATAAATCAAGAAATTTTATCTATATTTTTTTGGCGAGAACTGTTTTTTTTAACGAATATTGAATTGGATAATAATAGAAAAGTTAGTGATTAGAAGTGTTCAAAAGACATGTTAAAAGATATTTGGGCTTTAATTTAAATAATATTAGTGTGTTAGTAATCTGATTTTATAATATATTACCTAGCACAGGAGGGAGCTGTTTAACTGGTGCAGCAGCTGGTCTATGAGGCATTCGACGACTGTACCCCGTTTGATTTCGAAAAGAAGATACAGAGTTTCTTAAAAACCTAAAAACATTTTTGATGTTAACGGTATGATTAACCAAAGTCAATTAAATAACTTAAATTGATAAGCTCTACCTGTTAGGGATTAAAGTAGTCGGCGCGATTTCTTTTTCGCGGCAGTCAGGACATTCGTGATCTTCTGATTCTAGTAGAGCCCCTCGAATACCTAAAGGACATACAAAAGATAATTGAATTAGTTACGGCGTGAAAGCGTGACTACAAATAAATTCACAATCGCATTTATAATAATATAGTAAATATATTTTGTAAAGTCAACCACACAGTGCAACAAAACTAGGCTCTGCTTTTGTTACATTAAGTACGCTCTAAAAAAATCTATGAAATCTTACACTCATCACAAAATGAATTGCCGCAGCATGGTATCATAACAGCGTCGGTGAGCAAATCACGACACAAACTGCAGATAAGTTCGTCGGGAATATTCGGCTCAGGTACAGCCGACGCATTCGTGGGTGCATCGGCGCCACCAGCGCTCTCGGATGCCAAATAAGCCTCACTGGAATACAAAACAACAGTTAAAATACGAAGATCAGACCTTAAGCAAACATGAAGAAAATACTTGTGCTATACAATTAAAAAATGTTTCGGTAAACTTCATCACCAGGTGTTAATTTGGGTTGAATCAAGATAACTTTTGTGTACTTATTTCACTTGTATAAGCAATTTTTTACTTTTACCATTTAACTATTCTTTTGAATTATGATATGATATGCATGTTTATGCTATATGAGCAAATATTTTTTTTTAAGAAAAATATTTACTTCCCCTATCTACATTTCCACTATTTTCCACCCTCTTCAAAGATGCACTTGTTCAAGATTTACTTACTTATAGTGTCTGTGTGTAAACTTACATATTATGTAAATTTAAGACTTCAAATCTTTAATTTAAGCCTTTTCAAATAGTTTAATCATACAACTCTTGTAAGTCCACATTCCACATCTTAAACTTAAACCTATGACAGATAAATCTTGAAAACACTAACTGATCAACAGCTGGCACAGCAAAACTTCCACTTGGTGTCATCATCGCACCAGGAGCCTTTGGGCCCTCTACCGGTACCATAAAACTACGAGGAATTCCTGTACTTCTTCTTATCTCTACAGGATCACTCTGTAACACAAACAGTATGATATACCAACATCAAAGTTTGACTTTAATGATGAGGACACGAGAGTTGTAAGGATAATGCTTTACTACAGTCATTGTTTGGCGATGTGACTTAGTAAAATCAGAGCCCCCATAGCTATATAGCTCATCATCATCATCATCAACAGCCTTTAATAGTCCACTGCTGGACTTAGGCCTCTCCTTAGAAAGGAGGATTTGTGTCAAGTTTTCCTTCTCTCTGCAGTGCTGTTGTCCTGCGTAGCTTGCTCCCTTAGTCGCCTTTTACGACACCCACGGCATGAATAAGGGTGGTGACACTCTGTATTCTTAATCCGTCACCACACGGACATATAACTCAGTTAAATTAAAATTCTAGGAAAACTCTCACTTTTTGCCTATTCTTGAAGGACAGTTGAATTCAAAAACAAATGAGCCAATGTTTTGCACGGCTATCATCGCGTTATTTCGTTTGAAATAACAGAATATAATTATAAATATCAGTCCTAACGCTACTACTAACACTACTTCATTAACAATAACTTTCAGAATACATACGGAGTTGGCAGTAGGACAATCTTTAATCCAGTGTCCACGCTTCTGACACTTATAGCAAATATAATTATTAGGAACAACTCCTCTCTGATTTTGTCCTCTAATTTTCTGATAACTGTAACAAAAGTGATATTTTAAGACATGTTACGAAATAGCAATTGTATACAATTTTAACTGGCTTGATACTTTATTTATCACGCTTCTTATTAAAGTTATGACTGTACTGGAAATAAATTATTTTACATAGAACATAAAATCTCAACATGAGACGCATCAACAAGAAAGAAAAAAGAAAAAATCAACACTATAATCGGAAGGTACCATTTTAGAAGCATCACTTAATAGTTAGGTGTACGCATTAGCATAAAGTATGCGATGAAGTTCTGAGACTCGTCCTTGATACCTTAAGGTATTTCTGACCACACTTTCGTCAGCCAGCCCTGAAATTGATGGAAGCTCCGGAAGCATTCTCACGACTTTTGTTCAACTTTGAGCATAATGAAATAAATCTTGCCGTAAGTTGTATACAGGGAACATTGGCTATGGTGGTCTTCGGGTCGTGCGTGGTAGGACACTGACGACCCGTAATATGGCGATTCGGAAAACCCACATGAGGCAGTTAGAATGACAGGGTAAGGCGGCTAACCGCGCCCTGTCATTATGACGCATTTCTCTGTACTGGGTGTAGTGAGCATCGATTATCACCCGGCAGATTACAGCCCGGCCACGGCACATTTGCTGCAACTATAATTCGCGCGACGCGAATGGCGGCGCGTTTAGCGACTAAAACAAATGTAGGGAAAAGTACTGGTCATGCCACGCGTGGTAGCGATCGGCGGGACGACCGGCGAAACTTGCAGAGCGAATGTATGAAACAGTACGACGCATGCCACAGTAGACGCGGCCAATAGTATGAGCCAAAACAGTTTAATTGTATTCGCCGCGAAATAATGAACTTTTTCTTCACGTTGAGAAGGTTGGCAATCATCAATGCTATACGAGTTTTAGATACTACGAATCTAAAAAGTTGTTTTGAAAAGCAGTTGAACCACTCTCACAAATTGAAACCAGAAAAGTCCCACGCTTCTTTTCCCTTGAATTTAACTTGCACTTTTTGCACCTTTTAACCTTTTTGGGCACCATAAGTGCCACTCCATATACAGACTGGGATAATAGATATCACAAAAAATAAAATAACAGATAACACGGTTCAATATACGTCGGTTAAAATAAAAAATAAAAAAAATAGTACGAAAATACAGAAATGCAAATTTAGAACAAACTAAATACAGTAAAATAATTTCCGAATTAGAACACCATTGATAACATGAGTCGGTGAACTGTACCTACACGGCAGCGTCGCAATGTCATCGACATCAAAACGACGCCGCCGCTGCCGCCGCAGCCGCGACGAGCCGGCGAACTTTACATTCTTATTACCTACCTACCAATCACTTCACTTGCTTTTTAAAATCTATTTATAAAGAATACGATTTTATTCACGTGTTTAGTTTGGGAATGCTCGACTAGCTTCGGACCCAGCAGTACGTACCCACTCCTTGAAAAAGTAGGTACCTTGGTTGTCTCGTAATCTTTACCGGCCTTACAAAAATTCCGCAGTCTGTAGGACATACACGATTGACTCCATATGTGTCCGTAAAGCAAAAGATGCGTTTTGATAGAGTTTACCATTAAATTAACATCATGGCAGGATATTCCGCGGCTGTGAAGGTCACTCACGGCATTATGGATGTTGATACCGATAACCCAATAAAATTAAAAGACTGAAAATTCACTCAGTTTCACACTACACTACACACAGAACCTAATATTGTCACTTTGCAAAATAAAATTAGCAGGACTCGTTACATTACGAAGTCTTGCGCACACGATAATATTAATTGTTCAAACCATTGCCGTGTATTATGACGAAAGCAATAAGACTAAACAATTATTACCACAAGAAAACTTTTCTAAACAAATATGTATCGCATAAACAACAAAAATATTATTATTACGGTTATTTGTCGTGAGCGCATCTACAAGGATACGGAATAGCATAACACTCGCCGGTGACCAAGGGCCGACTGACTGTCCTTACTGGATGAACTAATAAAAAACGCGTGTCCTTCATCGTGATGACGTAATAATCAACATATTTCGTTCGATTCGAGTGTAGTAAAAGCGGCAACGTGTGATTACCGCGCCGCGTATACCTACAGCTGATCGCCGCCTGAGGTCAATGTATTATGACTGCATGTACACATGATGTTGCAATATACGAAAACAAAAAAAAAAACCTGTTTCTAAACCACTAAATATTTTTTGTTCATATTTTGCGAATCGTCTTGAAATAGAGTGCAGAATATGATGTCAAAAGCTTTGCGTTAATATATGAAACAGACTGTATATGGTGAATTTCTTTGTTTCATGAATAGTAAATCTAACCACTTTTTTGTAGCGTATTAACCAGAAGGCCCATTCTCGCAATAAAAGTTCGGTCACAATTCAGTTCCAAACAACTCTCGATCTCGCAACTGTCATGAAAAGTATTTTCGTAGTGAAATAGTAAAGTATTACTAAGACTAAAAGATTACCTATTCAATTTTCGGTTACAATACGATATAATCACATTACAGTCAACGTTAGATTTTTAATACTTTATACGAATATACCTTTTATGTCAGTTAAAAATCGAGATCAGGTCAGAACTGAAAACTTCTATTATGATAATTGGCCTTCTGAACCTGGCCATCTCGTGTCGCTGAGGCCTAGGATATCTATTGTAAGAACCATCGTTAACAGCAGATAACAGTGTAACAACCAAAACAAACACATCAAAAAAGTCTAAGCAACACACATCATTTACAGAAACTGCATGTTATTTAATTTTTTGTTTGAAATATTTTTTTTTCTTAGATAAGTAGATTGGTATACAATCTGTTTTATTCTCGGAAACATTTACTAATTGATTTTAAAAACAAATTTTTCGGGTGTGTTTTGTTTTCATTAAAATAAAATCTAATTATTTTTTTATATTATGGAGCGATTACCATTTGACTGCTGATGAAATGCAGAGCTGTAGGAATGCTACAAGTGGAAAGAAATCAATTCCAGGTATCTCGGCGTTTTGGTGCGTGGCAATAGGAGCGTGATTTGTCGTCTTTGATGTTGCTGAGCAGCATCCTGGATGTGGAAAGAGTACCACTGCTCGACAGGACCGTGACATACAACTGACTGCAAGACGCCAGCCGATGTTAACCGCCCGAGAGATAGGTTTAAAGCTACAATTCTCAAGCGGTGTTGTTGTTAGAAACCAAACCATGATCAATAAGCTGACCACGAACACGACGCCTTATTAGCTTTCCACCTGTACGCGTCATAAAATACGCCAAGACACGTTTTGAGTAAATCATCTTTACTTAAATTCAAATTCTTTTAGTTTAAATTCAAATTATTTTAGTTATTTGTCACCTTAAAGAGACTAAATATTGAACATAATTTTAGAAGTGTCTATTGATTGATATGTACCTACCTATTCTTTAATAGTCTAGAGCTGTTACCAAAAGCGTGATATGTATTTTACTTGGTTGCCACGTTAGTATTTTTAATGCTTAAGTAATCATTCGGAAGTAGGTACCTATTTGACCTATAACATATGATTCATATACAATTAGTTACAATTCTTCTTTGTAGCCTGATAATTCATTCAAACAGTTAATAAAATGTATTTTTATGCTAAGTAAGTTTGTTAACCGACTTTAAAAAAAAGAGGAGGTTCTCAATTCGACAGTTTTTTTTTTTCTAATGTTTGTTACCTCAGATCTTTTGACGAGGTGAACAGTTTTTTGGCAAACACAAACATTTAAGCTAAAGTCATTGTCGCAGACTTGTATGGCGCATATTATTAACACTAAAAGATGTCTAGACTGAAAAGGGCAAGTTATTTATAAGTTATATATTTAAACGATTATTCATATACAAGTGAATTTTGAGTCACAACACTACAGTTAGGGACCTAACAGTGGCGTGCACAGGATTATGACACTAGGTATGCGGCGGAGTAGGAAAACAATATAATTTAATCATCACAACCACACTGCCATTCGTTTCATAACTTTTAACATGAAACTTGTGAGTTACATTTCCTTTTTGCTTGTTTAATTGTTGTAACTCGGGTACACACCTACCTTTAGACACAATTTTAATCTTTTCACTGACTGACAATTGTGAGAACAAATAACATTTTTAAAAAGCAATGGAACTCTGTAATAAACTGTTAAATGTACACACTTTCAAATGTTAAAATGACAAATAAAACTATAATTATGCTGGCGGAAATGACGGGGAAATAAAATAAATGGGTGTGTGTGTTTGCGAACTGTGCAAGGACACCAAAATTACTACACACTTGCGAACAAATGTCCTGCCGGACGCGACGGCATGAGTTGGTTGGTTAGGTACAGCGCCGCTTGCTTGTTGGTAAACGCCTGGCAAACATAATGTTAGTGTGCTTGCAAATAGGTGCTATTTTTAAAAAGTAGGCGTTTTTAAGTTACTATATTTTGTTTATTCATTTATTTACTATTAATTAAAGTCATCTAAAACGTACGAACATTTTATTAAAATATCTGTGAATAGCAAGTAAAGCACTGCATTACTGCCTACAAGGAGCGCACACCCCTGGGACCTAACCATGTAACTTTGAAAGGAAGTCTAAAAAACATACTAGGGTTTGTGACTATTAAGAATAAGACTGTCCACAATTCTAAAGGTTGAGTGCAAGTTTATTTCACATCAACTCAATCTCGACGGAGAGATTTCAGTGCGGGCCAATCATAGCGCCATCGTCACTGTGAAATAAACTCATACTTGGTCTTCTAAACCCTAGGTTCAGAATTGTGGACAGATAAGATCTGATTCTACTCCATGTGGTTAAGGGGGGAAGGCTACTGAGGCATCCTTATTAGTAGATGATGTGTTGTAATTCACCTTAACAATATGGGTAAAGAATTTTCATATCACTTAAATGAAATAATAATTATAGCAGAAATGTTCTGCTTTGTCTTACTTGCTAGGGTCGTAGTCAAAGGTGGATTGTGATATCATAGCATTTATTTTATCCTGTTCGCTACCTTCCATGCGAGATAGATCAGCCAATCCTTTATTTGGAGCAACATCTTTGTGAAGCGAAGCTTGATTATTTGATCCCTCCCACTGTTTTTTGGGTTGTTGCGAAAGCGGAACTCTAGCAACCAATAAAGATGTATTCTTCGGAATCAGAGTGCTATCATCCCCATATACTGTAAATATAAAAGTATAATTTGATCCATGACCCTTACGACCTCAACCGATTTTTTATTTGCATACCGAATGTGAAATGACATAAATTACTTGAGGAACACATGGGGCTACATATAGACTTAAGAATTACTGACCTTCTTTTGTTTGAGCATTAGTAATTTGTAGATCAAAATCAGAAGTCTTTCCAATACGCTTTTGCTGGGATATGGCAGCTTTAAGATCACCTACTGATATGTGTAATCCATCAAAAGTAACTGTATCGTAATCCAACGCACTTTTGAATTTATAATGCACAGACATTTCAATGTTTCAGATGTAAGAAACATGACAAAACAAAATCACATTTCAGATTTCACATCCAATTCCAACCTAATGAGCATTAGGCTTCAACTAAATTCTAAAACTGTTTATAACATAAAATCTATAAAACTAACAACAATTACAATGTCTTTCATCACTAATTAAACCGTTAAGGATATTTCGTTTTAACAAACACTAGTAAGAGAAGCAGTCAAGCCGCTTAGCTTTTCATTCATTCATTATTCGCCATTTTAAATGTTAGAGATGATAAAGTAGAGTAGGGAATCAAAGATCCCTCAGTCCCGTAGAGCTGTGGTTGGAATAAAAACACAAAGAGCTAATCAACTAAAAGAAACACGAATGTATATGAAATAAAATTTTAGGCGTATTTTTGCACGGGAAGTCAAGTTTTTATTTGATTTTTCACTGCCAAGAAGATTGTGTCAGTGTATTAGCTCATTTTCGAAATATTCAAAAAAGTTAGAAAACACTTGATTATATTTCTAAACAAAGTAAATTGATTATAATTTATGTGTTTAATAAAACGGTCAATTTAATCTATTATATTTATAAATATGTAGTTGAGACAGCAATGCTGCTAACTACTGGGAAGTGCACCATCATCATCATCAGCCTATCGCTATCCACTGCTTAACAAAAGCATTCTACTGCGGGAATCACAAAATACCTATACTGATGATGGGTACCAGTAGAAAAATTATTCAATAAAGTATGCAGAGTAGTAGTATTAGCAGTAACAATTATTGCAGAGAGATATGATAACAATTAAACTTATTACTGGTGTGATATCTTGGAGGAAAGGGAAGCTTTAAATAGATGTACGACTACTCGACTTTTAAGCTTATTATGACTTATTCGATTCAACATCAACCAGCAACTTGGTCACTAGAATTGAGACTTGCAATAGTATTAGAAATTACACAACAAAAACCACGTTTGACTTCAAAAATAGAAACGATTTTGGAGTACAAATATACATTACATTGTTTCAAGGTTAGATGGGTAAAAAACTAATTGTTTCTCATTTTCGAATACAATATTATTTATTTATAACTTGGAGGACCGACAGCTGTGACAAATTTAGTTAACATAGAGGATTGCATCAGTAAGCCCATTATAGATCCCCACGTTTAGTTCAGTACGTAGTTAATAATATTAATTTTGAGCAGATTAAAGCAAGATTTTCGGCTTCTCGAAAAACACAGGCCTCCGGCGAATCTGTGGCTCTGTGGCCCTGGGTAAACGAATGAAGCATTTATCCTTATGATCACAAATGAATTAAAAATAAGGAAAAACATGAGACTTTCAGAACTTTTTCTGGTTTAAAATTATATTTTGTCGAGCTGTACTTCTTTTCTTACTGTAACCCTCTAAAGGAAACTAACTATATAAACTTTTATTTAAACTATTTTATTCGAGAGGTTATTATCAATTGAAGAAAGTTTTTCATAACATAAATTTACTGAAAAAGAAACAGCTAAATCATAAAACCACTCTTTTTTTCTTTTTACTTTACAAGCGTAATATACCTATAACGAATACATTTTACTACCTCCTTGTTTTTAGAACTGTACACTGTAACTGCCCATTTAGTTATGTTATTGCTCAATATTTATTCAATGATGCATTTTATTAATTTTATCTCTGCTTTTTCTTTTACTTTACAACTAAGTTTTTACTGCCGAAATTGTTTAATAATATGCATTTTTTAACTTACCAAAACCACTATATACAATTCCCCCTTTAAATCAGTGCCCCCTCTTAATTTCTATTTTCGTCCAATTGTTTTTCTTTCTTTCTTAGAAAAGAAATTTAAAACTACGAAAACGGCATTTATAAACTCGTATAAATAATTTCGAAAATGACTTAATGCCAACAAGGTAAATAAAAACAACAATTAAACAATGGGTCGCTCACGCATCTATAATTCTGAATTTTGAACAACATGCCAAATCGTAAATAGAATTGTGGGCTCTAAGTAAAATTTCACTAAAACACTTGTACGTTGATTCCACAATACGACAACTTTAGAAGGCACAAAAAAAAGTTCTTTGACCCACAAGTTCGTTTACTTATTTTAAATTTTTATTTTTATCTACGCATTTAAAGTAATATACCCTCAAAAAGATTTTGCTTTGTTGCGTTAAAATTATATTACTCTGTTTAAAGCAAATACTTAGTATGATAAAATCGTCTAATTTTATTTATTATGTTCGTTATCTAAGTGAAAAGCATATTCTTTCATCCTTGGAAAAAAAATTACATTTGAGTCAAAGATTGAATAAATTACATTTTATTCAAAAGATTACCTGAACGTCTAAAGATAGCCGTTTTTTTATAATTTAGTAGGTACTTATTCTTTTTCCACTTAATAGCAGCTCTATAACCGGAAGACACAATAGTAACAACAGTTTAAATAAATGAAAGTGACGAAAAATAATTTTTAATTAGGAATAACACAGTAGGGAATAATTGCTATTTGATTAATTTAATTTAACTCAGACTCTTTCACCTTACTTTACACACATAATAATAAAACATTCAGAGTTTTGTATCACTACAGATTTGGCAAATTGCCATGAACTTCCGGTACAGGATACACGCGGATCTATTGAGAAAAGAACGCGACTATTAAAAATAACTGGAAGAGAAAGACTTATTTAATAAATTTACAATATCTGTTTTTAAAATGTCCAATAACGGTGCTCCGGACTCCTGGGAAAATCAAGTCGATGTTATAAGTGAACAAGGTGCAAAAGATTCCGACGATGTGTCTACAAAATTTTCCACGTTGAACGTTAATGCCGTGGAATTCGTGCCTTCTTTTTGTAAGTCTTCTTCGGCCGATGATGCCGAATCCCCCACTACACCACAAAAATCTGAAAGCGACTCAACAAATTCTACCGAGAGTCCTGTCTTAAACGGTAAGTCAGATGTCTTGTCATTACCACACGCATTCAAGCTTGGTTTATTTCACTTATCCATAATAATTCATCGTAATTATCGCCCGAGCTATTATCTTGACCGATATGAACTAAAATTCAAGCGGTTACTAAAGCGGAACATACGTTCAATGACTATTTTTTTTTGTGAATCCAGTTCTAACGGGTTATTTCTCGACACGCGGCGCGCGACTTTGTCTTTACACTTCACAATTGGTATTTCATAACTTTCTCTTAGTTAAATATCGATATCAATTGAAATATTTTGTAATACAAAGGTGAAAATGGTTAAAGGTGTGTACAAATTCATAAATTACTGTGTAAATTGTAGTGAGTGAGATGTTTTCTTTAATATGGGAACTTTTTTAAAATATCTCTTGCAAGCAAATTTAAAAGATACTTTTGCTTTCTTTTCGTTTTAAAATAGTATTATAGAATATATGCATACTTTTTATCAAGTTATAATATCCATCAACAAGAAAGATAACCTCATGCTAAAATATGGATCATATGTTTGTCATTCTGGTGCATTAAGGCAACTTGTGATTGTTTGATCTACTGTATTGTTAGTTATTTTACTACAGTCTAAGTGTTAACACCTATGTCATAAGTTTTTTTAGTTAAATTACATTACTGTGTTGAGTTTTCACAATATTTGCTAATAAAATTACAACTTGTATTGTTGGTCATAAATTATTGACAATCATTACTTTTCTATACAATATAGTATATAGTTGCATTTATTTCACTGCTAATTATCAGCTAAAGTAGACAACAAAACTAGTGAAAGTGATCCCTTATTTAAGTATGGTAAATCTGAGATACTATTGGGTGTTTTCTTAAAAGCAATTTTACTTATACTTTCCAAACTTTGACCAGTTAAAGCAAAATGCCTTACATTAATGTTTATTCAGCAAATTCAATTTCAACCCTAGGTTGTGGAGATGGTGGTGCTGAAAGTGGGGATGGAGGAGCGGCGTCAGCTTCCCCTAGAGTGGAGGAACCGCCGCCTGTGCCACCTGCTACTGCATCACCGCCTGCTGCTGCTACAGGTGCATTACCTGTGCCCACTGATGTCTCACCTACTGCTGACAGCTGGGAAGCTGAAGCTGATGATGCATTACTCACCCCAGAAGAAAATAATGAGCCTGATGATGAGGAAATTGAACAACAAGTAGGTTTTATGTCACTAATCTTACAATCATAAGAATTTATTTAAATTTTATATTTCTGCTCTTTATGGTTATGGTTTATTTCATGTAATTAAATGATCCTGTAGTGCCATTTCACATTTTCAGTATTTATAGGTTATTGGAAATTATTTACCTTGACATTGATGACATCAACAAAATTTAAAGTCCTTAGGTTACAAGTTGAAAGGCTGTAAAGATAATAAACTCAAACTTTAAATTAAGAGAAGACTTCTATATATCAGTAAAAACAAATTTAGGTATTTACGGACTACTTTTTGGAATTGCTAGTATGAGTTCTTATACTAACAATTCTAAAGATGGGTTCTGTTAGTAGCCGTAATAAAGTAAGATTTATTAAATACTGTATTGAACTTGCATCATCATTTTTGTAATATTAACCATGTTGATATTGTAATTTTAATTGTTGAATAGTCAGTACCCACATTGCCTATCTGCTGACTAATAAAATAATTGTGTCAAACAGTCTATCTGGTGCTGACTAATATGTATAAATCTATTGAGACTATTGTTTTATAAGAATACCAAGTGTTTGTGTTTAAATTAAAAAGTTAGCATTCTATCATTAATTGTACCTTTTGGTATGTATTTCCAAAAAAAAACATAGTATAAGCTCTGCTTAGTTTGGGACTAAATGGTGTTGTGTGAATGTGGTAGAATCTTATTATTGTCTGACCTTGGCTTTAAGGCTTTCATAATATTTGAAACCACTAAAAATTTAATCTTGCAAAAATTACATGCATCGTGATATGTATAATCTAACTTAACCAAACCCCAAAATGAGGAAAAGTATGGTATATTTTAATTACTTCAATTATAAGGTAACTTTGAAAAAATAAAAAATATTCAAAAAATAAATAAATAAACATATATATATATATATTTTTTTAATTAGTGTTTTGTCATCGGTCCTTGATATATCTACAAAGTTTGAACGAATTCTGACCGTTTAAAGTCAGTTAAAATCACGCCCAAAGGAGTCGGTTACAAACAAACATACATCATCATCAACAGCCTATACTAGTCCACTGCTGGACATAGGCCTCTCCTTAGAAAGGAGGTTTTGGCCTACTATACCACGCTGGCCAGACGGGTTGGTATATGGTTTGTTTCAAGTTTTCCTTCTCTTTGCAGTGCTGTTGTCCTGCTTAGTTTGCTCCCTTAGTCGGCTCTTACGACACCCACGGGATGAATTGGGGTGGTGACAATTTGTATTCTTAATCCGTCACCACACGGGCTCAACGACTTCAACAAACATACAAGTGAAGCTAATATAAAGCGTGTAAAAAGTTATCAATTTCAATGCACTTAAATTATAATAAATTGAATTCTTAGCTTACAATTATTATGTTAATTGTTTATAGGAGGATGGTGAATTAACCAAGAAAATCCCCAAGAAAAAGCCACCTCGTGTTGAAGACACTTGCAGCAAAAAGGAACATGTAAATGTTGTATTCATAGGACATGTGGGTTAGTACAAACTATTACTGACAACATCATATTTGATGTCAGTTTACTTCTATTCTAAAACAAACTGCATTGTATTCTTATCAGATGCTGGCAAATCTACTATTGGTGGTCAAATAATGTCACTAACTGGTATGGTGGACAAAAGAACGTTGGAAAAATATGAAAGAGAAGCACGAGAGAAATCTAGAGAATCATGGTATTTGTCTTGGGCACTCGATACTAATCAGGAAGGTAATTGTTAAAATTTACTCAAGACCTTTTCTTTATTAACACTTGTTACAATAGCTAAATAAGTATCTTATTTTCAGAACGTGATAAGGGAAAGACAGTAGAGGTTGGCAGAGCCTACTTCGAGACTGACAAAAAGCATTTTACAATTCTTGATGCTCCTGGCCACAAAAGCTTTGTACCAAATATGATTGGTGGTGCTGCACAGGCAGATTTAGCTGTCTTGGTAATTACATATATAATTTGACTAACTGTGTGAATTGCAGTTTTAACAATTTAAATTTCCATTCTCTAATATGAGGAAACCATTTTCCATATTATAATAAATGAAAGATAGAAAGTAGTCAATTGTTATTATGCACATAAACAGTGTATGTTTGTGTTCTCTATTTGAGTAGCAGAACTATAGCTCCTAATAAAACTCTGTATTTTAGGTAATTTCTGCTCGTAAAGGTGAATTTGAAACTGGTTTTGATAGAGGGGGACAAACTCGTGAGCATGCTATGTTAGCTAAAACTGCTGGTGTAAAACATTTGGTTGCACTTGTCAACAAGATGGATGATCCAACTGTCAACTGGGATGAAAAGAGGTATATATTGAAAAACACATATAACTTCATGTTTTACTAACCACACTAGAACTGTATTCTACAAAAGAATGTTGATTACTTTGTTAAGAGAAGTCTGATAATATTTTAATAATTCTAGAGGTAGTAAAAAACTTTATTTAATTGAGTTTACAAAAACTTCATGATGTTCATCACAAGTTAAAATATAGAATATACAATTCTATTTAATACAGTTGAGGCATGCGAAACCTTCTGTTTAAAGCTGTGGACAGGGGCATTAATTAAAAAGAAAACTAATAAGTTATCTAAAGTCGAAATCTGCCACCCAGAGAAGACAAATAAAAATAACTTAAACTTAGTTTTCACCTAACTCTTTGGTACCTCTGGTGGCAGTTGAGCTAAAGTCGAAGGTACAGGCCAGATGCCAGAAACGAAAAATAGCAGTATATTATGGGTCTATGTTGAGATTACAAATACAATTACAAATTTAACATGACTGATTTGACATGAAATTAATAACAGGTTTAACTTTGTTTTCAGATATAATGAATGTCGAGACAAAATCATGCCTTACCTCAAGAAACTTGGATTTAATCCAGCAAAAGACCTGTCTTTCTTACCTGTTTCTGGTCAAACTGGACAAGGTCTATTGGAAAGAGTAAGTATAAGTAACTCAACAACATTTTTTTTAATGTGTTTAACGTTTACTGTGTTTACTCCAAACATTTTCAAGAATAACAAAACTTTTCAAAATTTCACTTTAATTGTGCTTATATTAATTCAATTGGACTTAACTCAAAATATAAACATAGAAATAGAGACCCCACCTAATGTCTGTTTTGCTGGGGAAGCTACTCCAAAAAGCCCGCCATGGAAATCCGATCGCGTGCACACCCAAACATAGCTCATAGGGGTAGACGAGCTTCACAACTGTGCTACAGAATTACCAACGGCCATAAAGTGAGCCAACGGCTCGTTTGTCGAAATTAATAATATGAACCTTTAGTGCTAGTTCAAACCCCGCGGAATCCACGCCCTCTGCTTCCAATGCACGAGGATTAAAAGTGTTCAAACAGGCGCGGGGAGTGTGCGGACGGACCGATGTAGGGTGACAGCCGCTTCAATTTGAAGAACTCCGAAGAAAAAAAAGAAATTAAAACTACCTACTATGTATAGTAAAATACCTACTAACTTAAGAGAGCCTTTTTAGGGTCCGTACCCAAAGGGTAAAACCCTAGGGATCCAATTACTAAGACTCCGCTGTCCGTCTGTCAGGCTGTATCTCATGAACCGTGATAGACCTTTTCACAGATGATGTATTTCTGTAGCCGCTATAACAACATATACTAAAAACAATAAAATAAATATTTAAAGGGGTTCCCATACAACAAACGTGTTTTTTCTTGCTCGATATTTATAACGGCAACAGGTAGATGTTTGAAATATTCACAGAATATTTAGTTATATATTCACTTAAAAAATAAATAATTAAATTAAAATGAAAAAAATATTTAAGGGGGGCTCCCATACAACAAACTTGATATTTTTGCCGTTTTTCGAAGCAATCAATGCTCACACATGCGATACGCGCGGATTCTACGGAGCAACGGAATGCGCCGAGGGCAGCTCTAATAAATACAACCGTGTGCTCATTCATGTTCCATACTGCACGGATGGCATAGTGGTTTAAGCGGTAGCCATGCCGCTCACTACTGCGCAGCAGAGTGTTGTGGGTTCGATCCCCACCTGGGACGACACTTTGTGTGATCAACAAATTGTGTTTCTGAGTCTGGGTGTTCATTTAGTACAATGCTTCTATTAAAAGCTAAGGTTTCTGCTGTGTCTGAACAAGCCCTTATTCCGAACTGGTTAAAAAAAAATAACGGCATCTTCCAACAGCTCCCATCTATGGACTCTGTCCGCTGCAACTATGGTCCAAGGTTAGGCGGAAATCATAGTGTTAAACTCCGGAGTACCACTACCTCATAAAAAATGTCCCATGTTGCAGTAGTACTTCTCACGTTTTTGATAAATTCATCACGTTGTTGGTTAAAATTATAATCCAGTTTTGTATTTTTCTATTTCTTCCTAATAATTTTATGAACAAAATTATTTTTGATCAAAAATGGTTTATTTATTCTTTAGCTTTTAGAGTTGAAGATTTTGTCATTTCGGTCTACTCTTTTTTTTCACTGGAATATTTTTGAAAGTTTTTCCTCTAATTCGGTAGATGATGTTTTTTCGTGGCTGGCTAAATATATTTATGTATCTTTTATGATTTTTAGTAAGTGCTGTTATCATAATATAGGTTTGTTGGTTAAAATTTTGATCAATTTATGCATCAAGTTTCGAAAACAGTAGTTTTTTGTGGTCACGGTTGTTGGTTAAAATTACAATCCAGTTTTGCATCAAGATTTGAAAACCGTAGTTTCGTTATTTATTTTTTGAAATTTGTTATGGCAGCACTATTTTATAGTAGAAATTTAGGTTGTGTGTTGGCATCCCTCTCTCGTCTGCAAAATAATTATTTTTGTTTGCAACACTAGTGTGTCTATCACTAGGCTTGCTGTTGTGTTGGTATACCTGATACCTTGATGATCGATAGTCGAACATCAAACTAATTTTCTTCGTCAAGTGAGTTGGACGTTGTGGTGGTTCTATTTCTTCCTAATAATTTTGTATGTACCATTTGGATATACCTTTTTGATCGATAGTGGTTACTTTTTTGTTTAAATTTTATGTGTTAACGAGTTGGGAATTTAGTCTTCCCTCTTTATATTTTTCACATAATACGGGACTTTTTTTAATAGTTTTCCTCTGTTTCTATAGATGATGCTTATTTTGTCTAGTTCTACCTCCCTTTTTTTTATGATTACCAAAAAATATCAAATTGCTTTTTTCTGTTATCTTTTTCTATTATTGAGAGAGTTTCTTATATTAATGTTTTTATCTTAAAATTTATTACTGCCACCATCTTTTCGGTAACTGTCAGTGTTATTACTTAGGTTTTGTAGTTAAAATTTTCATCCACTAATAAAAGTATAACGTAAACAGTAGTTTCGTTGATTCGTCTTGTTAAATTTGTTATATCAACACTTAGTAGTATAAATTTTGTTGGTATCCGTATCTATCGCAACTATATCGACAGATAGAGATAACAATAGTTTTTTTTTGTTTGCATCACTGGTGTACCTGTCGCTTTACTTGTTGTGTTGGTATCCTTAAAATTTAGGAAATCGATAGTAGAACCTAACACTTTTGTTTTATCTAAATAAGTTATCTTTGTAATCGTAACACTTTTCGGGTTGATCTCGGCCTCAGTCTCAGTCCCGAATCTCAATTCTTTTGTAGTCTCTGTCTATTACCATATAACATTTTGTTCAAAACTGCCCAAGTCCTTTGAATGGCTAGTTTTAAATGTTAATTTTCGGAGATCATTGACGTTTGCAACACTGGTGTATCTGTCACTTTGCTTGCTGTTATGTTGGTGTACTTGATAATTGAAAAAATCGATGGTCTATCTTATACTGATTTTCTTCGTTAGGTAAGTTAACGTGACGTGATTCTACTTCTACTTAAATAATTCCAACTACTTTTGGTTAAAATAACAATTCAGTCATACATAAAGTTTCGAAAACAGTAGTTTCGTATATTCGCTTTTGTTGATTAAGTTTTTTATCCAGTTTTGCGTTAATTTCTGTAACCGGTCGTTTCCTTTGTTCGTTCATGTTTTTAATTTATCGCAACACTTTCTTGTTGTAAAAAGTTTTTTGGTAGTCCTATCTGTCCCAACCATATGGACAGAGATACTAATTATTTTTTTTTGCAACACTTGTCAACCTGTCACTTGCTGCTGTGTTGGTATCCTTAACATTTAGGAAATCGGTAGTCGAACCTAACACTATTTTTTTTTATCTAAATAAGTTAGCTTTGTAATCGTAACACTTTTCGGGTTGATCTTGGCCCCAGTCCCGAATCTCAATTCGTTTACTTAAATATTACCATATAACATTGTATTCAAAACGGCACAAGTTATTACGTTTGAATCTTTTGTTTTAAATGTTAATTTGCCGATCATTGATGTAAGTGTTAATAACTGTTGCTAATAACTAACTAAGACGTTAAGAAAAAGACTCAAAATTTGTTTAAGACTGCATTTATTAAATGTCATAAAAACCCTATGCTAAACAACGTTACTTATCTAAGAACTTTTAGTTATATTTTTTTTTCTTATTCTATTGTTCTTGATACGGATTATTGACTGTTTGTGATAAAATAAATAAATCAAAATTGCTGTCATTCAAAAGTTTTATTTCTATAATCCAAAGATAAAACAGCAAAATTACTGTTTACAATAAACGGGCCAAATAGCACTTCTATTTTCATCTTTCATTTAGTAGGGATGTGACTAAGTGAAAGTCAGTGTCAATTTTTAAAGATAGTTTTAGAAGTGTGTATTATTCAGGGATGCCTAGTTTTTATTCTAACATGTAAATTATTTTCACCAAAAGCTTTTCAATAATTAATTAGCAGCAGTTTCTAGTGTTACTTATAACATATTTCTGATATACTTGAGTATGTTATTCCCTTATCCGAAAATTATCTATTTTTGTTCCGTTTGGTTATTTTTTTGACAAAGACAAAGGAAAATCTACACTTACTACTTACTTATACTTAATAATAATAATATTTAATAATTATTATCTAATAAATAATTAATTGATTAAAAGTAATTGATTGATGTTAATACTTGGTACGTCATAGGTTAAAAACGATTTGTGCATTGAACTTTATGACCTTTTTATGTATTTATTATTTGCGACTTCGTTCTCGTGGAATTTGAAAAGCGCTCAGAGCGGGCAAAATTTTATGGGGTTTTCCTGAGAGGAAAAATAGCCTAAGTAACTCCTTATATAGACAGCTACCTGGTAGTAAAATATTATCAAAATCAGTCCAACCGTTTGTGTCCAATATTTGTGTTTTTGTTGTTAGGTAACTGAAGAAATCTGTCCGTGGTACCGCGGTCCATCGTTTATCCAACTTATTGATGAACTGCCATCTCTGAACCGCAAAATGGATGGCCCCTTTATTATGCCCGTTGTCGACAAATATAAAGACATGGGTACCGTCCTCATGGGAAAAGTTGAAGCAGGAGTTACCAGAAAGGGTCAAACTCTTTTCCTAATGCCCAACAGAGTAAGTCTCATTTTATTTAATCAAACTAGAATTCTGTATGTCAGTATAACACAACTTTTTTACCGTTAAGAAATAATGAAGGAATTTGTAGTTATTTGTCAAAAAAAAAATTGTTTTGTTATGATGTATTATTGAGTGCTGGCTCATAAAATCATCATCATCTTTTTTTATGATTACCAAAAAATATCAAATTTCTTTTTTCTGTTATCTTTAATAGGATAATCTTGTTAGGATTAATAAAGGCTGTTGCCTATATTAATCCACTGCTGAACATAAAAAGGAGGTTTAGGTCTACTATACCACGCTAGCCAGATGGGTTGGTTATAGGCTTTCAAGTTTTCCTTCTCTTTGCTGTGCTGTTTTTCTACAGAGTTTGCTACCTTAGTCCGCTCTCACGACACCCAAGGGATGAATAGGGGTGGTTACACTCCTTTCTTTAAATCCGTCACCCCATGGACGAAATGTAAACCTTATAAAATGTATTAACTAACATGTTTTGCACTCAGGTCCAAGTTACTGTAGACCAATTATGGTCTGATGATATTGAAGTAACATCTATTGGTCCTGGTGAAAATGTCAAAGTTAAGCTCAAAGGCATAGAAGAGGAAGATGTTTCCCCTGGTTTTGTTCTATGTGACACTGCTGAACCCATCACTACTGGAAGGGTAAGTTCACTAAATAGATTTACGAACACTAAACACAAAAGGTATAACCGCGATGTTAAATATGTGAAATTTTGCTTATAATTACAGTAAAACAATAGAAATAAGAAAATCCTTTTCAAATTCTTTATCATTCTATTGTCAACGAATCAACAAACATACCATACCGTGTTTATTTCTGAGTCTGATTTACATGGCATATATTATATATTCGATTCGAATATCAATATCAGCATCCGCATATAATCAGTATTGCTTTTCAAAATCAGCATCCGCAAAATCATCAATGCTGATTGAATGTTGACATTAAAGTCGTAACCTGTTCGTTGAAGGCAGGACCTAGCGCTAGTCACGAGTTTTAACCAATCAGAGACAGTTACATGAGAAAAACATAACCCTCCCCACTTGTTCCCTCATTCGAGTTTTGTCAATATAAATTATTATTGATCGAACGTTAGTGATTACGTTAGTATTGTCTGAAGTGCATGCGTAATGCATTATTATAATCCATACTTCATATTTTTCTTGTACGCTTATATCTTTTAAACTACGCAGTTAATAGTGATTCAATATATAATAAAATAATAAATATTGTATATAAAGATGTCCCTGTAGTAAAGTCCTATCATAATAATAGTATAATCAATTACTCCACACTGACACCACATTAGTAGTATTTACATTGCACCCGTGCGAAGCGAGCCGGATCGCTCGTTTATAATATAAAATACAAGCTTTTGCCCGCGGCTTCGCCCGCGTTTTTGTAGGTGCTCGCGGTGAGAAGTAGCCTATGTTATTCGCTGAAAATGTAGCTTTCCATTAATGAAAGAATTTCTACAGGACATTTTTTTATGCGATATTTATAAGCCCGATCCGCTCTTGCCGGTCGCTGCCGGTACGGACTTCGGCCCGACGGGGCGACGGTCGGTTTAACTGCGGACTCTGATATCTACTAAGATATTCATTTTAATGATATGCTATCAAATGCACAATAATTTTATTCATGTTTTATTTAAGTAATTATTATTAATATCAGCATCCACTGACATTGATCTGAAAAATCATCATCAGCATCCGCTGATGCAGTAAAAACCTGAAACAGCAGAAACCCTAATATATATTTCAGACTGCTTATTAAAAAAATTAAAAATTGTTAAAGACAATGAATTTCAAATGCAGAAATTAATCATAAATGTTCTTTATTCATTATATGTATTGCATCACAACAATTCATATTTATATTAAAACTATAGGAATTATAAAGAGTTTTTTACAATTTTCAGGTATTTGATGCTCAAGTTGTAATCCTGGAACACAAATCTATAATTTGCGCAGGATATTCTGCTGTAATGCACATACATTGTGCTGCTGAAGAAGTCACTGTTAAGGTAAAAATATACTGTATAATTGAAATTGTTTATTTTAATAATCCTTAATTATAAATTTCTTAATATCAATGAGATTAGGCATAATGGTTTATTTATGTATAACTTAAACATTACCTGGCATCATGCTTTAGTAACCAGTATGAAGAACCGGTATACATTGATTTTATATCCATTAGACTAAAGGCAGGGGCTTATGGATTCTTGGATGTTCTGAGCTTAGATACAACACTGTGTCCGTTGTTGTATAGACCTTGGAGGTTACTCACCCAAAGTGGCAGATTTCACAAAATTGAAAACATAATTCCCGTTCTTGCAGGCTCTTATATGTTTGGTGGACAAGAAGACTGGTGAAAAATCAAAGACGAGACCGCGTTTCGTAAAACAGGACCAAGTCGCTATCATGAGGATAGAGTGCGCGGGAGTCATCTGCTTAGAACCCTTTAAGAAGTTTGCCCAAATGGGCAGATTCACATTAAGAGACGAAAGTAAGTGTAATTATTCAGTAATTGTTATTAAGCATGTTTTGTTATTAGATATGAATGAGTTTTTTTTTTTTCAGTTAGATTTTGCTTTATGTGAAGTAGTAAGACATATATTAAATAATTGCTGGTAATTATATTGTAGTGACTTAAATAGCTATATTAGTACAGACTGAGAATGTTCAGATCAAAAAAAAAAATAACTGGCGGGTTTTTTAACATGATAATGCCGGTGAAAGTATTAGTTTAAAAAAATACTTTGTAAAAAAAATCGGTTTGTGGCAAGTTATTGAAAAAATTGAACAGATGCGAAAACCGGTTTATTGAAAAATAACGAACAAAAGGAACAATAGGAACAATTTTAATGGAAAAAACCAAAAATATGATAATAAAATGGATCATACCTGGGATTAACTCTTTTTCTATTTCTTTCAACATAACTGAACCGGAGGCTGTCTGCAAATTATTTTACTAACTATTGATAACAAAAAACGTAATTAAAAATTTGATGAAATACACATTTAATTAACTTCCACTTTATAGGCATATGTAATCATCAACAGCCTATACTAGTCCACTGCTGGACATAGGCCTCTCCTTAGAAATAAATATGTAATAAATTTTTAAATTATTATTACGTACAAACTATCACTAACTAATAATTTATTTGGTTTGTTGCAGATAAAACTATCGCAATCGGAAAAGTTCTAAAAGTGGTTGAATAACTTGGCACTACGATTTGTAATTTAGCTAGGTTAGGCATTTCCAAAACCTATATCAACAGAGAAAGATGTAATATGTAATGTTCCACTTTTCGGTATAACCTATGTACCCAAAAATTCTCATTGTTGCTTATCATGAGCACACAAATTTCTTTTTCAGATTTCTCAATATCATAGAACAGCTAGGCTTTTATTTAAGAAGAACTTAAAGCGAAGTATGTACTGAAATCCTCACGATGCTCCTTTAATCTATTTCTAATGAATGTAAACAACATTTAACGCTAATTTTACATAATTTTATAGTGATTGATAGCTATTCAAAAAATCAACAATAACTCTACTTCAAACGTCTGGTTAAAAGAAAGCAAAGCTGTGATGTACTTTATGAAATTGTTTTAAAACATTCATTTCTAATAGATTATAGTTATCCCCAAGGCAAATAGACAAGAAACATATTTCTTTTGTATTTTGTTTGTGGTTGTGGACAGCCTATCTTTCATAATAATGCATATAAGAATAAAACAACTGTTTGAGAATGTGTTGTCCATAACTTATTTATAATATCAATAACCCGAAATGGAGGACATCATTATAAAGGTCTAAAGAATATGAACATCATACAAAGGAGTTAAACATAAAGAAGAGGAATAAGAGATGAAACATAAAATAACTCTGGTCAGATATTAAGATGTTTATGCTATAAATTCGCTAAAGGAACTGCTCTAGATTATATTTTAACATAATATATTGAGCTTGTCTGAGGGGTGTTGAAGTATCAACAGTCCTACTGAGTTAGATTTAAAGTTTATATTAGATTATATCTTAACGTAGTTCAGCTTTTGTTCGTTCTAGGGTTGTAATTTATTATAATTATTTTTAATGTAAACTTCACGCATTTCTTATATATCCATATGGTGGTTTGCGTTATTCGTCGATTCCTGTCGAGCATCGCGTAGAATTTTAGTATACAAATTCTAAACAACACCTGTAATTTTATTACAAATACTATATTAATTTTGTCGTACTACTGTTTACACACTTATTATTAACATAAAAAGTAAAGAGTTCGATAGATAAGACACTTATTTAAATTGTTAGAAAGATCATCCACTTAGCGTTGGTAAAGGGTAGAGTACAATTTTATTAGTTCCATACAAGATTGATTAAACATCTGACCTGCCTAGTTATACTACTTGGCACTTACGCTAAGTGTGATCGGGGGTTTCCCAACCGACCACCCGTATTGTCCAACTGGTTGGTCAGTTAGGAATTGATTTGGTGATCACGCTAACTCATATTTATACTAGTGATTACAATATTTTCACATGGATATTAATGATTATTATAATATTGTCCTATTTTCAAACAAAATTATGTTTTATTTTAGTTTGCTATAATTTCACTACACTGTTTACTATAATCTATCTATTTATTTCTGTTTGATCAGAACATTTTATTTGTATAACAATAGATTGACTCCTATCGACCACAATATTACTTATTATAATTTGCTATTTTCATCAAGTGAATAGAGTATTATTTTGTGCCTTCAGCGGCTTATAAAACAAAGCTGGCCTTCATCAGAACTATAGCAATAAAGAAATGTGTGCAACGAAGACGGCCGTGATTATGTCTCGTGACAGTGCACTGCTCTTTTATGGGAAACAAACTATTTATATGAAATTGGAATCGATGACAGCAATAATCCAAATAAAATTTTAATGTGAATATATGTAAACTTACACATTAAAATATATGAAAAATAAGTAATGAATCTAAATAAAGTACTTATAGAAAGTTGTATAAATGGGTTCGCTCTGCAAATGTTTTCTAACTTCGGTTAAACTTCCGAATCGTTATGATAATGTATATTATGAATTTATAAATTATCAGCTTTTTTTAAATATAATCAAGATTTACTTGTAGAGGCGTATGTATATTATCAATATTTTGTGTATATCAGACAAGATGTGAGGCGTACGTACCCCCCGAACCGGTTCACCCCGTGCTTTTGTTCTGTCGACATGCTTTTAAATATTAGAGGGGAGTAGACGAGAGTCTGACCGCCGCGTCGTAGTGCCTTTGTGTTGCCGACGGGGGCGCCACGTTCGCCTCGCTCGCGCCTCGACACTGGCGAGCACGGGCAGGCTGCGACCATATTATTTTGTTTAAAATAAAATTTTATTAATACTACTGTACTTATATTTTTAACATGATATATTAAGCATCCTATGTTTAATACTAAAGCTATCTAAGTCTTGTAACTGTAATGCAGATGCTCAATCTAATATATCAATAATTTTATCGCGTGCTAATCCTCACCACACCAGGTTAACAGTGAAACCACGAGCTATTTGGACTCGAAACTATCGGGTAACCCCAGAAATACAATCACTGGCTGTCTGCTCGGTGTACGTTACCTCAGCAAAATAATGTCGAAAATGGTCATTTAAATGTTATAGATAATTAGTTACACCGCTTCTCTAATTGTTACGCACTTTTCAAAATTTATTTCACGTTATTTAAAAGAAAAACATTTCCTGCTGGGGTAACGTTTGCAACATTACCGCAACCAGACATTTTCTTTTTTAATGCAATATTAAGCTAAATAATTCGTTATCTAGACGAGCTAACTGTTACAACTTATTTTGTATTTGTATCTTCTTCGGCTGCGAAGTTATTCGAGATCGATAACGTTTGTGGGTTTGCTGGATCTCTGAAACGGGTAAGTGGATGCTAACCAGCTTTTGTACATAACTTCTTAAGAATTTTAATTTTGTTTAAAAATAAAAAAACACCGTTTAAAGATTATTTAATTATAAAAACACTTCAATACGTCCTAACACTTTGAATAAGATACCTTAAGATTTACTTTAAACGTTATTTTATAGCTTGTAACTGCCTTCAAATGTGTGTAAAGTTTCGTTAGGATACTGTAAGTAACTAAAAAGTTATGATGAAATGTAGCTCTCCACGTTCACAATCACAATGTGCGCGGCAACTATAGCAGCCTTGGTAAACGGTCTATTTTGAACTTTTTATTTTATACAAATTACCTGAAGTCCTCTCGACCCTATACAGTTTTAGTAGCCATAGGCAGGTGCAGTGTGAATAAAAAAATCTATCTTTTATCTGTAATTGTAAAAGCTAAAATTTAAGTGTAAACTGAAATCATTTATTTTAAAGGTCATAAAAACAGAATTACTGTTTGTAATGTTTATCTGTGATTGTTTTTAAGTTTAATTATTATAAAAAAATAATATTGGAACGATTATTTTACCTGTAAATAAAAATTCTTTAAGAAACAGTTTTTTTGTAACTTGTGTACATATCCGTACAAAAAATGCAAATAATATCCTACATATTTTAGAAGACAGCGTAATATACTGGGCGATCGCTTTTTGTAACCACCTAAACATGGCCGGGTTACCACGGTCTTATTACAACTATTAGGACGTATTAAATAAAAATTATCTTTAAACGGTGCATTATTTTTATTGTAAAACAAATCAAAATTAATTCTTAAGGAGTAATTTACAAGAGCTGGTTAGAATCCACTTACCCGTTTCAGAGATCCAGCAAAACCACAAACGTTACTCCAGCAGGATGTCGAATAACTTCGCAGCCGAAGAAGATACAAATACAAAATATGTTGTAACATTTACCTCGTCTATAAAACTAATTATTTATCTAATATTTATTTAAATATTCCAATTAAAAAATAAAATGTCTGGCTGCTGTAACATAACATAACAAAACGTTACCCCAGTAGGAAATGATTTTTTATAATAACTTAAAAACTACATGTGAAACACATTTAAAAAAGTGCGTAACAATTATGGAACTAGGGACAACTAAATATCTATAACATTTAAATGACCATTTTCGACATAATTTCGCTGGGGTAACGCACACGTCTGCTCGCCTCTTTAACAGCTGCCATCTCATTAAGTAGAGGAACTGACCACGCGAGAACACGTCGCACCGCCGTCAAACCTTGCAATAGAAATTGGCAAAAGTCTTTAAAAAAGTTTATGCTACATAGGTGCTTTTGAAGATCACTGCCCGTTACAACCTGCATCCAGAAGGTCAATTCTCGTAATAAAAGTTCGTCCAAAATTCAGTTCCGAACTACTCTCGATCTCACATATGTCATAAAAGGTATTTTCTTAGTAAAGTTTTCTCAAGAACCAAAATTCGATTGTGTTAACAATCATAATGTGGAAATTGTTGTAAGCTTTCAGAGTGATCAATACATCCATGTATACCTCATGTTAACAGTTATGGAGAACCGCCTCTATGCATAGTTTCTATCGAAATGCGTTTTAGGTGGCGCTACACTGGCCAGTGTTTCCACTTTAATGATTTCTTTTCCCCACGCCTCAATTCAAATTTCCCCTTCTCGGGGCTTTTTCCCCCTCAAATTTTTTTCTGCTGTAGTTTTTACTTTTGGCCCTAGTGTAGCAACTAAAAAAACATAAGGTCTTTATCGATTTTCTTCTATAGCCAGCCCACGCCTCTGGTGATACTATACTATGAAATCTATAAAACTTGGGCTGTATACTCACCTCTTATTCCAAGTTAGTTTACGCAATCAGCACATATATTTTAGCACAGAATAATATTTTAGACCTTAAACAGAATGGAAATAAGGGTAAGGATACGCCACCTGCACGTGTTGTCATTGTTTTATACGGCAACACGCTGGTCCACGGTAGAGTCCATAAAAAAATAGTTCCGAAATTTACCGCAATATTTTAAGCTAGGTTCTCAATTTCCCCTTTTAATGTCTTCCCCTTTTTCTTCCCCTATGGACCCTAATTTCCCCTCATTGTGGAAACACTGACACTGGCACAGCACGAAAGTTTAAAAAAAGAGCTAGAGTTGAATAAAGAAATAGACAAATTAAGACAAACGATTTAGAACATTTATATCGGATTAAAAAAATCTAAATTGGATGGAACTATGGAGTAAAACCCAAACCATGCCTTGCACATACTAAACATTTACAGATAAATACTAAACTTAGTTTAACTGCACATTTCATTCAAACTATATCTGCTAAGTCCAAACAAAACTCAATTCTGAATGTAATGTGTTACGCTCGAAGATTAAAAATGCTTATTAAGCTAAATACAACAAGCTAAAAACACTTTGTGATCACTGTAAAATAGCCACATCGCAAAATTAGTACGTGTACTCAATAAAAAAATATGTTTATGTATAGTTTCGTTGTAAAAATGAAATCAGTGTGGCCCTACGATATGGGTCCTACTTTAGTCTAGAAACTTTTTGGTAGGTATCATTAGGATTTTTTTTCCTGTCATTAGTGTGAGAAAAACAATGTAGAATAGTGTTTTTTTTTTATTTTTTCAGTAATATCCACAACTTATTGCTGAAAAAGTACAAATACTCTAGCTGTACTTTCCGGTATCCAAGCAATCCAGTGTAAGAGCACAAAAATAGGACCACTTTTTCTACCAATCACTAAGCATATTACGCGGTTTATATACTAATCGCAGTTAAGTTCTTCCTGGTCCTCATTTCTGCTATTTTATGTTACGCCAAGCCACTGTCATTCCATTGATATTTACACGCTTTTGAAATGCCACTGACATCGATCAAAATATCGGTATTTTCTACTAACATACATAAATTCACAACGTCAATAGATCCCATGATCCTAAATGGGGATTTACTCGAGCGTCATGGGCAATTAGCATTTGAAAGATTAGTTAATAGAATGAATAAAAGTTATATAATGTTTCCAAATGGAAAGTGGGAAAAGCTTCTACAGGGTTTAAGAAATGTAATAGGAGAAAATACGGCGTGCCCAGCGCTCGGTTGCCCAGACGTTCCTTCCACTCCCGGTTGGGATTTCTGATTCCGATTTCTCGAGCTATAAATATCATTCAATTTTACTCAAACCATAACATATTCAAATAATATAGGTTTATACATAGTATGTTTCTTTGTTTTCAACGTCGGAAGTCGCTACATCGCTCCCCTCGAAGACCGGAGGTCGATATATGATGAGTTAGCTATCTAGGCTTTGTTGTGGAGCATGCCAGTGCCAGTAGTGAGTAGTTTCAGTGAGTCTGAACTGAGTACCGCTAGTTCGAGTGAGTCGGAACTGAATGCCGCTAGGCCCAGTGAGTCGGGGCTGAAGTCCGCTGATCCCAGTGAGTCGGAATAGCATGCGGTGCGCGATGCTGCGGAGTCGCTGGCTGCTGCGTATATGGGAAAGAAATGCTCATCTTACGTGGACGGTAGGTGCAGTGAGCTGTGCTTGGACGCTGATGAGGCCGTATGGTTAACCAGACTGGAGCGGTCACTATCTGCTCTTGATGATCTACTCCTTTGAAGGTTGCTTCAAATCTCGCCAGGGCCTCCACTGTGGAGGAACGGATGTTGTGTCCCTCTAACACAAAGAGAAGACCCTCCGATCAGGTGATCATGCCTGGCGGATGTTGGGAAGTTGTATATATGCTAATCCGTTTGAGAATTCTTCATAATCGCGATACAGGATTGGCAGTTACTCCGTAGTTTGGTGTATATTCTATAAATGGCGCTGTAGTATGTTTCTTCGTTTTCACCATATGTGGAAGTCGCTACAGTTTTGTTGAAAATTAAACATGAAGACGAAAGTTACCTACATTATTTTGAAACAACATATCCCCGTAATTACTTGGTGGACCGTTTAAGTCATAGCAGTACAGATAATCAGGTGACCAGCCACAACTAAAGCATTTAGGTAGCGCTAGACTCGCGAAAGGTCTAAATAAAAAATGGTCGTAGTCTATGACAAAAAGAATGTTGATATGGCATTTATCTCTGTCTATGACCAAATCACAATCACAGGTGAAATCGCTGTGAACAAAAGAAATCTTTTCATCATATGAGTATGATTTAAAAGAAGCAATAACTTCCATGTATATTGCCCAGCTTAATTATTTAGTTTTTTTCAAAATCATTTACTGCTGGGGTAACGGTACCGCAGTCAGTCATTTTCTTATTTAATTAGAATGTATTATTATTTAGTATTTATTTTTTCTACAGCATACCATTTTTTTGTGTCAAACTTCAAGCATCTGCCAAAAATTGGTTTTGTCAGACACAGCACACACAAAGTTAAAAATTTGTATTTCATTTTAATTATTGCAGCTTTTCATGGAAGTTATGAGATTGTTAAACAGCGATGTTTAACGCGTATAAACTTCGCTTTCAGACTTGATTCAGCCTTGATTTCAAGTTGATAATTTAAAATCTTGAGACAGCAGTTGCACTCCTTTATTCTTTGCTTTGAATTTACATTATTTTTTGATACATTAGTTCCGGGTAACGAAAACTAAATTAACTAATCTCTTAATAAATTGAAAACGTTTGTTTGTCATCAAGGTCGTGGGTTCCATTCCCACCAAGGATAAATATTGTAATGATCACGGTCATTTGTTCTGTGTCTGGGTGTAATTTATCTATAATATGTACCTATTTAAAAATATATAAGTATGTTTATCAGCAGTCTGGTTACCATAGTACAGGCTCTGCCTAGTTTCGGATCAGACGGCCGTGTGTGAGAGATGTATTATTATTATGTTACGTGCGTTATTTAACAAATGTAATATTTTGAGACGATTACAACCATTTAATTTTATTTCTGCGCGAGAACAAGGACGAAAAACGTTAAGTATTAAAAAGAAGCAATAGTTAGCCAAGCTGTTATTTAACTTTTTTTATGATAGAGGGGGCAGAAGAGCAGACGGGTCAAATGATGGAAAGTGACCATTGCCACCCATGAACTGTCCTAAATTCTCTTCTTTGAATCAAGGTTTAATCAATTTTAAACAAGTTTAGTCGATTCCCTGCATTATTTTGATGTCATGTATTTATTATCTGTGCTCCCATTTTCTATTCCATAAATGAATCGGTGCGGCGAGGCAGCGGGTTAGAACGAATATCAATTTTCGTAAGTTAATTTTGTGAATCTATGCTTGGAAGTACTAATTTAACGTTTTTATTCCTACGTTATTTGTCACGCCTTTGAAATTAACTCAAGAAACATGGCTAATGAAACTCCAGTTCCTCCTCCCGTTTTATGGGCGCAATGCAAAGCTGACGTCTTTCTCACATTTAGCATCGAATCCAAAGACCCGACTATTAAAATAGAACAAGATTCAGTATATTTTAAAGGCATTAATGCATCAGACAATAAAATAAATGAAGTAACCATACCATTATATGATAACGTAGTGCCGGAGTCAAGTGCCTTCGTAAATAAAGGCAGATGCATAGAAATGGTACTTCACAAAAAGAACACAGACGCTTCATACTGGCCATCACTAACGAAAGATAAGAAGAAACCTCACTATCTTAAGGTAGACTTCAATAAGTGGAAGGACGAATATGATGAAGAAGAAACTGGTGGTGATAATTCTAATTATGATCTTGTAGAACTACTCCGGACGATGGGTGGTGGCGGCGGTGCTGGGGATAAGGCAGAAAAACCTTCATTCTCTGACCAAGAAACAGACTCAGATGATGAAAATTTACCTGATCTTGAATGAGACCCTTAAAAAAGGCTTATCGCATGGAAAGTACATTATGTACCTTTAAGGTTTTGCAGTTACAATAAAACCTCTTGAAAAATTAAAAAATGATAAATTTATTTATTCATAATTTTTGCCTATCATGCCTCTGTATTTCATAAAAGAACCTTTTCAATAACTTGCAAAACTAACTATTCTGTAGTTGAAAAACTAAATTGCAAGGATATAAGTAGAAAATTGAATTTTTACTGTAACCCTTAATAGGTAATAATTTGTTTCTTTTTAGAAATTTTTAGTTATCATTGTAAATCTTAGTACCTAGATATCATTCTTAATTTTCTAATATAAAAGGTAGCTTTGGTTTAGTTGCCAATATACATGATAGAGAAACATATTGCAATTTTATTTGTTTTTTAAAGTTCTGAAGAAAATAACTTGGTTTTCAAACTTGTTTCACCAGGTTTTAAAGTGATAATATAAAATGTTTTAATTAAAATATGCCCATGGTAATTATTTTTGCATAAGGTTACTACATACATTTATATAACAATTGTTATTTTGTTGCTGTTTATATATTACCAACTAAAACCTAGGCTTCAGTTATAATATGTAAATTATAATAGCAGGAGTAAATGTACACTGTAATCTTAAATAGCTAGTGTGAAATTCGATTAAATGTTTTGTTCGACAAAAGCTTTGCAAACCACTGTATAGCTTGTATAAACATGTAATTTTAAATGTTATTTTCATAAAATAACGAATGATATAATGATGTTGGAGTTCAAAATGTGTTACAGATTGTTTAAATTACAAGTAGCACACTATACCTAAAATACAGTTCTTACGAACTGATATATCACAAAAGGTTGCAAACTGTAACACTTGGTTCTTACCACTCTCTGATTAAATAATCCAATTTGCAAAGTTATATGTGACAGCTCAAAGTGAGAGAGCTACCTTTATTAAATATTTTATACAACATTGTCCCCACGTAGCATACAACATTGTCCCCAACGTAGCATCCACCATCCATTTTTTATTTGCTCTTCACATAAAAGGTCCCACATACTGCACATAAAGATAGAAAATGACACTGAAATTGAGGCTCCCATTTTGGATATCTTTTTATGTAAGAAGTATAAATTGAATAAATAGCGAAAAGCTTTCTTCGCTTTTTATTTTTTTTGTATAGAAACGAATCATCAATATAAGTAGAAACGATCAACTGCATATGCGCAAGTTTTATACAGAAATCAGAGCCGCCTAATTGGTAAGTATTTTTTTTTATATTATCTATATGGTGATAAGAATATACTACAAGACATCTTTTAATATCATATAGGCCCGCTCGGCTCTCTTGCCGGCCGCTGCCACCTGGCACTGACATACGGCTCAACGGCCGCTGGACGTATCTATTATTTTACGTGGACGTTTACTAGACGTTTATAGTATTATTTTAGTAAAGCTAGAGCGTAGAGCTAAAGGTACTTAGAGCTTCTACGTGCCTTTATATTTTTAATTTTCCTTACACAAAGTTTAATCATCGAATAATAGTTATGTCGAATAGATGTAACTTTGTATTTGTATTGCATTTCAAAAAAACAACTAAGAGAATTTTTAGAACTGTATTAATAAATTAAGTATAAAATTACTTACAAAAAAAAATGCAATGCAATCCATAGCAACAAAACGTCTATCCGAATAATATTAATACTATAAAGTACCTACGAAATTTCATTCTTTTCTTAGTACCACGAAAATTTACATGTGATTTTGCGACAGAAGCGTAGGTACAGTTTAGTGTGTACTAATTTTGGGCCACGTTTTTTTTTTTATGTTAGAGGGGTCAGCTGATGGAAAGTGACCACCGCCGCCCATGAACGTCTGCAACTCGGGAGTCACAAACGCGTTGCCGGCCTTTTAGGAAGGAGTACGCTCTTTTCTTGAAGGTTTGAAGGTCGTATCAGTCCGGAAATACCGCAGAAGATAACCTGTTCCACAGATTGGTAGTGCGGCGGGCAAAAATTGTCTCGAAAAGCGCACAGTAGTGTAGCGCCAACTATCCAGGTAGGTAATAAGGATGAAAATTTTGTGTACAAAATGCCTTTGAAGAGTTTGTTGCCTCCCGTCCAGCTGATTTTTACAAGAAGGGCATCAATAAACAGCCAATGCGTTGGCAAAGATGCGTCGATTGCATGGGTGATTACTTCGAATAACAGAAATAAAAAAGTTTGAAAAAATAAGTACTTTCACTTATTGCATACAAAACGGCAATTTCATAGGTAAAGACCTAATATATGCGATAGAGAATGCAGAGTGAAGCTACATCTCTACGTAACGCCAACGAATCGAGCCGGTCGTAAATCTTTTGGCTATCGAAGATTCGAGTCGCTCTTCGTTGGATGCGGTCCAGAGGTAGAAGCTGGTACTGAGGTGCCCGCGCTGAGAGATGAGAACAGTATTCCAAATGCGGCCGGACTTGCGCCTTATAGAGCTGAAGGCGGTGGGCCGGAGTGAAATACTGCCTCGATCTGTTCAGCACACCGAGCTTCTTCGAGGCCAATTTGACCTTACCCTCTAAGTAACCCCGAAACTTGACTTCGCTCGATATGTCGATGCCTAGGATTCTGATGCTGGCTGAGGCAGTTAGGGAGGTGCTCTCAAACTGAGGTGATACGACAAAATAAATGGTATCTTTTTTGCGGTGAACGCGCAAACCTGTGTCTTTTTTGGGTTAAAATGGACTAGATTTAGTCGGCCCCAATCTGAAACCTCCGCTAAGGAAGATTCAGTTTCAGACACAAGTTTGTTACGACTCTCGATTACGTTTTCGCGAGAAATGTTGGGGCGGCCGGTATAAAGGGCATCACCTGTGCTATCATCTGCATTGCAATGGATGCTACTAGTTTGCAACATGTCATTGATATGCAGAAGAAACAGTGTGGGTGATAGCACACAGCCTTGTGGGACACCAGCATTTACGAATTGTAAGTCGGAGCATGCACCGTCGACAACGACCTTAATGCTTCTGTCCGTAAGGAAGCTGTTGACCCAATTACACAATTTCTCGGGCCCAAAGGAAGGGTATTCGAGAGAAGCGCCTTATGCCAGACCCGATCAAAGGCCTTCGCTATGTCCAAACTAACGGCACAAGCCTCTCCTTTGGTCTCGATCGCCTGAGCAACCCCGGCGAAAACCATATTGTCGGTCATTGAGTAGCTGGTGATCATCTAAGTACCGGAGGAGCTGGCTGCTGATAATGAATTCCATAATCTTAGAGAACAAAGGAGTTATGGCTTTAGGCCTGTAGTTGGACGGGTCAGAGCGATCACCTTTTTTAGGGATCGGGTGCACAAACGCTACCTTCCAGGAGTTCGGGACGACGCCTTGGGAGTAGGAGAGACGAAAAATGCGCGTTAAAACCGGTGCCAATTCGGGAGCACACGTCTTCAACACGATAGGAGAGATTTCATCGGGCCCACACGACTTATGAATGTCAAGGGAACAGAGTGCTTTACGCACTGATTTTTGTGTGAACCGGATATCCGGCATATAGCTCCGGCACCGCAGTATGGTAGGCGCAAAGAGTTTGCCAAGAAGATCGGTTGTTTCTTTGACATCATAGGCCAACGAACTATCTCCCATCTGCAGGGGGGAAAGGATTGGCTACGGAAATTCCCCTGGACAGCCTTGGCAAGAGACCAGTATGCACGAGTTGCAGAAGGAAGTCTCACTAGTGTCTCACCGATCCGGCTGATGTGCTCCGATTTCGCCCTAGCAATGGCTCTTTTAAGGGACCGGAGGCAAAGTTATATTGTTTCTTAAGCGTGACTACATCAGTGACAGATTCGGCAACGACGGTGGTATCATCCGGCAAGAAACAGATCTGCCTCCATGGGTAGAACGCAAAGAAGGAACGCGTCCCATCCCAGTCCGCTGACCTATAGTGCCACACACGGCGGCAGCCTGCAACTCGCGGCCGCGGCAAGCACGTGAGTGGCACTATACTGCGGATTAGACAATGATCCGAGGAGCCAAGTGGGGCTTCAACGGCGATTTTGTAACCGTCCGTATCGGAGGTCAGCAGAAAGTCCAACAGTGAAGGCTCATGACTTTCCACATCCGAAACTCGCGTGGGCGTTGGTACCAGTTGTGACAAGCCATAGGTCAGGGCGAAATCATAACAGCGTTAAGGTCGCGAAGTATCACGATCTCCGCGGATGGGATCTGCTGCAGCACGGAATCTGTAGCTATTTGGACGTGGTCCATCAGTCGGTCAGTTTCGGTGTCACCGCTCTGGGACCTGTAGAGGCATGCGTAGACGCGGGGAAGGTCGTCGCTGTCTACACGGAGCCACAAGATGGAAAGGTCCCGTCCTCCAAGATATCACCTCTATTTTTTAAAGGCGCTATCATGGAGGGGGATATATATAGATAAGTCTGGCAGTCGCTTAGAGTATGTTAACTACAGGCCCATAGCCATTCTGTCTGTTATTGACAAAATCATTGAGAAAATTATTGTTGGTCAAATTAATAAGTTTTTAGAATGTCATAACGTGTTATCAGAATCTCAGCACGAGTTCGATTACGAGTACGATTATAATACGAGTATTGTGTGAAATTATTTTTATGATGGTGTAGTTGCGTTTATGCTTATGTTGTTATATGTGTGTCTATCATATACTCGTATGTTACGTGGTAGGGGGGAGCCCTACATCATCCAGAGACCGTCAAGGGCGATAAAAATCAGGAAACCTGACACGACGACCACCGCGAGTGGTATACTCCTGACTACTGCTAGGTGGAGTGGCTTCGCTTGGGTCAGCTCTCCGCCCTTGCTTAATATTAAGACTGTGTACGCCGGTTGTAGTGGGCTACGTGATGCGTCTTCGCGAAGGAACACGTGATAGGCGGTCTGCATATCCTTAAATATGAAGATGCTGGTCTTGCTGTGACGGGATGCTGGAGTTGGTTGCAGGTTTTGAGCAAATTTTCGTATGCGCGAAGTGAAATCTGTGACGTCGGTCGTTCCTTCGTCACTATAAGTGAAAAAATCCCCCGAGAGCCTTAGTGGTTCGCCGTATACTGGTTCGGCTGAAGACGCTTGGATATCCTGTTCGAATACGCTCCTTATCCCAAGCAATACCCATGGTAGGGCCACCGTCCACTTATCATTTGCATGTCACTTGATGGACGCCTTGTGTTGCCGGTGATATCGCTCCACCATGCCATTACATGCCGGGTTGTATGCCGTTGATCGCTTGTGCTGAAAACCAGCCAGTTTAGACAATTGTTCGAACACGGGCCGACTCGAACTGTCGACCCCTGTCCGTCACAATATCTGTGGGACAGCCAAGTCGGGAAATCCATCTGCATAGCAGTGCTTTAGACACTGTCTCGGCAATTATGTCGACAATAGGTATAACCTCTGACCACCTGGTAAAACGGTCGACTGCCGTCAAACAGTATCTAAAGCCTTGCAAAATTGGGAGCGGGCCCACAAGGTCGATGTGGACAGTGGTGACCCTTGCACGTGGGAGGTGGTACGACCCTAATGGCGCAGAAACGTGTCGGCTCACTTTGGCGCGCTGGCACTCTAGAGTCTAGACCAGCTCGTGCCCACTCTCTGCAGTTCTTCCTGATGCCTGGCCAAACAAAGCGCTCCGCGATTAGTTACGCAGACGCTGAGACGCAAGGATGACTGAGGGAATGCAGGCTGTAGAAGATTTAGTAGACATGTAGAGACACTTGACTTAGTAGACTTGGTCTGCGTTGCGCAGACCGAACGTCATGTCCGGAAATTCGGTGTGGTGATTGCCGTCTTCGGAATGTCATTCGGACTGAGAGGTATCTGATTATACGCTTTCACTCGGTCTTTGGCACTGAAGACTCGGCAGCCTGAAATGCTGTGGGCAAAGTCGTGTATATGCCTAATCGGGTACCTGTCGGGGACGGTCCGGGTATTTAGCCTCCGGTAATCGCCACAGGGTCGCCAACCGTTGTCTTTTTTAGGGGCGAGATGCAGCGGGGACGACGTCATATTCGTTTGTAAGTAATTTTAAGAACAAGTACGCGTAAGAGGTTGCTTTGTTTTAATGTTAAAAAACGGGTTAACCTGTGGCTATTTCATTACTCTTTTCAAAGCTTTTAATTTAAAACCTAGACATTGTGTGAAAATAACTATAATTTGTCTTTATTATGGATCATTCAAAAAATAATTTAATTTTAGAGAAAAATCCTTAGAACACCAAATATTGACTATAAAATAAACAAATTTTATTGCCACATCTTTAATTTGAAGAAGAAAGTTACACCTTGATATCATATTTTCATGTTATGAAAAAAAAAAAAATTCAGTTTTCACCTTAAAATTGTGACAATGTCGACAATGCACCAATTCAAGGTAATAGTATAATATACTTGTAGGTATTATTCATTGGGCAGGATCTATTTGTGCAAGATTAATAATGAAGGTAAATAAAAATATACAACACAAGAAATAAAAGGTACCTTTGATGCATCTAAAAACAATATTTACACCACTTTTGTCTAATTCCATGACTGGAATGTAAAATAATTTTAAAAATTAAACCTAAACAAGTTAGAAAATATAATAGTAGTAATTTATGTACATTTAAATGTCACAATATGTACCAACAGTACCCATTCAATTTTGTTCAGTACATAGCATTAATACATTCATTTACCTTAACAACAATTAACTTCACCCAAGATACAAGACTAACATCATTGAACATTTATTTATCAGATTATCAGTCGTAATATCTTAATTAAGTACCCATAATAGCTAAAATTTGGCAATGAATTTAATCTTCTGTCTTGATGTCGTTCTTCTTAACATTTTGATTCATTTGATCATTCTCATACTCTACAAAATCATCAAAAAGACTTGGCCAAGCCTCTGTATCATCATAACTGGTGAGATCATCCCCAATAAATTCACAGAAATTTAAAAACATATACCATGTATCTTTTGGAATGCCTCTAATGTGGGGATTTTTTTCTAAATACATTAACCACCTGTCTAATATAGGAGGATCATTATTTGTGAAGACTAGACGCCACAGTAAGATAGCAATATCTGTTGGCAATATTCTTTGACCAGTACTTACATCTAAGCCAAATTTAAATGTGAATCTGTATAAGTCCTTAAAATGTTCAGTATCCCTCTTGAGCTCAGTGGTTATTTCAGTCAATTTCAATTGTATACCTTTGACGGAATCTGTTTTCATATTTTTTAAACCTTGTATAAACTCTGTTTTTGTAAACCTACACATTTGACTAGCATTCAACTTCCAAGCCAAAATTAACACTTTGAAATCATCAGGATTTAATTGCAAATCATTGCAAAGATTTTCTATACCTTCTGCTAATATTGCATCTTCCAACGAGTCCTTGTACTGATCAAACAGCTGATTGATCTTTGTTTCTGAAATACGGCAATCATTTGAGCCTAAAGATGACATTGTCCTTGGTATTGAAGGCAATTTCTGGTAGAAAGGTTTAGGTGTTTTGTCAGACATTAAAATAGATTTTTGTTGAGCACTGACTAACTCTCCTAAGCCCTGTTCTCTAGACACTTCATTTGTTACTTGTGAAGTGCTTGAATTCCTATAATTGTTAATACTATTTTGATTGTCATGCAGTAATGGTTCTTCTTGAGGATAATCGGATACCGGGGCAGCCACTTCTGTCATCTCTGCAAAAAACAGTCTTATTATCTATATGAAAATGTTACATTTAAGCTTTTGACAAATCTATGTTACTTACCCTCTTTTTTTCTATGAGGTGAAGTTGAATTGTCAGCATTAGCTTGATTTTTGAAACAGCTTAGACAATGGCCCATTTGACAAATTCTGCACGATTATCCTCAAAGTCATAAAACTCTTACAAAGCACATAAACAGACTTTACCAGTTTTTCATCATAAATGCTATAAAACATAATGATAGAAAACAAGATGATATGTATTCTTTAGATTTTTTGAAGTAATCCTGAAATAGGAAAATCCTATAGTATTTTATAAGAAATACTTGACGTATAAGATCTTATTGATTTAGCTCACCAGAAATTCATATCATAGTCTTCATACAACTGTGATCACGTATAAATAAAATGATTTGTCAACATTGAGTCTGATTTTTGCATTTCAGCATAAAGCTGAACGTTTAATTATAGTTGAATAATCTTGTTATTGGTGAGAAATTTATAGTTTACATCAAATACATTTTCTATCAGCGATCTTCATTGACATTTCCCCTATCTCACAGTCCTCACGGCACAGAACACACAACCACATTACCACAAGTATGACCTGTAAAGTGTTCAAGACAAAATCAAGTGATCGACTAAATGCAACTTAGTTTTTTTCTTCAATTAATTTTATTTATCTGGATCTCTAAAAGATATGAATATTTTATTCTGTAAGATATTAGGGTTTGTAGTACGCTACGGTACCACTCTTAGTTTATGCCCAGTCCATTAGTCGATTGTTAATGTGCATGGCCCTCATTTCAATATTTTATACAAAAAGGTAGGTAGTTGACATTGGAGAAAGCAAGAACCAATAACATGTTAAAGCTCCAATTCACATTGGCTAGTGTTGACCGGGTCCGTTCCAGCCTGCAGATATTAAAATTTCAAAATAATAAAAATCTCATTTTATAGATCTCAATTAGCCCTTTCGACCTACGTTAATTAATTTATAAGCCCGTTTTTCGTTTTCCCAGGAAAAATAGAAATATAATTTTCAATTTTCCTCTACTTAAAATAGCCATATCTCTTTGAAAAATGATTATTTTTTACTCTACCAAGCGTGAAAAAATTGCCCTTGCGCTAATTTAATTTGCCCGCGTGCTAATTCTAGAAATATTCAATAATTAATATTGTAAACAGTAAAAAACCGTTGTGGCATTTCCAAACCAATTATTTGCGCATTGCGCATGCGCGACAGAATCAGACAGAAATCAGCTGATGCTACACGCACGGAAGGACTTTAAAAAAAATTATATTACTGTTTCAGGCAGTTTTTCAGTACTCACACTTAGTGCTTAGACTTAGAATTAGCACGCGGGCAAATTAAATTAGCGCAAGGGCAATTTTTTCACGCTTGGTAGAGTAAAAAATAATAATTTTTTAAAGAGCTATTTTAAGGCTATTTTAAGTAGAGGAAAATTGAAAATTATATTTCTATTTTTCCTGGGAAAACGAAAAACGAGCTTATAAATTAATTAACGTAGGTCGAGCTAATTGAGATCTATAAAATGAGATTTTTATTATTTTGAAATTTTAATATCTGCAGGCTGGAACGGACCCGGTCTAGTGTTGGGCCTCCTCAATCACAGATTCTCAATAGGCCAACATAGCATAGGTGTTCACACCATAGAGATATAACCTAGAGAGATCGAGAGCCTCAATCTTGCAATATAGCCAACGAGAGAGAGGGATATTAGATATTAGTTGGCTGAGGAATATGAAGGGTTAATAAGTAGCCAATCGCAGTTTAGCCAATCAGAGACAGAGGGAATTATCGGGCATCCATGTTTCTCGTTACCTGTACCATTTCCACTTACAGGCAGCTGTACCCCGTATTCTCTCTATGGTTCACACATTGGTGAATAGCTCATTGTTGCCTGGCGAAACATTTGTCATGGACGTGGAAGTAATTACTGTCTCGTCTATGTTCTTTTTATTTAACTGGTGAAATTTAATACAGAGATGCACACACACTCTTATGCACATCTAATATTAGACATAGTAATACACAACTATAAAATACTATCTGCGCTCCGCTATTTTTATGGAAGAGCGGGCAAACGAGCGAATCGGTCACCTGATGGAAAGTGAGGACTACCCCATAAACACCTGCAACTCATGAGTCACAAGCACGTTGCGGGCTTTTAGGAAGGAGTACGCTCTTGCCTTGAAAGTATGAAGGTTTGAATACCGCTGATGATAACTTGTTTAACAGATTGATTGTGCGTGGAGAAAAAGTGTCTTGAAAAGCGCACAGTGGTGGAGTGCCAAAAGTCAAATTGATGTTGACTGTTTTCTTTGACTATCGCGGTGTTGTGCACTTGGAATTCTTTCCGGAAGGTTCCTTCAAACGGTAAATAAAGAATATTATTATTTCTTCTTCTTTCCCATCATTTTCTTCACAATCATATTCACTTTCATTATCATCATCATATCAAACAGTGTTAGATGATAATCTAATAAGGATTGTCATCTAACACTATTCTAGTACTAACGCTAACGCTTAATTGAAATTGCATGAAGAAACATGTCTGGTCTGGACTCCGAGGCATAGATATCCTCCGGTATTCTGTTATGATTTTCATACGTGTCCATTAATAATGTCCAGACACATATTTATAATTGAGGTATTTATAATGGAGTACGGCTTTTGTGAAGTATTTTTTGTTGAGCCTTCCTTTACAAATGCAATGTTAGTTCTTATGTTTGTTGTTGGAACGAAGTTCCTTATCGCGCGTTGTGAAAGGGGGCTAGACGGAAAAAAATCTCACGAAAAGTTGTAACGACACTTTTTATTTTGAATTGTCACTTGTCAGTCATTCAGCGCAATCTATCGAATAGATAGGAAATCATTACTTTTCATTTCAGTAAAATTAAAATTTATGTTCTTAGGTTGAGCAAAATATATTGTATTCGACATCATTTCTCAAGGAGATTTTACCACTGTATAAATTGTTTTAATTAGAAACCAACTGAAAAATATGTAGGTAATAGCCCCTTTCATAGATGGCGTTGTAATTAAAATCGTGTCGAATCAGTTTTACTCGATCGTCACAACTTCGTTCTTATCGGGTGTCCCACGTCACCATACGGCTTTTTATTCCTTTTTTTGGTCTCGCCTGTGATAAACTTATAGCTTCGCGTATGATTTACCTTATCATGGCGATGTGAATAATGACCCCGGGTCTAATTGCGCCCTACAACCTGTCAGTAAGTGCCTGGCTGTACCTATTTCCGCACTGCACATCATACAAACCTTTTCCCACCTTTCTTGGTTGCTTTGATCGGGGAGAGTCAATTGAAAGGCGTTGAGGTAAAATTTTAACAGGGCAGGTGACCAATCGTATAAAAATGTGCGCCATTACAAAGTTGGTGGGATTCAAAATTCTCCTAGAGTTCATTCTACATTTCTAGGTTCATTGCGTGCACTTTGTATGCCTCGTTTCATCTTGTTGTAGGAAAAAATTTGTTATCTCTTTGTCGGTCTGTCTTCTAGCATTTCTCAATCCAACTCTACTGGACTGCGTACCCACCATGAATTTCTTGTGGAATTGGAGCCGTGACTCGAGGGATCTAAGGATTTCGTCTTGTGATTTCGACAAGACATGCATTTTGGTGTTTGTAGAGGTCTTTTTAATTTGATTCCAAAGTTATTCAAGCCCCTGTACAACGTTGACGGGTCTGCAGATGGTGCTAGCCCGAGCCACGACTTCAATGTCATAGTGACTTTCGCGTCCAGTATTCTTAAGTGGTTCTGGTTTATATCGTATATCAGAAACGGCCAGTTAAGACGTGATGTTAAGTAGTTGTCGTAAACCCAAGCTTTTTTAAAGTAAAGGTACTAATTGGCTGTTCGTCTACCTTGTCAATGTCTTGTACGAAGTCATAGATTATTGCGTTCACAGATAGAGTACGACCTTTGTAGTCTATCTTTCTTCTAAAGAATTTAAAGGGCACGGTTTATGATATCATTGAAACACTTTCCTCACCAATAGTAATCCGTTGGTCATATGAGGTATAATAATAATAATAATGACACTTTATTTCTCTTCACAATGGTATACTTATAGCTAGTTACATTTACACAGTATAGTCTAGTTTTCATATGTGAAGAGCTGGTGTCTGTGATGGGCATGGAATGCATGTGTTACAAATCACCAGGTCTTCACCCCACGGACATACAGATACATTGTTAACCGGTGTATTATAACAAACGAGTACCTGGTACCTAGTAGTATCTGGTACCTCGCCGGCCCAGACAAATGCAATAGCATTTGCTAGGTTTTGTCCTCATTCCCTTCGTCCAGGTACGGAAGTCATCCACCTTACGTAGTAGTTCTTGGCACTTGGTGAGGATCGCAAGGTCGTCTGCGAATGCTAAGATGGATTTTGCTGTGATTTCAAATTTTAATTTACTGTAGTATGATGCAATTATTTCACAAACTATCGGCTGAAAGTTATACCATTTCAAGACAAATAACATGATTTCGTGTCGTACTGAGCCAAAGGCGTTTTCTAAATCTATCCAACAAACTGTAATTTCCCTTAAATTTTCCTAGCATCTTTGAGACTCTCAGCAAGTAATGAGTTATGTTCCAGACTTTCAAAGATTCCAGGCATGAACCCTTTCTGGTAATTTGATCTGAAGTAATTATTGTTGGACATAAACTGTATTATTTTGAATTGAAGACGAGAGAAAAATATTTTAGAAATTGTATTGAAGTAATAGATCCCAGGGACACTAGACCGATAGCCCATCGGTCTAGTGTCCCTGGGATCTATTACTTCACTTTTCTTAGAAATGAAGACAAAATTAGCTTTTTCAAAGATCGTTCGTATTTCTTTGCTCGACCAGATCTTGTCGAACAAATTTAAATGTGTTTACGCACTGATGGACATTTTCATATACTATATAAAGTATACCATCAGGCCCTGGAGCTGATTTGAATTTTTTTTTCTAATTTCGGTATCTACTTCTTCTAAGGTTGGCGGATTACATTTGAATTTGAAACGAGGGCTTGTTGGGTTTTGTGCACTTGGCACATTAAAGGTCTTCTCATGTGATGACACCTCGTACGTATTTTTATAGCGTTCGTAGATCTGGTCGGTCGTAAAAAGCAGTTGTCCGCGCTTCTCTTTAAAAATATTTCTAGAATCTAAGAAGCTAAGAATGCTTTGCTCTGTTTAAGTAGTCATTTTCGTAAGCAATTTGTACTGATAAGCCTTGAATTAGCTTTAGTATTGATCTTAAAGCCCTGGCCAGTTGGTGGCTCAGGTGGATATCTTTGGCATTCCGTAGTCGTTTGACAATTAATTTATATTAGAATACGTAATTATTAAGGGAATAATAATAAAGAAATAACCATAATGTACATACTTTTTCAATAAGTTCCTGTTGTACTGGATGTGAAGGTGACATAATATACATTCATTCCCATTCTTCAGGAATCAAAGTTTTGTCCAACCATATTTGAATCAGATAAAAATTCAGACCTTTTTTGGATGAATAAAAAAGTTTGAAAATTTTCTGAAAAATGTTTTTATAAGGTAGAAACAGATTAAAAACTTGCAGCCGAATCAAAAGGAGTCGGGGTAAGAAGTAATCAACTTAGCGTGGAATACCCCATATATTTATTTATTTACTTTAATCATTGAATGAATTAAATAATGAAAATAATAACTTGTCACAAAAATCTACTATTTTTGAATAATAGTTATGGTAATTTTATTGGTGTATAGTGTATATTGTATATTTGATTGGTGTGGTATGGTATTACATTCCTTATAAATTTAAATAAAATCAAGATTTCGAATTTATTTATTTTAAGAAAACTTTTAAAGAGTTGTACCAACAATTAATATCTGGGTCGATTCCTAGACGTGAAATTTGAAAAAAATAGTTGGTATATTTGTGAAAAAAAAGCTTCAAAATCAATCTTAACATGCCAATTTTTTTCCCAATCATGAAATTTGAAATTTCCATAAATTTACTAGGTGACCCGGCAAACGTTGTTTTGCCATATACATTATTTCTAGGAAATTTTGAAAAAAAAAATTAAGGATGGGTCACCCTTATCATTTAGGGCTATGAAAAATAGATATAGGCCGATTCTCAGACCTACCCGATGTGCACACAAAATTTCATAAAAATCGGTCCAGCTGTTTCGGACGAGTATGGTAACTAACATTGTGACACGAGAATTTTATATATAAGACCACAGAATAAGAGATATGTACATAGTACAGATAAGACACCTCCTGAACAAACGTCATTTCATATGAGTTTGAGTCTTCATGACGATGATCCGCTAGGGGCGCTAGTGAGCCGAACGTAGGCCAGTGCATACCATCAAAATCGTCGTATCGATATCGATACAATAGTGATGCGAAAAGTCGGTTTCCCTCATTTTGAAATTAGTCTTATTTTTTATTCTTATCATTTTTAAAAAGGTACAAAAAATTGAAACAACTTTTAGTTTTTAATCTTATATTTCCTTCTTTTCATAAACTTGTTGTAGTCTAATTATTGAACTGTACTTAAATTTGCCTATTTTACCTTTCTTTGAACTGTTCCACCCAAAATGAAGTTGATGCCTCTGCACCAATTAAAAATTTGTAATCGTGTTATGATCTTAATAAAATGTTCTTTTAATAGGTCTTTATGGGAAGAACAGCCCAACCATTCCAAATTTATTTCTTCTAAATATTTTTGTCTGACATTCTTGTATACGTATTTTTTATTGCAGTTATGTTCCAAGTATTAGTTTATTGCATTGTATTAGTATTAGTTTATTTATAAGACTATCGTCGGGAGTAGTCGGGACGATTTAAATATATTTTTTTAACTCATTGTTAACGAATAATAATATTCGTTTATAATTGTTTATATCACCAAGTAAGCAAGGATAACTTAATATATTTAAAAAAATAAAAGTAAGTAAAATTGAGTTAGAAAAATATGATTCTCCAATATTGCCTTCTCACTCGTACTCGGATCTCGCAATGTCAGAGCATGCGTACTACCCGTAATACTCATCGTCGAGCATCCGTACGACTAAGCAAGTAAGCAATAAAAGATTAGATTTTTTAAAAGCAATTTAAAAACAAATGCTCTCTTTTTTCTACTATCTCATTTTTTTTTAATTTACGTTCATCCCTTAAACTTAAAACCTCCCTAACTCGGTTAATTTTCTGCGAAGGAAAATAAAATTTTAATCTCTACACATTTTCTTTGAAACTATTTTATCTAACTTTTACCGTTTTCGAGTAATTGCGTGCAGTATGAACATAACGTATTTTCCTTAAAGTAACATTGGTGACAACAATTTTCGAGAACTCAGTCAGAGTAATATTTAACTAATAATTGAATCTTTTTTTTGAAGCCTTTTGAAGATGTGAGGTATCAATAGAATTGAACGTTTCGTTTAAGTAATCATTATTTTATTGAAAATTCATTTTGTTAGAATTCGAAAACTTGATGAGTTTAGTCAGGGTTTGATCTTGAATTAGATTACCCTGACGTCCTATTGATTCATATTATTTCAAATTGTAAATTGTTTTTTTGTTGGCAATACTTACTTCAAGAAACCGTTAAATTGTATGGCTAACGGCACGTCAATTTAAGTTGAAAATAAACTGTACCGGATTTTTCATGTTTTGAACTTAAATTGTTTACTTCTATCACTTCAATTATATAGCAGTTCAGCCTTGCAGAATGAGTGTTATTGAAGAAAATTGGGATACACAATTGAAAGCCAGCACTTTCGAAATAAACAGTTACAAGGAGTTCGAAGTAAAAGTGAAATATTTGCGTCAACATATTTTATATTTATTAGAAGACGGTTTTACGGTTTCAAAGCTGAATTTCAATGGCAGTAAAGTTCAAAGTAATGATGACGAACTGAAGACTCTTACAGAGCTAAATAAACAATTACGACTTGACATTGAAAACAAAGTAGAGGTATTTTCTAAGCAAAAAGTTCAATACGAAAACTTCAAAAAAGGTAATTAATCTTTATTAATTAGTATGTTGATGAAATACGCTGTATAGTCAACTGACTTTAATCAATTGCTTCAACTTCTAGCTGATTGTAGTAGTCAACTGTGAGTTACAGCTGAGTTTTAACTAATCTAATGTTTTCAGACCAAAAACTTTTATCTCAAGGAATAAAAGAAACACATGAAGCTTTCTTGATGGCAAAGAAACTTTACAAGAAATTTTTAAAAATTTATTATACTATTGAGTCCAAAAACGATGGATCACAAACTATTTTTCTACAATTTTTTACTGAGGCTAAGAAAGAATCAGAAAATTATTCTATCAGACTTCTTAGAGACATCAATATTGGGAAATATCATTGTGAGTTATTTTCAATTTTATTTGAATACTATGTTTCTCTTGGTAATATCAATAATTTGAATATAAGATAGATATAAAATTCTTAGTAACAGTGATGTCTGTTGATAAACTTTTAAAATAAATAAATATTATTAGTTGGACAACATAAAGTTTAAATAAAGACTGACTGAATGACACACAGAGTTTGCAGATTGTTAGATTTGTTTTTTTTTGTTTTAGACATTATGTACTTTCTATTATTGCTACTTCAACTATAGTCAAAAGGTACATAGCCTCTTAAGGTTCTGCCGGGTAAAAAAAGAAGAATGTGGCATTCACTGTAACAATCTCAGAGTTACAGACATCATTATGATTAGAACAAATATGTATGTTTTAGTAATTTTGGTAGGTATTCTTGTCAAAATTGGAGATCTTACAGAACTTTTTGAGTTTTTGAAGCACACATTTCTACATATATTTATAAAAATGTCAAGTTGGCATCCACTTGACATTTTTATAAATATATGTAGACTATGTTCTTCATAGCCGAATTCAGAACATCATTAGTTTTAGGAAGTTGTATACCTATATGCGAAGTATCAATTTGGCCACTGTACACAACTTATAAATACATTATACAATACTTTTTGAATTTAATAACTTTAATTATGCATATTCCTTTCTTTTATTTAGAGTATAAATACAATTTCTTAATAATTTTGGAATGACTTTTCTATTTTCAGTGATAAGTACAACTCCCAAACTGCATTCCATAAAGGACATACAGACACAACTCCAAGTAACAAATGATCTCCCTGGTGCATTATGCTGCATCAGGCAAGCTTTTATGCACTTAAAAAAAACAAAAAAATAATTTTGAATTTATTAATAAGTGAAACCATAATTTTAATGTAATTAATTGTTAATTAAATACAACAGAAAAGTAAATTTAAAAATTATGTCTAAGACTCATTTTGAAAATGTCTTAATCTGTTTATATGAAATAGTTATTAAAATTAAAAATTAAAGTTACTAAAATATTGATATAAAGTGTTGTACTATCATTTTACCACAAGCTTAAAAAGCGGTGTGCCTGTTGTTATATTCATTCTAAACTAGTTCTTCACACCTCTGCAATGTTATTGGTAGCCCTATCTATCAGTACCCCGCATAGAGATAGAAGTCATCCCCTCTATTGAGGTAACCAAAAAAAATATATTTAAAAAAATATTTCCACTTATATTTACCCGTAGTACGGTTACCATGACTTCGTCTAAAATCATGTTAATCAAATTATCATCTTTTAATGTATTTTTTATTCCCTTACTTATATTATGTGGAGGCTTGTTATAAACAACCTTTGTTATTGATATTTTTCTTTATGCAAAGTGTGTTATTAGTCTGTAAATAAAGTCCGAGAATTCCACAAGAAACACCTAGCAGTAATATCAAGTGACCGACCAAATGTTCGGTTTCGATCAGTTTCGGCCAAAAAATCTAGTTACGGCCGGCACCGAAACTCAGTATTCGTAAAGTGTCGTACGTCGTTCGGTTAATTTCGCGGCTAACTTGTGGAGACATGCTCTGGCTCAGTTCGCCGCCGTCCAGTGCTTTTTTTTTTATGGTGTTTGCAGCAGACTGAGCAGACGGGTCGAATGATGGTAAGAGGCCTGCAACTTAAGAGTCACCAGTGCATTGCCGCCCTTTCAGTCCCTCCTCCCAGAATCAGAGAAAATAAAAAGGTTTGGGCTCCGGTAACCTCTCTCACTCGATGAAAAACAACGAAAGAACTGCTTTAATACAAATTTTCTATCAGGCCGTGGTATCACTCCGGTCGAGCCTGGCGTGACCTCAAGCGTTTCTTGAGTTTTGAGTATCATTTTGTAAAACGACCCTTAGATTTATTTAATTGTTGTTGAACATTCTGTACCCCTAGTGTACCATTTTTAACCTCCCTAAAACGCATACTACGCATGATCTTCAGTTGCTTAGCTTCAACTGTGAGAAAACGCGAATAGTCCGATCGAATTACCTAGTCAGCCACATCGCCCCGTCCTTTCCCGTCTATCGCGGGCGGTACTTGTCTAGTTAATTTAGACAGGTGAATTTCTAGTACTTAGTACCTACATATTTTTCTTTAAATACCTACCTAAATACATTTTCTCTTAGAATTTAGAATTAATGCCGTGTGTCTACCTTATTACAGTGGTTTTAGCTGGTATGGAGGTATAAGCAGATAAATGGCTATTAAATAAACTAGATTTTAGTATACAATCAAAATTTTAAATATAATAGAGTTTAAATTTCGGCCGAAAGTTCGGTTTCGGTTGATAAACCTGTTTCGGTCGGACACTAGTAATATCGTCATGATCTCGTCACTTCAAATTTTATTCTATTCAGTAGCGTAGCTACTGAAGAGCTAGACGGAGCTGTGCACCGGGGCCCCCAAGCTTCGGGGGCCCTCGGACCCTGACCAGCACACCTCGTATTGTATTAGCTAAAAAATCTCCCACCTTTGGAATGTAAATAAAATAAGTTGTAATACGACTTTAAGGAAGTACTGCCGGTCAGAGTTGCCCTTTTTTTTTAATTTGGCAGTTTAGTAAATAATGATAAGATAATGATCTCGTTAAATTTTTGAAAAAGTTCAGAGAACCAGTAAAAATATATTGAACTTGGAAATTGGACCTTGGCGAGGTCCAGGAAAACATCCAGGCATTTGTATACTTGATCCTAAGTACTAGCTACGTGATTCACCAATTTAGTTACGGCGTCTTCAGTAGATTTTTTGGGTTGAAAGCCAAATTGAGCTTGTTGTTTTTGTTTATGTTATGTTTATAGTTATGTTTTCTTGAACAAAAAAAAATCATAAGGCGTGTATTAATATTTTTTTTCTAATAATTTAGAAATTCCGCTCAATACGGAGATGGGTCTATAATTTTCTACACAGTCTCTACTCCCACTTTTGTGTATTGGATGTATCAGTGAGCGTTTCAAACTACCAGGAAATACGCCGACTCTCAAACATATATATTAAAAATGTGTGCTAAAATTGGAGTTATTACATTTCTTATTTTCTTAAGAAATTTGACAGGTATACCATTCCATCCGGTTATACATTGAGAAATCAGTTTTAATTTCATTTTATAAAAATTACTCTAGTAATACAAACTTCTTTCGAAAATGGAGCGCCTGGGTGTGAGAGGCATTGTACTAGACATATTCAAGGATTACCTAAAAAATCGTACCCAGTGTGTTAAAATTGATATGTATCTGAGTGATGAAGAGCAGTTGACTTACGGTATTCCGCAGGGTAGTATCCTTGGCCCTACCCTCTTCCAGATATATGTTAATGATCTGTGCACGATGGACTTTCCAAACTCCAAGCTATACGCTTATGCCGACACGGCAATAATAGTTTATGGAACTACTTGGGATTTTGTTAAAAGAGAAGCAGAAACTACTCTTGCTAAAATAATGAGTTGGTTAAACTCTAACTTGTTAACCCTAAATTTAAACAAAACTGTTTTTATTCCCTTTCCCATTCGACGTAACACCTCCCCGCCTTCTTCTCTTTCACTAACTGCCCATTCATGTACAGACCAATCCGTGTCTTGTTCTTGCGCTACACTCAGTAGGACTGATAGCGTTAAGTACCTAGGTGTCCTTATTGACGATGCACTAAAATGGGATAAACAATTGGATGCACTGACTACTCGTGTAATGCGTCTCATTCACATTTTTAAGACACTCAGGGAGACTGCGAACAGCGCTACATTAAACTTAATATATAGTGTCTTATGCAAATCAATTATAGAATACTGTATCGTTGTTTGGGGAGGAGCAAATAAAACAAAATTTCTGAGAGTAGAACGAGCACAAAGAGCCATACTTAAAGTTATGACCAAAAAGCCCAGGAAATACCCAACTACAAAATTATATTCAGAATGTCGAGTACTAACAGTACGTCAGCTCTTTGTGCTCAAATCGATCCTTAGGAAGCATTCGAGACTACCCCCTGCGGACCCTACGAAGCGAACAAACCTTCTCCCAGGCACCCCACACAATACCACATTTGCTAAACACCAGTGCTATACGCAAAGCACTCACGTATATAAGCAAATACCTATATAAAAAGTTGGGTATTAGAGATCTTAACATATATGAAGTAAAGTCTAAAGTGACGAGTCTCTTTTAAAATACCTCTCATGACCCCCCTAAACACCCACATAAACACACATTCACACACACAACACATACACACACAACACACACCCACACACATACACACACCATAAATATATCCACACAAATCGAAAATATTTATATTATATAAAATAGATTAAAAATTGTTTGCCTTAATGAAAGATCAACACTGCTTCCAACCTGTTGTATAATTCTTTTAGTGTAAACTGATAGCCTGACACTAGCTCTTAAAATACAGGAATACCTAGTTTAAGAGATAGCGTTATTATTTTTGGTACAGATTATACTCGTAGCAACTAAGGACTAAGCACAATGCACTACTGTTAATTACAATCTAATCTGTTGTTCTTTTATGCACAAAATATATCTGTATTTTTTTCTGGTAAATAAAGATTATTATTATTATTATTATAAAGAAATATACATAAAACAAATATTTTTCAGCACCACACCATCGTGAACTTGTGACTCTGACCGAGTCGTCGCCACATTCAATTTCGTATTAATTATGCAGAAATTTATCTCTGCTTAAAAATAACAGGACTTCGTGGCAAGTACAAAATAAAATGACCAGTATTTCATGAGTTGATTTAGGACTTGAAAATAATTCAATCATCTTACGTAGGTCTTGTCTATGTCAAATCCATTCAAGGTTCTATAGCCTCATTATTGAGCAGTGTGAAGGATAGGATAATCGAAAAGCTTCTGAATTAAGTGATGTGATAGAAGAAAACGAAAACATAAACTGGTAGAATGGAAACAAAATAAATCTAAAATTCTTAGGAATTCTGGCGCCGCCTTCATTAATGTTAAAAATAAACATATGAGGGGTAAGTATATTATATCCCCATGCGGAGATAATTGTAGGTTAAAATGTAATAACAAGATTACTGATAAAGAGCGAAAACAAATATTTGAAGAATATTGGGGACTTAAAGACAACTCGTCAGAGACAATTTATCAATCAATGTATGACAGGCATAAACAGACAATATAGGTAGGTATACTACGACTGAAAAAGGGAGATGGCCAAATAATGCATATTTTTTTAATATTATGGGACAGAAAATAAGAGCCGGTAAAACATATTTCATGAACACTAGATATTAACAGTAGGGTAATAAATACGGTAATTTCTAAAAGAACTTCGATAAACACTATTGAAGAAGATAAAAGGGGAAAACACCAAAACCATCATAATTTGCCTGTAGGTGTCAAATATTTCGTACGTAATCATATAAATTCTATACCGCGAATTGAAAGCTACTTAAGGGTGAAGGGTGGAAAGGGCTACGAAAGGGTGGGAAGATTATCTCAGATTTGCAATGTGACTATAGAGAAGACTGTATTAATAGAAATGTACCTTATGCTAATTATGTAATGTATGCGAAAATATTTACTACAGAGTTTAATACCTAATTATAGAATAAATTGTTTACTCAAATACATTGAGAAAGTCATTAGTCCTGCTAACGACTATGATGCTTATAATGTTACATTTTATTCAGATAATTGTGCCGGGCAATATATAAAAAAAATATTATTGCTCTTTATGTTTATTGTGTCTTAAAATTCTCAAATATTCACTCTAACTCATAAATATTTGATTTCTGGTCATACACAAAACGAGAGTTATAGAAAAGAGCATTAAACGAAGCTTGAAATCGGGCCCCATCTACGTATCGTCTCAATATGCACAAATCTTAAGAAGTGCAAAAAAAACTGGCAAGAGATATAACGTAAATGAACTTTCATATCATGATTTTATATCTTTGAAAAATTTAATCAATGACATTTGAATGCCATTATTGGCAGTATGAAAATTAACGAAGTGAACATTTTGAAATTTTCCAAACAAACCCCGGATGTACTATATTACAAAAAAACTTATGATGACGATACTTTTTTGGAGATTAAGCTTTGGCGCAAGTCTCCCCAAATAACGCGAGTTAAAGTCAGCTTATGATAAACCTCTGCAGAAAAGTGAAAGAAAAAAGAAACGATTTGTCAAGTTTGGTAGACAATAATCATATTCCCCACTTTTATTCGCCATTTTACCAACATTTCTGTTAAATACCCTAAAACAATAGTAAGTTAGACGAAATTTGATGAAACCTTAACATTTTACAATAGTATTTACTACTTTTTTATTGAGTTTACAGACAGAAACATTATGTACAAGGTTTATTTTGTGATATTTTTGTTGACAGTTGTTGATCAAACTGTTTTTTACGTATGATAAGACTGATAAGTCATTAAGAGACTGATTAAGAATACGATATTACGGTACGATTACGGTATTTTAATAATATTACAAGTGAAAACAGGAATAAGATAGCAAGTACTTATATTTGCATGTAATAATTAGAAAAAATTTAAGAAATTCTCGTTTCAAAAAAATAAGTTATATTATTACACTATTTTATGGGAGGTGCGATATGTTCACACATTATCAACCATAATGTAATAAAAAGCGTTACTCATTAAAATATTTTTTTATTAACCATATAAAATACAATACATATAAAATTAATTTGTAACAAAAATAAATACAATTCTATTTTAGCTATCTTATGTAGCTACCACCCACATTAGTCACGTACCTAATTTGTTCGGCTACAACTTAAACATTGGTAGAATCTTAGATTATTAATATGTCTAGATCGACAGTCAAAGCTGTGAAAGCAGAGGAAAAAATAGCGTCCAACTGTTGGCCTTAAATGCTTTTTCCGCTTAATATAAGTACTTTACTTCACTCACTGGATACGCACACGTTGTATTCATATTTTGTGTTCTTTACTATGACGATTTGTGTGATAAAAGTCTATTGAAATCGTAAAGGACGATCTAAATAAAATAAAAAAGTCACCTAACATCGGTAAGTACCATTGTTTCAGCAAAATTTGCCATTGTATTATATCTAATATAAATTATTATTGTGTTCGCCATTTTGCATGTGTTACTAGTTTATGAACTCGTCAAAACTCTCTGAAAATTTTGGGGTATTATGTATTGTATGTAGTACTTAATCGTAACTTCACCTTACTCTGTAGTAATGTATAGTGAATTAGTGATATCCCAAATGCGTTAAAATATAAATAGATATCATTAACAGGGTTGTAATTTTAAAGTGAATACTTTTTAGCCGTGTTGAGTGATTTTTGGCAGAAGTATAATTCCTGGATTGGCGTTGACTGCAGTGATGTATATGTGTATGCGACTGCTGTGCAGAGGTCTCGGGTACGATTCCCGGGTCGGACAAAATGTTTGTACGACTGCAAATATTTGTTTCGGAGTTCGGAGTTCTCCGAAACAAAATAATATAATATGTATGGATTTACAAAAAAAACAACATTTATTCAATCTAGCTTTGCTTAGTTTAAGGCCAAATGGTGACGTGTCTGAAAAAAAAACGAATGACACGTGTTGAGCAAGACATTTTCAACCCATATCTAAATTTTGTTTTTCTTAAATATTTTATTTTGCTAGAATAAACATAGATTCAACACTTATAATTTTTCCTATTTTAAAGAAATTTTGCCACAACTGGCACACTAATATTGAAATCTCGGCTCATAGACATATTAATAATCTAAGGGTAGAATAACCAGTATTATATAATGTAGCTGCCTTCTTGCTGCAGTCTTGATGCGAAAATGGCTTCACTTGTAAATAACAATACCCGTATTTTAAAAGGATAGAACAGTAAATATGCCTACTTAATATTGTAATAAGTTGAATTGAATGTAAAATTGCGAAAATATATCATGCAAATCATAACTAAAGAGAAAGTTCCGTGTTGTTGATTGTGTAGTCATGTAGGTATTGTTGAAGAGTGGTACGCATTGTAGATGTGTAAGCAAAACCATAATGAGATTTCATTAACTCAGAGCGCGTACAACAAGCTCACGTTTTGACAACACTGAGTATACTATGACTCTGAAAAAAGTTTAATGCGATTTAAGAAATAGTTATAGTAAACCAATAAGAAGCAGTTATTGTAACGTCAAGTCACTGAATTTAGCGGTGATATACTTAATCTAGTGCGTTATGACTGAATATAATCGTTTGAAGGGAGCTATATGTTTAAAATTTAATTTGATATAATATTTTCGTATAATGATGGCATAGGTTATATGAAATTCTAACTTTAAATTGTTTACCGTTAGGTAGGGATATATTTTCAATTGACAAATACCTTAAAGGTATTTTAAGTAGGTTTCTCTCGCGTAACTCGGTACCACAGTTCAAAAATATTTGACAGTTGAACATCTATACATAAATAAAGCGCTCGGGTTTTTCTAAAAATGTTTAGAAAAAATACTGGCATACTTCCATAAATGCACAAACGTTTAGTATATGGAACCATCTTCATTTCGTAAATCCTTTTAATTGTATAAGTGTGTTAATCTAATATGTGTTAACATTAATATTTGTAACAAATTATATGATGTAGTATTTTAGTAAAGTAAAAGTAATATTATTTAATATAGTACCTAGTTAATTACACAAATAAGAAAACTAAATTTGATCAGTTTTTAATTAATGTAAAGTAAACAAATAATAAACGAAATCTTAGTTACTCATTAATGGAACAAAGTTAGCAAAATATTAAACTTAACTGAATTCTTCTAACTTTAACTTAGCCTTAATTGCCGTCTGCATTATCACGTAGTTGTGCGATATAATACTGCTTGAAAATATTTTTCAATATTTATACACTTATAGTCAAGTAACTGGCATAATTGAGAAAAACAATGTTTTCTATAACTAACATAAAATATATCTGTATTTAGCAATACATTTAAAAATGTCAAGCAATAAAAGCATGATTTAACCAAATATATTTGGAAATTTGTCAGGGTCTGACGTTGTACTGCTGTGTACATTAAAATCATTGTAAATCTACTGAGTGATGAGACTTATTTTCTTATTTTTTTTTTAATTGTGTTGAACTAAAACATTGTAGTAGCAAGGAGTATGCGAAAGCATCATAGGCTCAACTTTCCATTTATGTATGCCAGTGGAAAGTCGAACCGCATCATATTGTCTTTTATTTTCAACATTAATCAGTGCTGATATGCTAACACCTTGCAGGTCACTAAATGAAAAATGCTCACCTATATGACCTTCTGATATAATTTACAAAACCTTAAATTAGGATATAATAACTAGCTTTCGAGAATTCGTCGCATACAAACATTTCTTTCAGTGTAAGTGGCTGAAACACTAGTTCTTTTTAGCAGTCGTTCTGTTCATGTAAATTCACTCTTAATTTTATGTTTTTTCTCATTTAGCAGTTCGTACCTATGAACTTACAACTGACAATACAACACAATAAAGTCAAAAAATATAATGATTATATTTATTAATATTTAAAACTATTTTATAACAACTGTATGACACAATATTTTTTTACTTTATTGCTGAATGATATTTTTAATGTAGGTATATCACTATTGACTGCAACAGATAGTAGTAGAATTGATGATTAAACGAACACAAAATTATTCATTTTATCATCGTAATCAAACCGAACCAACGCGGACGCATATACGTAGTTTAATAGTATAATTATGGTAAGCATAAGTTATGTAACATGGCTATTATATTTTGTAACTTAAAAATTGTGCACCATTGTTAACTGTAGATAATCTGATTGACAAATGTATAATTTGTCAATCAGATTATCTAGATTTTTACATAATATTTTCTGTTTTTTTTTAATTGTGCATAACTGATTAAATTCATTACATGAAAATAAAATCAATTCCACACTCGTAACGACAAAACTTTGTAAACGTATGTAAATAAAATGGCGTAGGTAACTATTATCGGCGTTATCCAATCATGCATCTATTATTATTAAATATCAAATACTTATATAACACATATTTAATATTATTATCTTTAAAACATAGAAAGGAAACTAGTTAAATAAAAAAAAGTTGAAAAAGAAACATTTGCTTCACGCTTATTTTGTTTATCAACACTTGAGTGTAGTAAATCTTCACTCAGCTAATACATGTATTCTATATGCAATGGAGAGCAATAATCCGGGTCGGATTGTGTGAACATTAGCAGTATTGAGTGGCCAGCACTCAGTCCGGATCTCAACCCAATGGAGCATGCTTGAGACGAGCACGGACAATGAAAGCCTCCTTCTACTATGAGAGATAACCCACCATCGTATAAGAAACATGATGTATAGCTTGCCAAATTAGTACAGACAACACCAGCACAATAGCACCCCACGTGGTGGTAACACATGATAACCTATGTAAGTTTATTTTTGATTTAAGGAGTATTTAACTGTCTATTTAAAAACAAATTGCAGCTTCAGGTAGTAAATTTTCAGGTAGCCTTATGTGACCCAGATCATTGCTTTCAAGTGTATTTGTTATCATGATTATTCAAAAGCTAATGTAGTTCTTGTCTTTATCAAATGAAATCTAGTATTAAAATAATAACGTCATATTAATGTCCGATTAGAGTGGTTGGCAAAAGTTTGCTGTGTAGCATACATTTAGCATTGCACTTTCGGCTTCTAATTAACATTACTCCTCTGTCGATAGTGATGAGAGAATTTTCAATAGTTTTGAAGATACGAACCATGAAAATATCTTTAAGGAAGCTTGAATAGTTGCCACAAAAATAAACGCATTTATGTTATTTTCAGTTTACCGTTAAATTCTTCTGGTACGTGTTTATTAGATAATGTACTAGTGTTGGAAGACAGTTTCGGCAGCTCCGTATTCATAGACTTTGAGACGCTTATAGACTTTTCAGGTAACAGCATTGCGCCCAATGCAATAAAATGTATTGAATAATAAAATTTCCTGAAACATAAATAGGTGTTAAAATGTGGTAAATTTTTGAACGCAAAATCGAACACGGGTGTATCCGTGTTGTGTTTGTTGTATGTAGAAGTGATGTTTAACAACGTACCCGTAAAACGCAAGACTTGGCATTAAATGCAGTAGTATGAATGGCACGGTGGCGTATGTCATCGCAATTCGGGTCGTTATGAAGCTTATGAAATCGTAAAACACTTTCTTCAATGGACTACCCAAGAACATCGGCCGAATGACATTGCGTACCTGCAAGGCAAACTCCTATTAATTAAGTACTAATCACCATAATAATAAGAACATTAATACTTTGTTATTATGAGTTTCAGTATTAATAAAATCACTACATAGGTACTGGTATATCAATCCCCGGTATACAGAGCTATAATGCTATCCATAATCACATATCCCAGTAAGTTTAGTGTGGAAGATTGGTTGTGGGCCAACTGAGCTCCTTCCAGAAGCGCAGAAGCCTCTTGGGACGCTCATAGGCTTCTAAGGGAGAGCCAAGCTTAGGCACAAATGAAAGGATCGATACCACGGCCTCACAGAAAACCGGTGTAAAACAGTTTTTTGTTTCTTTTCACCGAGTGAGTGAGGTTATATACCACCCCTCGAATACCACCGGTGTCTATGTAAGACTCGAACCGACCAACAACCGCACGCCGGCTCGGGTACAAGTAGCCGGGGAACCAGGTGTACTCTAGAAAGGAAATCCCTGGTTCCCCGACGTACCTCAGATAATCTACGGCGGGTAGATGACCCCTCCTGTGTGGGAAACTTCAAGGTCCCGCTCGCGCGCGCTCCGCAAGCGTCTCGGAGCCACCCTGGCCTGCTTCTGCTAGGATGACTCACCTGTCACCCCCAGGCCTGCGCTTATGGAGGACGGAGTCTTTTCAGACAGTTATTATGAACTATTGGCCCATTAAAAGTGCTATTGACAGACACAACAATAATCAGGCTTGTTGCTTTTTACAGTGATTCACGTAGAATGAAATCTGCGACGACTGGTATTTAAAGTACCTACAGATTTAAAGGAGGTCTTGTGAGAGAACAATATCACATCTGCACTAGCATTATGCAAAACTCATTAATGTCGATGATTTACTATTATTTTTATATTGGTTTTTAAATTAAATATTTAAATATTAAGTGTGTTAGAACGACTTGGCTCTTAGCTTAGACAACCTTGCGTTAGCCTTCTTATATTTTTTTAATATAAAATTATAGAGATCTTTAAATTTATAATTACACATACAGGGGCCCTATATTGTGGTATTTTCATCAGTTTTTACCAATAATCTATACTTAGAAACTGTTTACAAAGTATTTTTGTTTGCAAATAAAAGTACTTTATGTCGTTTAGCAGTTCAGTTTTAGTCATTAATATTTTTAAGAATTGTTTTTTTTTATATATACTAATACTTCATTCCCATCCTGATCTCGCTCCTGACGCTCGATACTTCGTTCAATATTTTTTTGATGTAACATTGGAGTTAACTCAATTAAAACATTTATAGTTCCAGACTATCCCATCACTCAATTCAATTCGATTCCCACGCAAGACAAATATTGTGTGACAAGCACGATCATTTGTTCTGTGTCTAGGTGTAATTTATCTATAATATGTATGTATTTACAAATATATAAGTATGTTTATCAGCAGTCTGGTTGCTATAGCACAGGCTCTGCCTAGTTTGAGATCAGACGGCCGCGTGTGAGAGGTGTGAGATTTATTATTATTATTGGCCTGGAACCCCTCGATCACATTCAGTTAAGTAGAAGTTGACGTACCTTCCTCGCAGCGACGGTGAACAAACCGCCAGCGAAGAAGGTGAGGTAGTACCCGGGGTGGAAGCCGTGCCACACGGCCGACAGCGCGTACACGCGCGTGGTGCGCCACGCCGCGGAGCCGCGCTCGTACGCTACGCAGCGCAGCCACGCGTTCGTGTTCTTGTTCCACGACGCTATCGCCGACCGGAAGTTCTGTGCCAGCTGAAACATACATTCTCACTTACACACCTCAGTCGTTAGACCTAACTCGAGCAGGAAAGGTACACTGCTACTACCTTTCACCCGGAAACAGAAGTTTTTGAGGGATAGTTATAAAAGTTATAATAGTTATGCGAAACCTCAGCGCTGACGACTAAGGTTAAAGTGCATAAATTTATTAGGCCGAAGTCTTAAACCACCGATGTATATAATTAATTATGACAAATCTTACCTCGAAACCGAACATATCGATGTTAGACATTTTATCCCATTTAGGTGTGCCATCGTTATCATAGCCGTTGAATCCCATGCCACAATTATTGCAGATCGCTTCCGAGAGAAGCCACGCGTGATAATATTTGCAGCGCACTACTAGCGTAGACAAGTAGGCGTACCACAAGAGGTACAACGCTGACCATGTTCGAGACACCTCCGAAGCAGGGTCAGTTAATTCTGGAAATATATGCATAAATAATATAGCTGTGTTATACATACCAATGTCAAATGTAATATTAATAATATTAGCAAGAAGGTATACGAGGCCAAGGTAATACTCGTACGAACAATATGTTGAAAAAATAACGTTATCATCAGATTAATTTATATTTCCAAAATGATTATTGTAAGTACCTATCTTTACCGCCGAGGGTTCAAAACGGGCTATGTTTTGAAACGGTAAATATTAAGAAGACATTAGTTTTGCTAATCTTCTTCTTTAATGTTTTAATGTCACTACTAAGCAAAGATAAAAAATATTTTGTTCAAAAAGTAGTATGCAGTTAAGTTAGTTAGCCTTGAATACAAAGGACACACCTGTTTAACCATCTGTACTTTAATTTTTACCCATAATATATTTAAAATTTAAAGGTGTAGTCATAAGTGACATGCAAAGTATAATTTTTATATCACCTTCTAAAATAGTCAGAGGATATTTGTTTTCAAGAGTCAAATATAGTACAGCTGCAGTCACAGATGCAGCCACTTTGTAGAATACAGCACGACGTGGAGACGGCTCTTTCGCAGTTTTAGCGGCTTCATTCTGAAAATAAAAATCAAATTTTACAAAATGAACTAAATCAAGAACGGAGCTTAGCCATAACTCAAAGAGATAACCAGAAATGGTAGTCCTATCTACCATTGACTTATTTTAAATGGTATTTAAAACTAACAAAAAAACTTTTTTGGTTTTATATTACTTAACGAAAAAAGATAATACGTAAGACAGTAGGTAAACAGGTGCCCATAAGATCTCTGGCATTCATGTGCGCGGGCCTGAACGTGAAAGACAATGTTACCGGTATCAATAGCCCTAGCAGAAGCAAACCCGTGATGGCGGCGCGACGTATTTCGAGCGCACCTTTTTTAAATCGGGATTCGACACGACAAAAAAAGGGGTAACCCGTATCCTAGAAGACACAGGTCCAATAAACTGCGGAACATGTTACGCCTACAATGCTTTGTAAAGTCTGCTTGTTCTTCGATTGTTCTATCGCGGTCTTCACCGTGTGGTGACGGATTAAGAATACAGAGTGTCACCACCCCTTCATCCCGTGGGTGTCGTAAGAGCCGACTAAGGGAAAAAACTACATAGAATAATAGCACTGTTAAATTCTGTATATACACTTGTATAACATCTTGTTCGGTATGATGCTAATGGTGGTTACACATGTTAACACTTTATTACAATTTTATTGACCTCACGAAGCATTCAATGACATTCATAACTAACAATATTGACAAAGTTCCAGTCAATGACATTGTTTGGTTTTAGGTAGTTAATTGGTAAGGTTAATACATAACTGTGTGTGTAAATACATATGTAATAGGTAATATTTAAATACATATCGTTGGCATTCATTAGAATATAAATTATTTTTTTCGCTTATTCAATAGTATACTTACAGTTTTTATTGCGTTGGCAACACTAAGGCAGAATAGAATATTATTTATTTCATACAGGTACAGGTATTAAAACTTTTAAACAAGTAGTAATGTGTAACTTACAAGATAATCTGTTTATTTTGATACACATGTAGGTGTGTACAATAAAAAAAAAAAAAACAAAAAAAAATTACGCTGTAATTTATTATCCAACAATAACCATTGTTGTCTGTTGGTGAAAAAAATCGGTTTAGTTCAAATATGAGAGTTCAAAGAACAATTTAAAAAAAAAAGATGTTCATGTTCCTTATTCTTTTTGATTGTTTTTTTTATGGAATAGGTAGCAAACATGCAGTCGCATCACCTGATAGTAAGTTGACTACCGCTGCCCATGACCACACCAGTTGTGGAAGAGCCTTCGGCATATGAGCCCGGCTCGACCGGAGTGATACTACACTCACAGAAGAGGTCTTAGACAACCCCAATCGCTTGGTGAAATGCACCGAAAGAATTACTACTTGCCGTTTATTTTTGTAAGACCTTTCACAACATACAAAATAAATATTGATAACATACAAAGTAAATATTGCTAATAAAAAGTGCACTCAATTCAATTGAAATCTGGCCCTTATTCCTTCCTTACTTTTCTACCTACTAATAATGCGGTAATTGTTAGTTTTGTAGTAAATAGGTAAAGTTGTTACCTCATCAATGCGGGCACCTTCGATGAAATTAATATAATCAATATAAAATACGACCGGCCCACACATCAATGTCTGGAAAGCTAAAGTATACGCGAAGTACTCAAGCGGTGTTGGGATCTTTTCTATTTTCGCTAGCTCTTTTGTTGACTCTCCAGTTGAATTCGCATTTATTTCTTTTCGACTTAAGTTGTCTTGTAGTAAATAAGCTAGCGAAGTCACTCTTTGAGTTATTACCATGAATGGACCTAAAATAAATACATATTTATTTATAAAACAATTAATCTTAACTATAAGTATTATGGGGTAATTTATACACTAGTAAATTACTAAGACATCATACAATAAAGATTATATTTATACACACCCGTAATATCCAATGTGTAATCACCTGTATGATATATCTGTCTATGTAAATGAAGACAAGATAGATATAACATGGATACAGCCAACGTGACACTAAAAGAAAAGTACAAATAATTTTAATCATCATTACTTGAGTGCAGCTGGAGGAAAACTTGATCTTTCCGTTATTTTGATAGAATAATTGTCCAGTGTGCGTGTTGAGAATAATTCTACATATTTAATAACCCCAGTACATTCTACAAAAGTTCAGGGTATTTATTTAAATAGCACATTCTTAATAAAAATAGTGAATTATAGTTAGTTTGGTATAGTAAAATTAGTGGCATTTTGTGACATTGTTGTTGTGCAATAAATCGTAACATATTGTATAGGTTGTGGTGTGGCTGTTTAGTTATAGCATTACATATAGTTTCGAGGTGTATCAGTAAGTTCTATTTATTAATCTTAGAACAGCATAATGCATACACATGCTGAACAAATGAAAATAATTTTTAGGATGTGCAAATGTGTACAATGTTATAATATACATATAATTAATTAGGAAAAAACTTAAGTTAACTTAAGATACAACGTGATACAACGTTAAGCCGTATAATAATACATTAAACGTACACACGTCTTCAAGGTCTACAAGGTCTTAATGTTATAATGCATTGCTTTTGTATGAATAATATTATTTAATTAATTTTTTTCTAGCTGGAATTCGTATTAATATTGGAAATAAATACGGATTAATTTACGTATATATTTCAATATGTATATTAACTAATATTTTAGACACATTTCTGGAACATTATTGGGATTACCCGATTTGGACGTGATAAAAAGACTTAAATTTATAAATTGTAATTTTTACTTACTTGCCCATAATGTGATGGGGAACACTTTTAAGTAGGATATAAGTTATCATTGGCATCATAGGCAAATGGATTGATTGTCTGTAAAAATATCAATATTAAATTTAGATTTAAACGCTTTAATACAATGATCCAGCGTATCAGCTACCTACTTATCAAATCTTATCAAAATTGGTCCAGCCGTTTGAGCGACAAGAAGTAACAAAGATTCAAACACACACACAAGCTTTCGCCTTTATAATAATAGTGTGACTAAACATGAGTTGATTCACCTTGGTACATGAAATCAATATTAATATAGTTTTAAATATACAAATATTACAGAACGTTTCAAATAATAAGTCTTAATAAAAATGCATGCAAATAAATTAATACAAAAATAATAATTACCTTCCGAAACAGAAATACCCAATTAATAAACCTGAAACAAGGCACACAGTATGTCGAAATTCGGGCGAAGCGAATCTCATTGGTTTTCGAAACAGTCTCGCCAGGCATAGTGCAGCTACTTGTGCGATCAAAAAATTTACCTATTAAAACAAAGAAATGATGCTAATGAATAATGATTAAAGTGCAGCACGTAAATGTGATAAAAAAGAATGGCTTGTAAACGTAAGCAAATATGGCACTACAGTGAACTATCGGCAGGCAGTTTTAATTAAATTGTAGCTATACCTACATAATATCGTAGCGTTTACTTTTAGATAAATAGTTTAAAATGTAATAATTATTATATAACTACATCATCTACAACTTTCAAAATATTTGCTTTATTGTTTGTCTTAATATAATATTATAATTTATAATAAAATAAGTAAAAACGACTATTAGTTAATATAGCACCTCATTACATTACAAGGTCTTTGATGTTAATTTGTTGCAGTGTAACTCCTACATACATAACTTCTCCAAAGACTTTACTCAAGTCATTGCCGCGTAAGTTGTCGTTCTTCAAACAATTTTAGAGCCCAACAACACAACTGCGTGGTCTACAGTGTTGTTTTGCGATTTGTGAATAGTTGAAGTCCATGACAAAATTAAGCGCAACATCCTTCTATCAATAGTTCAATAGGCAGGCTCAAGAAAATCAAATGTCAGAAAATCGACCTACGCCAATTAAATACCAAGCGTATTAAAGAAGCTTTAGAGCAAAACAAAAGCACGAAATAATTCGCAAGAGTTCTGTTTGCTGGGCAGAGACAGATGTCGTTGTCGAGACCTGAGCTCTTGAGTGAGGTTGAAAAGTTCTATGAATACGTCAACGCTAGACTATGTTACTGACTTACCTAGAGATCCAAGGGCTAAGTTAAACTAGCAATATAGCAAAACATAGCAATATGCCTCCTCAACAACTCAAGAACAACAAGACACCGGGTTAAGACGGAATTAAGGCTGAGCGCCTGAAGGCAGGTTGAAAGCTGGTCGTAAAAGTTCTTCAGAAGATATTCAACTGCGTCATACTCGACGGGCAGCCGCCTGGGGCATGGTTCAGAGGTTTAGTGGCACTTTTCTTCAAAAAGGGGGTAACACAGAAGAATAAGACCCATCTGCAACGAAGAGTAAGGCAGGGAGATGTAATCTAAAACTGTTCACCGCGGCACTGGAAGATGGCTTCAAGCTATCAAGCGACATCAATTACGTATAAATCACCCACTTTAGATTTGCTGATGGTATACTTTTTTTTAGGTGTCAAAGCTGAAACCATGTCGAAAATCATGTCGAACATCCATGTCGCTCCCACTCTGGTGAAAATTGGAGACTACGCTAGAAGTTGTTGACGATTACGTATACCTAGGACAAACTCTCAAGGTAGGTAGGTCCAACTTTGAAAAAGATGTCAATCGTCGATTTTAACTTGGTTGGGCAGTGTTCGTGAAGCTGGGTGACATTTTCTCGCCATAAATACCGCAATGTCTCAAGGCGAAAGGTTTTGAGTAACTTACGTACAATACTACAAATTATCGAAAGAGACGGAGTTTTTCGTGGCCTTTAAATTAGGTTAAATTAATTTATCTCAGAAAATTTGTCCGTAGGTTCACGGTTTAACAATACGGAGTGTCACCACCCGTATTCATCCTGTGGGTGTAGTAAGATCCGAATAAAGGCGTAAACTGCGCATGACAAAACAGCACTGCAATCTAGCAAGATCCATCATAATTTTAGGGCCCTCGGGGTCCCGCAATATCTTGCGGATCCGTAATGCGAGTCTACAATCATCAGCCGGTGAAAATTTATTCAAAATGGCACCTTCAATCTACACAGGAACGCGTTTTACGAGCGAAGTTGCCGTTCATTACTTTGTTTTGCGTCTGAATTGCGCGCACACACGCACATAGCCTGTTTCGCGCAACCACCAGTTGTCATTTGACTCGTCAAGTCGTTAGTAGTCGTTACTCGTCAACGTGGTCTTGTTTTAGTCAATCCGCAAGGTAAGTATAATGTTTGTTTACTTGTCCTAGAATTAGGATAGAATAGTATTAACTATTATTATTACCCAAGGAAGATATCGTCCTTGTCCAATATTAATTTTTCCAATTTTATTTTTATTGCCGTTATTATACGCAGTACCTACTGTCATTTGTACTCGTACGATGTAAGCCATATTTATACCTACCATTTTACGACAAATTTTCAACCACTTTGAGGTTATTTTAAATTTGATAGACTTTCGTTAACTGATTTGAATTTGCTTTTTGATTTCAATTTTATTTCAATTCAACGGTTTGTACTAGCCACTAGTTTACAAAGTCAAAAATTATTGCTTTACAGGTACTATTAAAGGATGTTTCTTTCAAAACCTGTACAGAAGGATTTTGGTGAGAGAAATGAAAAAAACTTATTACATTATTTCAAAAAGTCTGAAGATGGAGGGAAAGCAAAATGTCTACTATGTTCTAATTTTTTTTAAATTAGCCAACGTTCTACCACTGGCTTAAAAACCAACTTGAAAACGAAACACTATTTAATATAAGGTAAATCATCTCAACAAAACACGGAGGTATTATCTAAAAAATATTGTTGAAGAAGAAGAACTTCCCAAGAAGAAAAGTAAAAAAAAAACTATCGATGGCTATTTGATAAAGGAAAATTCAATGCAAAAAATTGTTTCTAGAATGGTTTGTAATGATGGTTTTAGTCTTAATTCATTTTGTACGTCTTCAGATTTAACGTATTTTTTCTCGAAGAGTGGATTTCAACTTCCAAACTCTCCTAATACAATCAGATCAACGGTTGTAAATTTTTCAAACACTGTTAAAAATGACATGATTAGCAATTTTTCTCTCTCTTTCTGATCTCAAGAAACAATTACAAAGATTTTCACTTTGCTCTGACGAGTGGACATCTAAAAAAGCCGCCGATATTTGAACATAAATTTTCATCATTAAGAAACTCATTTTAATCTTGGTCTGATTCGAATACATTGTTCATGTACTACTGAGCGTTGTATTAAATCGGTTAAAGAACGCTTGGCGGGTTTTGGTCTTGACTTTGAAACCGATATTATCGGCATGACCACTGACGGTGCAAGTGTCATGGTAAAAGTTGGCAAACTTGTATCTTGCTATCAACAGCTTTGTTTTGCACACGGTATACAATTAGCTGTGGTCGATATCCTGTACAAAAAAAGGGTCGAAGGAGATATAGAACTTACAAAAAAGTCGTTGACCATTTTGGATATTGATGATGACGAAAATGTGGCCGAAATAAACGATGTAGAAGGTTTGACAATAACTATCGATAGACAACCCGCAGATGTGATTCGAGTATAATGAAATTATTACAAAATTTCGAAAAGTGGTAAAGATTTTCCGAGGGTCGCCAACTAAAGATGATACAAGAAATGAATTAAGTTTGATTCTAGATTGCCGTACTCACTGCATCAACTTGCTTGATATGTTAGACAGGTTTTACAGTCTCAAAGCGTGCATTGAGAAAGCTCTCATCGACATAGCATCTGAGATAAAATTAACGGAAGAAGAATGCTACAAAATCAATTATCTTGTTGACAGCATACAGCTCTTTAAATTAGGCGTTGAAGTACTATGCAGAAGAGAGTGTAACGTAATAACTGCAGACACAACATTTTGATTTATTTTGGAGAAGCAGAGAAGCAAGATACAGTTTTAAGTAAAGAACTTTCCGTGGCGCTACGTGCAAGAGTGAAAGAAAGACGCAGTAAATTACATCATCCAATTAAGTATGACCAAGACGCCCAATCCTACATTTGTAATGCCAAATAAGAATAAGTTACGGCAAGAAATGAAGAACATTTTATGCAGAGTCATTAAAGACGACGATGAGAACATGGATAGCTTGCAGAAGTTGTAGATAACGTAGACCTAGATGCAGATAATGTGCGGAATTGCAATCCCTAACACCAACTCGTCTGGCCAGCGTGGTATAGTAGGGGGAAACCTCGTTTCAAAGGAGAGGTCTATGCCCAGCAGTGGACTATTAAAGGCTGTTGATAATTATGATCTTAGAAAAGCTTTATGACGTTTATGATCGTTTAATAGAATTACAACATCGGCGGTAGCCTAGTGGTTAAGGCATTGGACTTGTGATCAATAGGTCGTAGGTTCGAATCCTGACCAATACACTACCGACGTCAACCCACTCCTAACACAATCAATTTAGCTTAGCTGAAGGGGTTAACGGGAATACTAGTAATTACGGTTGCTAGTAAGCCTATTTAAAAAAAAACAATTATAATTTAAAACAGTTTAATATCAATGCGTCAACATAATTAAGATGACGACTGGATGGCGTAGTGGTTTGTGTAACGGACTGCTATTCCAAAGGTTGCGGGTTCGATTCCCGCTCAAGTCAAACATTTGTGTGCATGAACATTTGATGTTTGATTTGGTCTGGGTGTCTCTATGTATAATATGTATGTATTTACAAAAAAAAAAGTATATATGTATTTATATCAGTTGTCTAGTACCCATAGTACAAGCTCTGCTTAGTTTGGGACTAGATGGCGTTGTGTGTATATGTGGTAGAATATTATTATATTATTAGAATATTATTATTATTATATTGTAATAAACTGTATTCTTCATTCCTTAATTTTCTAATCATGGTAATTTTTCTTCTTTGAATGGGACAAAACGGGAAACATAGGGTATTATTCCCAAACTCTGCCGTGGGGGTCCAAAGCCTCAGCAAATAGTCCCTGCGGGAACTAGAGAGGGGATCGGCACGGCCGCGACCCCGAACAAACGTAGAGGGCCGGTGATTCAGCACGAGAAAAGCACAGTTCCAGACCGAGACCTCCGGGGGACAGAAGCGTGCTTACCAGGGCCTCAAGCCGCCCTGAGTGTGGCCGCGAGTAGACGAAAAACAAAACCAATAATTTAAGCATTACTAAGTTATTAGAAAACTGAAACATACACAGCCCTTCTCAATGTATTTAAATCCCAGTTTCCAGACTAGGAACTATTAAAGTACCACAATTTTGAACTTGCAGACTTAAATTCCATACATAAAGTATTCCCAATATTGAGATTAAAGGGTGCTATTATTACTGGCAGCAAACTGTATGGAGGATGGGTAAAAAGATAACCTGCTTTACCCCTCTATAACCTGCTTAAAGACTTTGGATTGCCAAGAGCTTCAGTAAGCTCTTTTGTTGAATGAATATCCAGTGGCAATGCTAGGCTCGTATCAAATATGGTTAGGTAGAGGGAGTAACACAGCAGACAGTGGAGGTAAGTACTCCCTAAACCTATAACTGGGTCGCAAATGTTGAAGTTGCATGTGTTGTCCCCATCTATAGGGCGATGGACCCGGCATCCGCATATTTATGACCCCTATACAATAAAATCATTACACACATACATAATACATTGTCATTTACTTTTTAAACCTCATGGATAGCATTCTAATATGAAGAAGAAGAGAGTACGTGATAAATTTGTTTACTAAAATAAAGAGTACATATGCTGTTCCCTGTGCTAATGTAAGACAGTATAGAAAGAGTTTTTATTAATCTATTATTGAAAGTTTTACAGATAAGCCTCTGTAAACAACCAGCCTGCAAAAAACTGTTCCGTTTTATTTTGTTATCTATAATAAAAACTGAGTAAAAAACACTAGATTCTGATGTATCACAAGAATAATATTTAAAAATAAGCAGTACAATGTTGCTAAGCCAAAGAAAATTGGAAACTTTCAAACTTTTAAGATAAAGGTTAATTAGCAGTTTTTGTTTAAATAAACTTTTTTGAGTACTTTTTAATAATCTAAGAATGGCTTTAGAAAAATACATTTAAAGGCATTTACACACACTTTAAACAATATTTTTTAAAGGCATTCTATCTGTACAGAAATATATATTATCTTTATAGAAATATGTATCTAAACTGAAATAATACATGTTTTTGACTTCAGTTATTCCGATTATTAGAGTCAAGTTTCCAATCTACAACTTCTAATGTGTTATAAAAAAAATCTAAAGGAGTTAAAGTTATAAGGGTTAAAATACTTACTATATCAACTGGAAGACCAATTTTGTTCGATAAACCCAAGAAAACTTTACTACCATCGTAGTAATCGTGATAAGTCATTGTATTTGGCTATAATATACTGTAACAGAAACTATTAATCAGTTACAGTTACTTCTTTAATGAAGTTTAAAACAAATAATATTAATAAATTTGATGCATTGTAGCTACATTAAAAAATATTGCTTTATTCGTCTCACCGAGCGTATGAAGTGACCGATGTTATACAATTATTTTATTTGTTGAATACTCTTTTATAGCTTTATTGTCCGCCAGTTAACGTATCATACATTGCTAACATAGCTAGGCAAACAATATCTTTTCTACGATACCAGTCTCGGTTAACATTTTCTATTCTACGTTGATACTGCACTTGAAAGTCTATTTTAGGCAAATATAAAACAATATCAATTATTTACAATTTAAAATATTGTCACCGACTGACACAAACACTTAAACGTCACAGCATGATATGATGGGTCAGTCAGATCACTCAGATCAAGTCAGATGTGATGGGTGATGGGTGTAACTTGTAGTGATGGCAGTATACATCGATGTTAATCAAGCAAACATCGAAATTCTGACAGTGTTGTTTTGTTGTCGAAAACATCAAGACATCAACATCTTTCCCTGGAGAATCATTATAGTTCACACATTTGAGGACGTATTAATCTAACAGTACTGAGGACTGTTTGCCAAAATAGGCTATTGCCTGTATGTTGGAAGACACCTTTCAGACGTGGGATTTTGATACAATAAACTAACTATTACTGTTTAAGGTAAGTGACAAAACAAGTATTATGAATATATTAAAATTAATAGTATTATATTAATATTTTTTCTACACGTGGAAGCTTGTAAATGGCATCTAGATTATTAACATTATATGTATTTTGTAAATTTAGCCGTAAGCTCCCCAAATACAATTAAAAAAAAACATCCATGTACGCTTGTGTATGTGTGTATGCATGTGTGTCTATGTATGTGCGTTTTTGTGTGAGAGAGAGTAAGTGTGCGCGTATGTGTGGTACTAGCGACTCGCCCCGGCTTCCAGGGTTGCAACGTAGATACTGATGTGGTGTCAGTGTTGAGTAATTAATAATACTATTAATATAATTAGTCTATATTACAGGATATTTTATATCTGATACTGCGACAATCGCTCCCAACGGAATTTTAACAAGTCTTTCAGTTGTTGGGTTGTTGACACTCCGTCCGAATTCTCTAGAACACATCTCTTGAGCATGTCCTATGCGAGCTCAATGGGATTAAGGTCTGGCGATTGTGCAGGCCACGGCGAACCTCCGGGTATTGTTTTACAGTTCCAAGTACTCTCTGGTCCTCCGAGCTGTGTGCAAACGAGCATTAACATGCATCAGCATGAAATCTAAGCCAAGACTTTGTGTAAATGGGTGAACATAAGACCCGAGGACATCTTCCACAGGCTCATTTCGTCTGTTCTCCATAATACCTGCTCATAGTCACTGTAAGGGTGCACTTCCTAGCCGCATCTCAGGCATTCAGCATTTACGGGACGACGATACTACTCATGCAGCCTATTTATGACGGTTTCGTGGCTAACAACAACACTGCTTAAGAATTGTAGCTTTAAATATATCTCTCGGGTGGTTAACATCAGCTGAAGTCATAGAGTAACACAGACCACCGGCGGACCAGAGGGGAGTAGCCATAGCGCCTTTTTGCGATACAAAATAGTCTGTTATCCGAGGGGGTTTCCGCACAGAAAGGGGGGCAATCTTTGTCACCCACACATTCTTAGACTTCCATACAAAAACAATCGGCTGTCACTAGGGAACTCACACAATAATTAAAACAACACGTTAACAATTTCCCACACATAACAATAACAGTGTAATGATAAGATGCACTACTTTTTTTAAAATTATAAATAAACATTGATATGTTGCAAACAACTGTGGCTGTAACTACTATCTATGGAGCATTATCGATAAATTTGAGAAGTCGGTTAGGGAAATCAGTTTTAAAAAGCGATACAAACGACGTCAAAATTGTGAATATTACGTAAATATCCTATCCCTATCATATGTATTACGTTAGTTACTTACTTTTTTTTCGACCCCTTTATTATTAGAATGGAATGGAGATTTTTTAAAGCCTAAGCCTAAGAATCAAATCCAAAAAAATACCTTTAATAACTAGTGAAACATTATCTTTGATAAAATAATATAATAAATTTATATTCTTATTAAAATATTATCATAGACGAAGATATTGGTCCCATGATAATTAAACGAAAATGTTTAGACATAAATATCTAATCTAAAAAGCATGCAGAATCCAATACCGGTCCCGTTGGTAATTTATTGTCACTGAAAGTGTCCTTTTGAGCAATAAAAACATTTTGGAGGTCAACGTCTTATAAATTTAAGGAAAAAGTATCCTGAGCCTAATAGTCCCCGGCATTTTTTTTCTTTAATGAATAAAAAATAGAGTTTTGTGTTTGAACTCTGGTTTCCCTGCATAACGTATAAAGCTTTCGCCTTTTACTAAAGAGTTCCGTGGAAGAGAAGTCGTCACTGTTTTGTAAGCATTTGGATGCAACTTTACATCACTATATTAAATCAAATTTATGTCATCTTCATCAAATCAATCAAATTTATGTCAGCTAGTACACGCCTATTACGTCAGCTGGAAGTCATATTTTTGGAGGCATCCGGTAGTAACATTGTCGTTGTAATTCGCAAGTCGCCTGAAGTCATGATGATGTCAATTAGACGTCATATTTACGTCATTTATCTTATGTAAGAATCCTACGTCAGGAAGTGGGAAATTATGAGTCATATACGACTCGAATATGATTTATATCTTAAGTAAATCTGGTGTTGCTATCTATCTCCGGCATTACATTCCTCACAAGGTGGTTAAGTATGTCTTCACAGCCACCCCCAACAAATGCTGGTGAGCATCTATTTATAGAGGTCGATCTACACCATTCAAAATTGTTATTAGGCGTTTATTACTGTCCCTCTTTACGTATCAATTTTTTCTCCTCCTTCGAGAATATACTACAAATGCTTTTACCCATATATAGTCAAACTATTATTATGGGTGACTTTAATACTTGCCTTCTAAGAAATGACTCCCGCTCTTCATCTTTACGCTCCATTGCAGAATCTTTTAATTTCTTCCTCTAAAAACTCAACCCATAAATTTCCTAACTGTGCCGATACTCTTCTTGATCTTATCCTTGTTTCGTCAGTTGATCGCGTTGCCAAACATGGACAATGTGCAGTAGACGAATTTTCTTACCATGACCTACTTTTTCTTTCATACAAAACCCGTCCTCTTAAGGTAAAGTCAAGACTTCTCATGCAGCGTAATTTTAGTGGTATAGATCATGGCTTCATCAGTTGATGAAATGACTGAAATATTTAATGATAAGCTGGTAGCACTCTACGACATACATGCACCGGTTCAACCAATTAAGCTGAAACATTTAGCATCACCCTTACAGCTGGCTTACAGACGAAATTAAGAAAATAATTAATAGCAAAGCAGCAGCGAAATCAAAATACAAAGCGAGACCCACGGATTTCAACTAAGAAAAATACATAAACTTGCGGAATCACTGCAACAAGGTGTGTAGGAATGCACAACGCCAACACATTCATAGTTCCGTACAAAACGGTGATCCAGCTAGAGTCTGGCAATTTCTTAGGTGTCTAGGGATTGGAAAGTAGCGTCAAGAACTATCTTCTGACCAGATAGACATAAACTTACTAAACCAGCACATCTTTCAACACTTTCAACCCCTGACTACCCTCCATTCGTTCTTAGTCAAGTGTCTGCTCGTGATGTTGAGAAGAGTATTCGGTCTATTAGGTCTAATGCTATTGGCTCTAATTCTATCAGTCGCAACATGGTGCTCTTTATCCTTGATGATATTTTACCTATAATCACGCATATACTTAATATGTCCATTACTAGTGGTGTATTTCCATCAAAATAAAAAGAAGCCCACCTTATTTCTTTACCCAAAAATCACAATCCCGCATCCTACTCCGAATATCGACCAATCTCTATCCTACCCTTTCTTTCAAAAGTCCTTGAACGTATTATCCACAACCAGCTCAATTCTCTCTTAATATATCTCCATCAGCTATTGGCTGGTTTCGTGGTTACCTGTTTGGTCGTCGGCAGCGTACGCGCCTGGATGACAACTATTCTTACTAGTCAAATACGTCCGCCGGTGTGCCACAGGGTGGCGTTTTATCTCCTTTACTATTTTCAATATTCATTAACACAATCACTAATCAACTTCTCTGTTCCTACCACCTGTACGCCGACGATTTGCAAATATATTACCAAACTAATTTTAATGACCTGCCACTAGGTATTGACGTTATAAATAGAGATCTGAGATCATGCCCGTTTTCACCAACATCCCCTAAATTCACATGAGTCACATATATCAGTGGACAACAATGTATGGACTCAAAGTTAACTCTACAAAAACGTAAGTGACAGTAATCAGTAGTTCCAGACTTATCGCAAAAGATGAATGGCTTGCACTACCACAAGTATCTTTTGAAGGCGTAACAAATTAAAAATATCAGCCGTAAAATATTCGCCTCTGCCGCCTGTTTAAGAAGATTACGTAATTACCTTCCAACTGCTACTAGGGTTGAGCTCGCACAATCGATTCTTCTTCCCATCCTTGACTATGCCGATGTCAGCTATCTTGATCTGAACGAGGACCAATTCGATAAGCTTGAGAGACTTCAGAATCTCTGTATAAGATACATTTTTGGGTTGTGCAAATATAATCATATTGCCGAATTTCGTAAAAAACTCAAGTGGCTCCCAATTTGGCTTCGCCGGAATACTCACATCCTCTCTTTACTTTATAATATTTTATTTAATCCTGCAACTCCCATCTACTTAAAGAGACGATTTGCATTTATCCATGACACACATACACGATACACATACATTACACTAGAAATTCTAACACACTCCACAAATTTTACTGATACATCTTTTACAGTACAAGCAGCACGCCTACGGAATTCCTTTCCGGAACCTACATAAGGCGGGCACGGTCAGTGAGTACTTTTCAGAGACTCCTCAAGGATCACTATTTATCTGTGTAAGAACTATGTGTTATATATGTAATGTTTGTATATGCATGTATGTATGTGTATATTTATATGAATGTACGTATGTGTATGAATATGTATTTATGTAAATCTATATTATGCTCACCACAGACGACATATCACTACAGTATAGTCCATTTTATGTTAATATTGCATTGTATGTTTTCTATTCATGGTGTGCAATAAAGAGTACATATCTATCTATCTATCTAAATCATGCACGTCATGATTTAGATAGACATCATTCGTCGTCATTCTGAAATCAGTTTGACATAATTGTGTTCACCGGGTATTACCGATAGTTTTATCTATCACTGGTTTTCAAATTGGATCTATAAATATATCGAATACATTTCTGTGGGTTAGCTTTTTTATTACGAATGTGCCATCCTCCTATTGTTTGCCAACACTTAAAAGTCAGAAAATTATCTGAGCAAATGACACTGTTTCTTGTAAGTATCCAGGTAGGGTATCTGTTATTACAAAAATTCTTCCACAACAACAACAAATAAATAAAAACAATGTGTCGTAGTTCACACTTAGTAATTTTAATATAATGTGTTAATACTCGTGAATATTGTATTATATTTGATTGGACGCAATTTAAATATTAAAATAAAGCTCACAATCCACATAATTATATTAGTTATATCAGAAAACATAGTCTCAAAAATGATAATATGCATTAGAGACATTGATGTATTTATGTTTTATGATGTTTAACTATTTACAAACTGGTAACGATACTATCGCTTGGTGATAGCGATTAGCAACACGACTTATACAATATTCGGATCAGTCGGGGGCCGATCGGGCGGGCGGCCTGTGTTGGTAAACTAATCCAAAACAATACAACTATTATTTTCGAAAATTTTAAGTTTGAAAATGAGTGAATAGAAATAATTTGATTAAAAATTATTTACTTAGGTAACGCCATCTTTTTGTAATCTTGACGTGTCAGATCTCTTTTTGAAGCAAAAAACTGAACAATTTGTCATTTTTGTAGGACGGCTACTGTCGTCTACTCAACAGCGCAACTAGATTTATTCTAGTGAGCGGTCCGCTGTAACCAGTTTTATTGTACGCATAGGACCGTGTGAACTCATACTTTGGCAGAGGGGAACGCCTGCGTATTGCTACTCCCTTCCGTGTTGCATGGTTGACGTCTTGCAGTCAGTTGTCTGTATCGCTGAGCAGTTGTACTCCTTCCACGTCCTTGCTCAGCAGTATTCAATGTGTTAACATAACGCTGGCAAAGACGACTAATTATCACGCTCCTATTGATATCAAAATGCCAAGATGATGATGATGCTATTGATTTCCTACAGCTCTCTGCATTTCAACAGCAGTAAAATGGCGTCGCTCCATGACATTAAACATAACTCGCAACTCAATTTTTGCAAATACTCTACATCACAAGATGATAAAAGAGATAAATACGTAATTTATCAGGCAACGAAAACACAAAATCGCGAAAAAATAATTAGCTTTTATTTTAATAAAAACAAAACACACTTATAGTTTTTTATTTTATTATTTGCAGTTTTCGTAAATGACGCGTGTAGCTTAGACTCTTTTGATGTCTGTATAACAGATAAAAACCGTCCTCTTAACTCAGTCTCTCTAGTGGTGAATACTGTGTTAAAATGCGTAGTTTTAAAGATGAAGTTTTAATGAACACGAAACTAAATATGAAGAAAGGTACAATAGAGCTGGCGCAAAACTATAATTGCAATTTGAACTATCAAAACTTTCGTGTTCCTATGTTATGGTATCTTTATACGTTGTAATACGGTCAAACTTTAACCTATTCTCCATTAAATTCTTTAATTAACAACAAACAGATCACATTTCGTCCAGTGATGTCCTTCAGAGGTTATGTTTTGTCCCTGTACGGCTCTACAAACACACGCACCTCCATCACACATTAGACTTTGGCATAGTTGTCGACATCGGCACAGTTTGCCATAAACAATAAAAAAAAGTCACTTGTTGACACATGTTATTTTAGCATTTCATGTTGTTTTTGACTCAGTGATTTCCGATGGAGCCATTGAATTAAAGAAGAAGAAGACTCAGTAATCTAATTAATATAAATATTCACTTTGATTATCGTAGCATAACAGCATTAGTGGTATTATTATTCTAAGTTAAGATTTAAATTGCCTATAAATTCCTATTGTTTAAAAAATATTATTAAAGTCATGTCTATAGGCTCAATATATGAAGCAGCTTATAAGGGGGATTACAATCAAGTTAAATTAAAACTTGATGATGTACTAATATCTCCGGATGAAGTAAGTCTTACTTATTGCTGTTTGTTGTAAATCTCTTGTCTTTGAATGATTTAAATAGTGTTTATTTATTCCAGAATCAACGACTCCTTATACATTGGGCTGCATTAGGGGGCCACGAAAATTTAGTGGATTTATTGATTGATCGAGGCAGTCCTGTAGACCCAACTGATGACACAAATTCAAGTCCTTTAATGCTAGCTTCTTCTGCTGGACGAGTAGAAGTGGTTAAATTGCTTCTCGACAAGGGAGCAGATGTCAATAAAAAAACCAAACGAGGACAATCATCTCTACATTATGCTTGTTCTAAGGGCCATATTCAGGTAAACAGGCTCTTTCTATTAATCTGACTTATTTATCTGAATACCAGACGCCATTAAGAAAATCAAACTAGGGCAATCATCTTTACATTATGCTTACTCCAAGGGCCATATTCAGGTAAACAGGCTCTTTCTATTAATCTGACTTATTTATCTGAATACCAGACGCCATTAAGAAAATCAAACTAGGGCAATCATCTTTACATTATGCTTACTCCAAGGGCCATATTCAGGTAAACAGACTCGTTCTATTAATCTGACTTATTTAATCTGAATACCAGATGCCAATAAGAAAACCAAACGACTGCAATCATCTTTACATTATGTTTATTCCAAGGGCCATATTCAGGTAAACAGGCCCTTTATGTTTATCTGGCTAATTTAATCTGAATACTAGATGCCCATAAAAAAACCAAACAAGGGCAATCATCTCTACATAATGCTTATTCCAAGGGCCATATTCAGGTAAACGGGGACTTTGTATTAATCTGACTCATTTAATCTAAATATTTCCATACACATTATATGGGTATTTCTAAAATAGTTGTATTAATTTTCAGGTAGCAAAACTGTTAATAAGCTATGAAGCTAACATAAATGATACAGATATTTTGGGGGCTACTCCTTTGCACCGTGCAGCTGCTCAAGGAAGAAATAATATAGTTGAACTTCTATTATCTTCTCCTGGAATACAAGTTAATACACCTGATTCTACAGGCTCAACGCCCCTGTCAGTGTTTATACTTTGTTTTTATTACATTTACCCTTTTTATCACCACTTATAATGAGTACATGTGATTAACACATTAACTATGGCAACCAAATATATTGCCATACCTTTGCTTGCTATTTATGACCTTAGATATCTTCATATCCTAGGTATTCCTATCTGCAATGATAGGTTGATAGATCTGCTGATTTACTTCTAAGATTTTTTTTCTAAAGCAAATAAACAGATTTATATTGACTATTGCACAATATTCTATTATATTGAAATTGAGTGCATATAGAAATATATATAGAATTTGTGTGCATCATTACATATTTATATTTCTATGCTCTTTGATGTCTATTATCTTAATTTATGTATCCATAGTGTTTATTATAAAAAGGAATATATTGATGAAAGAAGTTTTTCTTCATTTTCAGTCATGCTGCATGTGAAGAAGACAGGGAATCAGTTGCATGTATGTTAGTGAAAGCCGGTGCCATGATGGATTTATTGAACAGAGAGAAAAAACTGCCAATTGATTTGTGCTCTGTTAAACTTAAAAAGATGTTGACTACTTTATTAGAATAAATTTACAAATATTTGCATTTTTACTACCTATTACATGATCTAAATAATATGTTAATTATAAAAAGACGATCCTCAAAGGATGTTGGCCATTCATTCAACCAAAATGCAATTTCAGCAAATATTTGTTTTTGAGTTTGTGTGTTTTCTATAATATAATATGTACGGATTTACAGAATTAAAAAAATATTCAGTCATATTAATAATCTGAGGCACGAATGTATGATATACTAGCAACCTGCCCCGGCTTTGTATGGGTGCAATGTAGGTACTAATGTGGTGTCAGTGTCTTGTGGAGTAATATTAAACATATTATTGTTATGTTTAGAGTATATTACAGGATATCTTAAATCTTCTAAATAAAAATAAACTGCTATTTGTTACTACCCACTAAATCTCTGGAATGTCTGGACTGTTTTGGGTAATTATGTCTTAAAATATTTGTAAAAGTCTAGGGTAAGCTTAAACGATGATAAATATGGAAAATGTAAGTACATGTAATGTACAAAAAAATTTAATGTACAAATGTAAGGAAAATAGTAAAAACAACAATATAGAAAAATAAGTGAGACTTCATTTTATGCTTGTAATATTAAAGAATTAAAAAAAAAATTGTTTTTTAATGTTAATGTAATGCTCATGTGTGTCTTTGTTCATATACATGAATAAACTAACAGTGCGGCACCACAAATTCTAACAAAACTAATAATCTCGGGCGCCAGGTGCTTTAACCTTATATGAACACAGACAACTAATAACAAATACAATGAATGCCTCGAACAGCTCGGTCAGCGCTAGACCTTTAATCTAGGGTGGGGGCAGCTATTAAATAAAGAGATGTTATAAGCTTAAGTGGCAGTTTATTATCCCGTAGTGTCTGTAGAGTACATGGTATATTATAGGTCTACAAATGTAATTCTTATACTCAAATTAGTACTGTCATTAATGCAATCTGTTTACCTTGTTAATACAAATTAACAGTGAAATATTTTTTGAAAGTCACATAGACTGTTAAATAAGTAAAGATTTAAGGGTAGTTATCATAACGACCAAATAACAGCCAAAGGGCTTTTCCTGCCATTAGAGGTACTTAAGAAAATAAATCCACACTCCGAAGCAAACTAAATCCTTGGGTCGGGCAGGTAGTGAGATAAAAACTAAATGTAACGTAAGGACATTACAATCTAATAAGAAGGAAACCCAAACTAATAAAAAAAAAACCCTGTTACACAGGGTTCCAAATCGTCTCACAAATAAATCAGAGGCGTTACCAATAATTCCAAAATAGATAAAATGGCAATTCCAATAAACAACTCGTTTCCTCAACAAGACTGGCCAACAATAAAAGGCGAATTAATCCTCTGATTATAACAAATGGTAAGTGGATTACCATCTTTTCAAAAATGGCCAACAGGCCTTACATCACGGCGTTGACACTTCATACATTGGCTTTTGACTCTAGGAGCTTGGGTATTCATAACGTAACCCCAGCAGAGGCCGCTAGTATGGGCCGATGACAGAACTGTCATGTGTATATGTCACAAATTTAAATGTCAAATAGTCTGTTACAGTTTTGAAGTTGATCGAAAGGTTTTGCGTTGATTAATTTCCGTAGCTTATTCTCTCAGTATTTAAAACTGTGATTACTAATATAAGTGCATTTGTTGTATAGAATATTTCAAAAATGCCGTTTATTTCATGCTGTATATCGTGTCAGAAGACGAAATACGATGTTACTTTGTTTCGATTCCCTCGAAATACAACATTACAGCAAATATGGCTTAAACAAGTAGCACCTCATTATCAACAAGCCAAGCAGCTAACTCCGCAACAATTGATAGAAAGAAAAATTTGTATAAGGCACTGAACAAAAGTTTCTTATTGGAAATAAAAGGCTATATAATGCTTGCTCTACATTAATGTCTAAAGAAGAAATAACAACAAGAATACCAACAAATCCTGTGAATATAGAAGGTTAGTGAGTGGTTAAAATAATTGGTCATTGTATTTAAATTAATATGATGTGTTAAAGTTTGTGTGTAAAAGTAGTTTATAATTTACCAAGAGCTCTAGTTATGTTACAGAATGATTTTTGTTATATACCTCGCTGTTTTTAAATTTCAGTTGAAAGTGATCACACATATGCCAAATTAACTACTACATTAGATCACAATTATTGTAAGGGGCCCTTAATGAATACGACTTATGCACAGCCAAAAAAAGTTCCTTTTGAAACAAATTAAAGGTTGGGCTCAGTTGATCAAATTGAAGCCCTCAACATCGATGGAAAATATCACAACAAGAGGTAAGATAAATTAACATATTTTTAGAATCACATGCTTTGTTATCTATTTAGTAAAACAACTTTGTTCAGTATTAAGGCAGCTTTTGAACTAGAAAGTTTCCTACTACTACTACAAATAACTACATAACTGTATATGTGATACAAGTATACACTCCATTCAAGAGTACAACTGAAAACCCTATGTGGTTTTTTCCAAAGCCATATCATAATACAAAAATGTATTATTGACTAGTTTAAAACTATTATATAGCTATTAAAGCAAGTATTGAACAATTTTGGACAAAAATAATCCTTTAAGTTTCAGGTGTAAAAGTAATAGTAAATGTTTTTTGCAGTTAAGCAGCAACAATAAAACACTACAGTTTTTATTGTTGTAGTAGTCCTAACAATAATTTTGTTTTTTTTGTAGGTCATCAAGCAGATGGAAGCCTGGTTAGCAGCACTGTAAGAAACACAGCGGATGCAGTTGAATTCTTTGACAAATTGTTTGATAGTTGCAATGGATCAAGAGGAGGCCAAGCTCCCGGAAATTGAGGGGCCCTGTGAAACTTAATTCACCACATGCAGTATTTTGGGCTGATGCAATTAAAACTATTAAAATTTATATATATATTAATCATGCTAGCAGAACACAAAAAAATAAAAAATGTTCCCACATTGGATAATGTGATGACAACCTTAGAAAGCCATTTAAGGTTAAAAGATGTCTTGTTTTCTAAAAAAGTTTTGTTCTATCATACAAGTAATTTCAACCAAGATCCCCTGAAAAACTTTTTTGGTAAAATAAGATCTCACAATTATGAAATAATAATCCAGATACATACACATTCGAAAATTCTTTCAAATCCTTGATTATGACCAATATGCTAAGTATTCATTCTAATTATGCAAATTGTGAGGATGATGTAGGGGCAACAATATTAAATCTAAAGTAATTGTTGTCCCCATGTCATTCATACCAAGCAACCACGATTGTAGAAAAAGAGCCAAATATTGTACAAAAGAATGCTGCAATATCAACTTCTTCTACTTTCATACAGGTTACACAATCAATAATGTAAGGGGTTTAAATGTATTAAATGCAAAAAAAAACAATGATTACAAAGGAGTTGACAAATGTGCATGAATTAACTTTGTATAGAGAACGAAAAAGTTTAAAAAACAAAAACTTAAAGTATCCCTGTACCCAATTATTGTAGCATTTTCTCAATTAATCAATGCAATAAACTAATACTTGGAACATAACTGCAATAAAAAATACGTATACAAGAATGTCAGACAAAAATATTTAGAAGAAATAAATTTGGAATGGTTGGGCTGTTCTTCCCATAAAGATCTATTAAAAGAACATTTTATTAAGATCATATCACGATTACAAATTTTTAATTGGTGCCGAGGCATCAACTTAATTTTGGGTGGAACAGTTCAAAGAAAGGTAAAATAGGCAAATTTAAGTACAGTTCAAAAATTAGACTACAACAAGTTTATGAAAAGCAGGAAATATAAGATTAAAAACTAAAAGTTGTTTCAATTCTTGTACCTTTTTAAAAATGATAAGAATAAAAAATAAGACTAATTTAAAAATGAGGAAAACCGACTTTTCGCATCACTATTTTATCGATATCGATACGACGATTTTGATGGTTGGCACTGGCCTACGTTCGGCTCCCTAGCGCCCCTAGCGGATCATCGTCATGAAGACTCAAACTCATATGAAATGACGTTTGTTCAGGAGGTGTCTTATCTGTACTATGTACATATCTCTTAATCTGTGCCTTACATCTTACTCCGACCCAGCCAAAATGCTAAAGTCCCGTTTCGCCCTAGAATGCGACAAAAAATGTTGCCTGAACAAGAAAAAACTAAAATCGAAAGTATACCATAGTCGATTAGAACAGACTAACAAATCTCGTCCGCGACGCCGTCTCTCGGAGCTTACTAAAACGTCAGAAAATCCAGCTGACAAACTAAAAACACGTCGATAATTAAATTTTCTGTAATGGTGCGAAATGCACCGTTACATGCTATATAAAGAAGATACTTGTAAATGCAGTGTTCCATAACGATTATTACGACAATTTTTACTTTTTACTTATTATAACTTCAAAACGGATTGACAGATTTGAACAATTCAAAAAATAATTTGCTCTTAAATAACTAGGCACGTGCTTAAGGATTGCCATTGGTCATTTGCCTTGGGGACAGTCTGCCACTGGTGGTTACATAATTGCACTTAGTGCTAAAATTGAGAGTTACTGCAATTATTTATGAACTTCGTGCATAACTTTATGCATCGGCGGCAAATATTATACGAGTATTATATAATAATATCATCATCATCATCAACAGCCTATACTAGTCCACTGCTGGACATAGGCCTCTCCTTATAATAATATAATACTCTTATAATATTTCCTGACATCTGACACACAACGCCATCTAGTTTTAAACTAAGCAGAGCTTTACTTTTTTTTATAAATAAATACATAGAAAACACCCAAACTCCAAAATAAATTTTCCTATTATATTATTAATATATATTATTTAGACCTCAGCATAGCTACCCGTACAGTGCTCTCGCGCTCATACTCGTGGTTGAATATTTTTTGTGTTGGTCATTATAAATTGTCTGACTGATTGAATATAACCTTGTAATAGTTATCTTAATAACATATTGTAAAATCAGATATTTAAAAAT